GGCAATGGCGATGGGCGAGAGACCCACCATTGCCCTCATCTCTCCGCCCGCATCCGCTCGCATGGCTGTCGCCGAATCGCTGATGAACTTAACCGCAGCAGACCTACCGGACCGTCTTTCCCAGGTCAAGCTCTCCGCGAACTGGATGTCCGCAGCAAACCACCCAGGCGAAGGTGCGGGAATCTACGAGGCCGTCGAAGCGCTGGGAATGTCTCTCTGTCCCAAACTAGGCGTCTCTATTCCCGTGGGCAAAGACTCGATGTCCATGAAAATGAAATGGTCCGATCCTTCGAGCAGAGAAGCCAAAGAAGTCACTGCTCCCTTGTCCGTTGTCATCTCAGCCTTCGCCCCGGTCCTCGATATCCGCAAAACATGGACCCCGCAACTTAAACGCCACAACGAAGTCGGTGAAACGACCCTCTTCTTCGTCGACCTGGGTCTCGCACACCGCGCGCTGGGCGGTTCCATACTCACCCAGTCCTTCAAACAGATCGGCGATGAAGCCCCTGACATCCGCTCGGTCTCTTTGTTCAAAGACTTTTTCGATGCCACGCAGCAGCTTCACGAACAAGATCTCGTGCTCGCCTACCATGACCGCTCTGACGGCGGCCTCTTCACTACCCTGGTCGAGATGTCCTTTGCCGGTCGCTGCGGCATAGAAATCATGATCAATGACATTTGTCCTACACCACGCACACCAGATGTGATATCGTGCTTGTTTAACGAAGAACTCGGCGCGGTCTTTCAGGTGCGAAAGTCGGACGAAAACCGCTTCAAGGCTTGTTTCGCGACCTGCGGTCCTCCGCCAGGCTTAATCCACAAGATTGGCCGCGTCAGTACGAAATCTAGCCAGCAGAATCTGGCGATTTATCACGGCGCCAAATTACTCTATCGCGCCACACGAGCTCAACTACAGCAGAAATGGTCCAACACGTCGTACTGGATGCAGCGACTTCGCGACAACCCCGCCTGTGCGGACGCGGAATATAAAAGCATCCTCGACGACGCCGATCCCGGCCTGTCGTATAACCTAACGTTCAATCCCAAGGAGAACATCAACACGTACCGGGCTTCTCTGCTCAACTACGTGCGTCCCACGGCCCGCCCCCGCGTTGCCATCCTCAGAGACCAGGGAACAAACGGCCACGCAGAAATGGCCTTCGCATTCGACGCCGCGGGCTTCACAGCCATAGACGTGCACATGAGCGACATTCTCTCCCCGTCCGCACACCAAACGCACCTGGGCATCGATCACGACCTCTCCTCGTTCGTCGGCCTCGCGCTCTGTGGCGGCTTCTCCTTCGGCGACTGCCTCGGCGCCGGCCAGGGGTGGGCGAAATCCATCCTCTTCCACCCGGCCACGCGCACCAAGTTCAAACACTTTTTCGAAAGGAAAGACACGTTCACCCTCGGCGTCTGCAACGGGTGCCAAGTCCTCTCCAAGCTCAAGGAACTCGTCCCCGGCGCGGAGAAGTGGCCGTCGTTCGAACGCAACGAATCCGAACAGTACGAAGCCCGGGTCTGCATGGTCAAAGTCTCGGACCCGCCTCCCGAAAGCGGCATGGTCCCTAGCGTCTTCTTCCACGGCATGGCTGGCTCGTCGTTGCCCATTGCCGTCGCGCACGGCGAAGGCCGCGCCAGTTTCACCACGGATACACCACGCTCGGTGATCCCGCTTGGGAGCCGGAAAACGCTCGACGCCCAGATGGCGCACGACTTTGCGTACGCAAATCTTGCGCCCCTTCGGTACGTCGACAACCACACCCTCGCGCCCACGACGAACTACCCGGCAAACCCGAACGGTAGCCCCGCTGGCATTGCTGGCGTGAGGAGCCACGACGGCCGGGTCCTGGCGCTGATGCCTCACCCAGAGAGGACGGTTCTCGGTGGCATCGGCAGTTTCATCGCCGAGGGCAAGGTCCTGGACGAGAAGGGCGGGTTTGGCGAGTGGGGAGAGTATGGGCCTTGGATGAGGTTGTTTCAAAGTGCAAGGAGGTGGGTTGGCTAGGAAAATGGTACATAGCCATGGCGTGCTGCTATGCGAGAGCGCTACATGCATGCAGTACGTGAGCAGCGGAGGAGACCGTGATCTGCCAGCAAGATGATGAAGTGGTCCCGGAGCAACGAGAGTCACAAATCACCTCCCTGCCACTGTCATGGATTAGTTTTCAACATCTTTGCAGGTAAGAATCTGCGATCCGGTCGCAGAGGTCGAAACATACATGCTGTCAGGCTTGAAGAGTGCTCTTCAGACCGTGGAAACCCTCAATGTCGAAGTCGATCAGGGCGGATTAGGGCTTGAAAAGGAGATTTCGCAGACGTTTACAACTTCTCAAGCAATCAAGATAGACATTTCACGATAGACAGAAGAATTCAATTTCAGTTTTTCGATGTTTTTCCATTGGTTTTATGGTTGTCATCACAACCTTTGTCTCTTTTGCTTTCGCCGTTTTGCCACCACATCAGACGGTCGTGCATTAATAGTATGTTAGTTTCTAGTCACACAATGCCAAAAAGAAATTTGAAGCGCCTCCTGTGTACACCCGGACCTCGTCTCTGGTCTCGCACAACGAATGCAATGAGCCTGGCCGTAATAAGAAACCTGGAACCTTTTGTACAGTCGACCTGGGGATCGTTCGATCTGTTCTCCCCTGCATAATGCTTCACACTCGTCCGCTTCCGGGCCGTGCCGGGAGCGTGGATTTCAAATCAAGCGCACCGTCGACACTCGTCAAGAATTCACCGAGCCTCAAATTCGTCCAGTGAGAACCTGACCGACTGGTTGTTGGGGTTTATGCGCCTCATCTTCACGGCCGCATCGCCTTCTTCCGTTCGAAACGCCGCTATGGAGCCGCGAAATATCTCCTCATCAAAACGATCGTCCACCCGGGCCGTCTAAGCCTTGCGGGATCTTGTGGTAGGTCCGTTCGATCGGCCCGTCGTAACAGCGCCATTGCTCTTCGTGTCGAGTTCGACACCATCTGCGCCTTTGTGTGGGTCAGGGAGCGGAAGGGCGCTCATAGCGATCAAGGCTTCTCTGCCGGTATTTCTCCTTGGCCGTCCTTGAATGGTCTGTTTACGGTAGGTAGCGAAGTAGAAGGAGATGAAGAGCAGGAGGTAGGAGCTGAGAATGACGAGACCCGCGATGGCAGCAAACTCCTCGCCCGCGCAGGTGCCTGCATTGGGCAGCCACGTGAAGTAGGAGCTGGTGAAGTAAGTGTAGGACGCAAAGTAGACGAAGCCGAGGTCGATGACGAATTGGATGATTTGCATAATGGTGATATACTTCTTCCACCAGATCTTGACACCGCGCGCGGATTGAAAGTAGTACCTGCCTCTGTTGTCAGCATCCCAATCTTCAACCACACAATCAACTGCTGCCTTACCAATACATGACCACGTGGACACACAAGTTCAGAGTGATGGGAACCCAGGAAACCGCGGTATGCCCAATAAGCTGTGTGTAGCAGAGAAGTGCGGTAGCACCATGGTGGTAGGTGTGAAGGAAAGTAAGTGGCTTCTTCTTGAGGACAAGGAAGACGGTGTCGATGAGTTCGAGGTACTTGGTGAGGTAGTTCAACTGCGATGGTTAGCCACCGCCAGAGGGACACCCCCAGATGATCCAACGTACATAGTAAAGTGTAACAAGCTCTTTAGTCCAGCCTCCGTCGTAGCTGCAAATGGCATGGAAGACACCGCGTCGGGCGAGAGTGGGGAGCAGTTGCTCAATAAAGAGCACCAACAAACCACCACTGATGATCGTGAGGTAGAGATTGTGCACCATGAAGGGTCCATTCAGCGTAAACGGCTTGCGGTGCTTCATCAACTCTCTTCCACCAAAGATGATGACATAGTATGAGACGAGCGAGATGACCGTCTCTTTGAAAGTTGACATAGGCGTCTTGCCGGGCTCGAAATTGAAATCTGTTGGGGAATAGCCCATGACGGCCGAGTACCCTTTGTCGAAGAACGGCCATAACTCGACGCCGAAGGGCCGGTCGAGCGTGGGGAGAGGGACTGATTTGAGAATATCACCCATCTTGAGAGAAAGGGGGCCTTATCGTCGCGGATCGCAGGGTGGTGGGTTGTACGGGCTGAGCGCAGACGTAGAATTGAGGCGGAAGGAGCGATGTGTGACAGTCTTCAAGAAGAACTGAATAGAACGAAAAGAAGGAAGGAAGGACAAGAAGAAGATGGCGAAATAGATGAGCAACCGGAAGAAGTGGAAGGTGATGAGATATATCTGGACCTTTCAACGCGGTCGGGCGGGCAGTCGCGGTTGGCAATTTTCGCGGATGGGAAAGGAAATCTCCCAACGACAACGTTGGCCGCAATCAGGGGAAAATCGTTGTGAGCGACCGGCGAGCCAGGGAGCCAGTGTCGTAATAAGCCAAGCCCCGCCTTAGCCGCCGCTTCCCATTCGCTGCGTGCCTGGCTGTCAATTTCCGCGTAGGTCAGCTGTTGCGATTGCCGCGCGGGTTTCGTATATGGAACGATAGCCGCGAAGATCGATCTGAATGGTGCTGTGTACGGAGTAGAAGCAGAGCGATTTTGCCGCGGGTTTGGTTGAGTATACGAAGTAGTGAATGAACTGGACTACTCCGTACCGGACAAGTAAAGCATATATCAGAACTATGATAGAGCTCTCAGAATCGTGCCCTGAAATAGGACACAAGAACGGAGTGTGAGCACGCCTGAGCTCGATCAGACCAATACCTGAGCCAATCACTAGCAAGGTAATTGATGACAAGAGAAATACCGGGCACGTACACAGCAAAAACCAAAATTCGCACGCCTGTTTAGCTTCGTCATCTTGGCTGACAGGCGTCATTTCAACCACTCACAAGCTCAGGGATCCTAATCCGCAACCTTGACGAATCTCAGGTGACTCTGAACTTCAATCGACAGCCCGTTCAAAACTTGCCCGCAGTGTCAAGGTCTACATTTCCCACCACCTCCATACGTGTACAGCTCTTCTCTTTGCGCTCATCCGCTGCGCCATGGCTTCCCTCGCGGTATTTCGTCTGACTGCTCGTCCTGCCACTTCCAACCTCTTCCGACCCTGTATACGATCGCTCAGGAGAGCTCCAGCCATAGCTCAAAATGTTTCGGCCAGAGCCTCATTCAGCTCCTCAGCCAATCAACGAAGCGCCGGCCACGAAGACGAGACGTTTGAGGAGTTTTCTGCAAGGTACAATCCCCGATGGAGCTCGGAGTTGTGTTGGTGAAGGTTTATTCGCTCTCGGAGTGGCAGGCCGCCGAACGAGGACAACCTGATATGTGTTGGAGCTCAGCTGATCTGGGGTTTCTAGATACGAGAAGGAATTTGATGCCGTCCAGGATGTTTTCGAGCTCCAGGTACGGAAAAGGACGCGGATTATATTGGTCAGGTCTAATTGATTGCGCAGCGAAACTTGAACAACGCTTTCGCCTACGATCTCGTCCCTTCGCCCGGTGTCGTCACAGCAGCCCTAAAAGCTGCGAGACGTGTCAACGACTACCCTACTGCTGTGAGGATATTCGAAGGTGGGCATATTCTCCGATCAGCTCGACAAGGAATCGATCGCTAATGCGCAAATTTGCAGGCATCAAGGCAAAGGTCGAGAACGCGCAACAATACCAGGAGTACCTAGACGAGCTGAAGCCCTTGCGTGAAGAGTTGGGAATCAATCTGAAGGAGGATCTGTACCCTGATAACAGTGACAGCCCATACTACAATCCATGAGCGATAAAGGGGTGCATGTCACGTACTCGCGATCCATTGTGGAGGGTGGGAACAAGATATTTCGCAGGGCCCCGTGCATCCCAGGGAGATAACTAAAAGACGGCCGCACATGTATCCATTCATCTTCTTCGCGCGCAACATCCCACCAAAAACTACTACGCTAGTCCAAATGTACAGTTCCGAAGACAACCGAGCATACACGATGCTGACTTTGCTTATGGATTCACGCGCTGTCTTGCCCATTGCCGAACATGACTAGTTTTCCACTTTTGGATCTATCTCGCGTGGCACTGGTCGTGGGAATGGGGCACCACATTCCCAGCGGCAGCAGTTTCATGCAGGCGAGGCGTGAGCCACCCCGATCAGTATCGCCACCTTTGGTCGAACAGCGATGAAGACAGTTACCCTCAAGAGCTCCTGGGGACAGTCATCTGGCATCATACTGGAGTTCCTGCTTAGTATTCAAGACGCTGAAGTACTACATCTCAATTGTGCTCAAATTTCTGCGTCAGAAAGCTGATGACAGAGATGGATCCAGCAGCGGGTAGACTACATTCATTCATTCATTCATTCAAACCTCATAGTATTTAATGTCGCCGTTGTGTCTTGTAGATTCCATCTCTACGTGTGCAATGCCGGGCTTGAGGCCAAGGCAAATTGGGTCGGCGGTCGTCTTCGGCTATCTACAGACTGGGTGCATCCCAGTTCATCGTGTCCGAGAAGTCATTTTCGTCATCAAGGCTCCTGTATCAATCCTCAAGGCCAGCAGGATGAAAGGCGTTGCGCGGTCCGTGGGATGTACCTAAATTTGCCCGACGGAGTGGAGGAGAGGGAACCAAGTTTGGCTGGTCCTGGAGCATATTGATACACGCAGCTTTGTAAGTTTGCTCTTCAAGTGAAGCATGGTACTGCAGAATCGGCCGTTCATTTGCTGAAGGTATGGAGATATCATCGAGGATGGACAGTTAGAGGAACAGCTGACTGACTGCTGCTGGCGACTGGGACGCGTGACTGTCAGCGCTGCTTGCAAACGTGTTGCTCATACCACGATCGTGGACAAGACCTCGCAATCCAGCCTGCCGGAACTGCTCTGCTTCACCTGGCAAGAAGATTTCCAGAACGGTCGGACACGTTCATGCTCCTGCTTCTCCTCTATCCCATCAGCCAATCTCACGCATGTGCCACTGGAACTGATGATCAGGCATTAAGATGGTCCGATGGAAAGCACGGCGCCCACAAGCCTACTCGACTTGGCAGTCGAGGTTGAGGTCAGCGGAAAATAAAAGCCCTTGTCCGAATGTTGCTGATCAGGATCTCGTCGCCGCCGTACAAAGATTATGTGGTGGGACTAAATACGACCGAGGTGAGGTTGTGAATCGCTCAACAATGGCTCTAGGAACCCATTGCAGGCACAAGAGCGTAAGACCTCGTTCCAAGTCGGCGCCGCTACCGGCGAGACTTTGTGAGCTCCCGTTATGAGAAAGATTGCGCCTAATTGTATTGCCAAAATGCCACGAAGACGGCGGCTTCAGCCTCAGATATGGAAGCCCTGAGTTTCGGGTGATGGCAAAGAGCGAAGAGCCCTCTTAATTATTGGTCATGATCCGCTGAATGACTCGCCATCATCGGCGTCCGCCGCAGATGATTGGCGTAACTTCTTAGCCACATTTGGAGCCTAGCCCTTCTTGGCTCCTCATTTTGAAGAGTCTCCTTCAGAGACTTTTGAGATTTACTTGATTAATTTTTGTTAGGATGAAGCGAGAAGGACAGCTAGACAGCGAGAACCCTGCTCAGCGGCAGCTTCCTTGGTCTTGCATAAGGTCATCTCCTACCCTCATCAGCAACCTTCGTCGCAACCATTCAGCGATATAACCGGGAAATTGCCCCGGTTCCCTTTCCTCGTGCCCGCATACGATCACATCCCGAACCTCAATTCCTACATGATCATTTCAAGTCTACTGAGCTCGTCTCCCTGCTTGTTAACTTGACACCACTTCTTTCCCAGCAGAGGGGGACATCAGCAGAAACAGCTTGGTGATGGCTCATCGATCCCTGCGCACCGACAGATATCACCTGGTAGTCTGTCCGCGGTCTCGTATGATGGCGTCCAGCATCGTTTTATTCTCCACGCGGTTCAACAACGATATTTGAACTTTCGCAAATCTTCCTCAATGTCACAATGGAGACTCTCGAACGGTACCCCTCTCCAAGTGGCATTCGTTCACACTAGACCCTTCTTTGCGAACAAGCGGAATATACCAGCAGCTTCACGAAAAGAAACATTAAGCTTAACCGAAGCTCCCGGGGTCTTTTACCTACCTGTTGTTGCAGAAGGCGTCCAGGGCAGCTTGGCTCTTCATCTGGTTGACCTACTGTCCACAGGCTCGGGTTGAGTGATCATGAGGAAGTTGAAGCAGTGTCTCGTCAAAGCAAGGACACTCGGATCTACTCTCATATCGCGCATGAAGATGTCCGCAGTTGGTGGTCGAGGTTGCGAACGTCACTTTGGTAGGTGCCTCACTTCACAAATGTCCGAGACTTGAAATAACCTACTTCATCAGTCTGATCGAATCGATGGTCCACTTTCCTAATCTTCACATCTTGTCAGCGTCGAGACTCGCAGGTTCCATGAATTTGAACACGCGTGCATTTCACGAACCTGAGATACTGTACAACATGCTTGCGTCTACCAGGTGGAATTCTTCGCTGCTCACCCACGATAGCACAGTAGCAAGGCTCCCACGAGCAAGTGCTCTGCTGATTGCACAAAGGCTCGATCCACGAGCTCTCTGTATCGCAGTCGCAGTCGCAGTCGCAGTCATCATGGTAATGTCCGTAATTGCGGTAGTCATTGCAGGGGCGGTGCTGAGTCGCCTCGACTCTGGGGCCGCTACTTGTAGCTGTTTCGCCACAACAGTGTCGTGTATAGAGGCACTGTTGATATTGCTGCAATAGCCGATCGGACGGTTGAAGAGATTGGACAATCAACCAGTTGAGTTGATGTTCGGGCAACTGGGCTGTGCTCGCCGCGGTTTGCCGGATCTCTTGGCTGTAAGGCTTTCTTCCTCCAGCCGGAACACCGAACGCGGAACGTCGCTCTTCTCTTCCAACATGGAAGATCGTTGACTCCTTACTCCCTATCCGATCGAGCTCCATCCGACGACGGCATCATATTGCAGCGGCCTCCCATCATTCGACATATGCCACTATGGACCCTCTTACCATCACGACAGGCTGCATCTCCCTGCTCAGCGGCCTCACAGCCTTGTCCAAGCAAATCACTACCTTCGCGCTCGTGGCTCATGAAGCTAGGGCGGACATGAACGCCTTTTCCAAGGAAATCGCCTCGCTGACGCTATGCCTGGACGCCCTCCGACAGCCTGATCTCATCCGCTTTTATCCAGACGCTCTGCGTCCGAATCTCACCACAATCATTCGGGAGTGTGACGGAGTGGTTGTTAAAATGAGTGTTCTGCTATCAAAGCTTTCATCGGCTTCCGTGGCTAGAAGGATGCAGTGGTCTTTCGCCGTACGGGACGAAGCGGATCGACTACGCCAGAGCCTCGAAGCCCACAAGTCCGCGCTCCAAATTGCCGTCAGCCTTGTCAGCCTCTCAGCCACCCAATCGCTCCAGAACGACACCTCTAGCATTCGGGTCAAGGCTGCGCTTCTTCCCGGGTTGAAAGAGGACACCGCACAAATTGCGGAACTACGGGCAGAACTCGCGGCCTTACGTATGGACATGAACTTGTACCGTACAGGTCTCAGCATTCCAATGCAACGCTTCCTGGAAGAATCTACGGCATATGCCGACAGCGTCTGCGACATTGCGCCCCCTTTCCGTGAGACCCCTGTTCAAGAGTCGATGCCGCCGCCATTAACAGATGGCTTGGGGCATGCCGACTCAACCCAGCAAATATCTGGTAGGGTGCCCCGCAATATGGACCAGGCAAACAAGACCCTACCAGAGCATATGCTTTGCCAAGATCATCATCATGGCAACGCCAGCGATCGAACAACCATTTACAGCTGCCCAAATAAGCCGCGCCTCGGATCAAGAACTTCGCTCGCGACCGATTCAGAGTCATCTGAAGACTTGCTGGTCCGCAATATCGCAGCCAAGTCTGACAGAAGTGATGGTCTTGCAACAGCGGCCGATGGTACAGGGTCAGAGCCAAAGCCTATGCAGAGATCCTCGCCTACTCCCGAGTCGGTCTTGTCCCGGGACCGGAAGGACGACGATTTCGTGGTCACCAGGAATATTGGCACAGAAAATGCAGTCAGTCAGGGGCGGTCGGGGCTAGACCCTGTGGGACTGAGGCCATTTGTCTCATGCTTAGTGCCGCCGTCATGTAGAGAAAAAGACGGCGACCTGGAATGGAATGCTGACATTGCAATGGAGGTCGATGATCAGCCTAGTCAAACTCTCGAACTGCAGCTGTGGGCAAGCAAACTTCACGCTGCAGTAAGTCTCGCAAGAGTCGAGCCTGTGGGATTTTTCGGAACGGTGTTCAAAACTGGCAGAGCGGTCACCAAGAAAGATGTTACAGGAGCACAAGTTGAAGCCTCCAAGACGCTGCGGGACAGAAGATCACTTGGACTTAGCGATGCTGAGCTACTCCAAGTGCTCATCTTGTCAGACTCCCAATCATTCGCTACTTGCGAATTCTCCGTGGCGCGTTCACTCGCAGCAGAGTCGTTCGAAGGAATGGCAGTGCAAGGCACCCGAATTCTTCAAACTGCCATCCGGATGTATCAGTTCGACGTAGTGGATCTCCTCATTCGACGCATGTGTACGTCAAGACAGGCCGCCGCGCAAGCGCTTATAACTGCGGTGCGCTGTGGTGCATCGCGTGTCATTCGGCGGCTGCTGGAACTTCGAGTCCCCCTTCCGCCCATCACAACCCAAGATGTTTGGCTCGGCTCATGCTATGGTATGTGGCTATTCTACAGCCTGGCCAGCCACTCCTCATTTTGCTCCACGGGCAGCAATACCGAGTTTAGGTTGCAGCTTTATGATACCTTGTGCCCCCAGACGATGATTGTTGGTTTACCGTCTGTCCTAAGCAGAAGGTTGCTCTCTAGTATGTCACAAATGGCGAATACGTCCAAATGGTATTACGGGTTTATTTATGACTTTTCTAGCGAGTATCAGCTTGTACGGAAGCTGCACGAGAACAGCCTGAGACAGTTGGTTGGGCTCGATCAACTGCCGTGGGAGACTCGAAGAGGTGAAGGACCGAGCCACGCGGCGGCTTGCGCTCAGTATCTGGAGTACAAGATTGAGGCCTACGCGAAACAGCCTTGGAGTTCGTACGAACACTATTGGTAGTCTGATGCCGCTCTTCTGCTCGTCGGCACCAAGATTCCGAGACGACTCACTCCGGCACGAATGGTGGTGGATTGAGAAATCCAGGGGAGTCGCCAAAACGAGAAACTCATTGATCAATCGCGGTGTGGTCGGAATGCCGGTCAGTTCGTATCAACCGCGCCAGTGACGGTCGATATTGGTGCTCGAAAGATATATTGTTGAAATAGTCTGTGGTCCGATGGTCGGCACAATGCAAGCGCAGAACGCGAGCACGTCGTCTGCGGTCCCTCATTTCCTCCACTAGTCACAGTTACCGTTACAGTTACAAGTCCCCGGTCAATGCAGCCGCGGGACACTCGCTGAAGTCGTACACATCCCCAGATGACCGCCTCATGGTCTCCTTGCCCAGACGCGTCGACTGGCGAGAGGAAAATTAGCACTTCCTCGCGTCGGACGTCGAAAGGATCTGGGGGGACTTACGTGTAATTCCAGGCGTGCAGCCGTGGCCTCTTGAGTTCTTCCCTCACTCTCGCCACGTATACTCTGGTTTCGTCGGCGGTCCACGGCTCCGGCGCGCCCCATCTCGTCAACAAGAACATGGCCCAGCCGTCGAGGCCGGAGCTCCACTGGGCCATGTTGATCCTCCCGGCATCCTTGAGCAGCTGATCCTTGGGCCACGGTCCGATCGGGCATTTGTACAGTTGTTCCTGAACGTCGACGAAGCCCGCGGCCTCGATCTTGGCTCGCATGGTCAACTGCGTGTCCAGCGGTCGGCCGGCCCGCTGGGCGCAATCGAGAAAAGTCTGACCCCAGCCCGCTATCAGCGAGTCCGGGTCGACAGAGCCGTCGTCCGACAACACCCGGACGTCCATCTCGATCTGCTCGATGTATCCTCCGGGTTTCAAGTTGTCGAAGCATTTCTCGTACACGGACTCCCATTCTTTGTCGGTGAAGGCTCCGAGCATCAGACGCATGTGGATCAGGTCGAACTTCTCCCGCCACGTCCACTCCTCCAGGACGTCGTCGACCTGGAGAAAGCAATTGGGCGGCACCCACGACGACGGTGGCGGAGAAAGGTCGACGCCATAGACCTGTGCGGCGGGGAATTGGTCGGCCACGTCGATGGCCCACGTGCCGGGCCCGGTGCCGATGTCGAGGATATTGTGTGGCTCCGCGACCGGCGACCGAAACAGCGGATTCGGCTGGTTGGAGTCCAAGACCAGGTACAGCAGATGGCCGGCATTGAGGGTCTCGTATTGCTGTTCGTCGGAAGGGCCCCAGTAGTCGTCCCTCAGCGACGAGTACCGGCGTCCATTGATGATGCGCCCTCGGTAGATCGAGGATGAGATGGAGGTGGTTTCGGAGATGTTGTCGCCGTCCTCGAAGGCCGAGTCGACGTCGTCGTCTACATCGACCACGGCGAGTTCGGCCTCGTCAGCCGCCAACGGCAGCGGCGCGGCGGCGGTGGCGGCGGTGGAGCTTCCCTCGGCCTGAGCACGCTCAGGCGACGGCATCAGAGTCGTTGATCGTTAATCGTAAGCTCGCCGGCTGGAGGTCTGGCATCAGACAACAGACAACCACCGTGCGTGATGATACGTATAATGTCGGTATTTGCGAGATCGAATTTTGAGCGCTGCTTTATCTCCAGATGCCTGATCAGAAGAAAAGACTTTGGACGATGGGCGGCATTGCCCCTCCACCCTCCCACCCGCGAGCGTAGTCGGCGGGGCAAGGTGATTAGCTTTCTCACCGGCGTCGCATCGTCGACATTGTCTGCCAATGAGGCCCACGTTCTGCTCCTCCCTCCAAGACAATCACCCACACTACCGATGATGGTGGCAGCCTTGATTAGCTGAAGCGTGCTGCTGTGGTCCGCATCATCCAACGTGCCGATCCGAATTCCAATCCACATTCAGATGCCCTAACACGCGGTACCGGCGCCTCTGTGCCTGTCACAGGTGGCCACGTCCGGGGATCCTCTCGGCTACAGGATCTCTCACCACAACAAGGTCGAGGCGAGGGAACCAGCGGTGGCGGAGGGGCATTCTCGCACACACGCAGAGGGCTAAGAAGCGATCTAGTCGCACCAGCACCAGACGGTAACGGTACTGGGTAGAGTTCTCACTCCAGGGCGGAATTACGAGCGATTCCTCAGCTGCTCGTGAAGAGCAAAGCTGAAAGCTGCAAGCTGCGAACTGCAAACTGCAGGCTGCGGATATCGCGTCTTCCAACCGCTCATCACCGTGCTCTCTCTCTTCCCCTCTCTCTGTGCTCGTGGAGGCGGACATGCATGCCATCTGACCTGAAACAAACAGCACCAAGCATATCCTCCCCATCGTCAATCAGTACCGGACATGGCATCCACCTCCCTCCCCACGAAGGTGCTCGCCGGCGTCACCGTGCCCGACACGCCCCTCATCAGCAAAGCCCTCGACTACACCCGCCAATACTCGACACCAGACACGTACAACCACATCGTGCGGTCCTTCCTCCTCGGCTTCATCATCGCCGACAAGGTCCTCCCGGATCGCGACCGTGAAGCCCACGCCCTCGCGGCGATCATGCACGACCTGGGCTTCCCGCTCGGCCACCCTCCCAACTCGGACATCATCACCACGGACAAGAGATTCGAGGTCGACGGCGCCAACGCCGCGCGCAGGTTCCTCCAGCGCGAAGCCCCCGCCGAGGAGTGGGACAAACATCGCCTGCAGTTGGTGTGGGATTCCATCGCGCTGCACACCATCGGGAGCATCGTGTTTGAGAAGGAGCCCGAGGTCCAGGCGTGCAGTTATGGGATTTGGGCCGACTTCCAGGGCCCGGACAGGGTGCCTGGCGGGTTGTTGACTTGGGATGAATATAATGCCGTGGTCAAGGTGAGTTGAGTTCGATCGCTGCTCGAGATCGTCTTTCCTCGTAGTGTGGCCGAACAAGTCAAAGCAAAACAAGGCATACGCATCACTGGCTGACCACGCCACATCATCATCACCAGGAATACCCGCGCTTGGATCTCATGAAAGGCCTCAAGGCCAACATGTGTCATTTGTGCGAACTCAAGCCCCAGACGACATATGACAACACCGTGGGCGAGTGGGGGGACCGGTACGTCGAGGGGTACAGTCGCAAGGGGAAACTGACGCAGGATCTCCTCGAGACGTGTAACCTCGATGAATTATGATAGGGAGCCACCGTCCGTCACGCCGTGTTAGGCTGGGATCATAATTTTTACCCCCGCCTGTCTCTTGGGCGACTGAGGGATTTAGAGGAGGGAGCTGGAATGGCATGCATGCATGCGTGCGTGCTCTTCGCATCTGGAGAGTTCTTCCTGTCTCCATACCTGGTGATACGAGTACAGTAGCCATTAGCAATATAGAGAAGGCTCCCTCGAGCGCAGTGCCGGTTTCCACAAAGGACAGTATTGTATCGTTACACTCCATCCGCCTCAGTGTTCCAGCCCAAACCGTGGAGATTCCCTAACCGTGACTCCTTGGTCGGGTTGCCTCGTCACATGCTTGCAGGCTGCCCTGCGCGTAACATCTCAAGGCACGTTCAGATACGTATATTCACGCTCACGCAGCAGGCGCTGACGCGATTGTCTCATATTTTATATACGCCTGTACTCTCGAGGCCGTATAGACCAATATCGATACAAGGATGATGATTCCACAGCAGTTGGCAAACGTGCTGCGCCCGTCCCACCTACTATATCTGACTTCGCACCGGCCTGAGATCAGGTACTGTAGACATGAGATGAATATCCATGCGCGAGATATAGTATCTCTCTGGAATGGAATGGCCCGTCCCGGTACAGACATGATTGAATATCAGAACGAATGCATCAATACTAGCTGTTCGTAATTACCTACTTGGCAGTGGTACATAGATCCACTCGGAACTAAAGACCACGAAGCCTCCAGCCCTGTCTTCAGTGGTGCACTGCTCTTGCCGCCCTGTCAATGACAGGCCATGAAGAGGAGCTCTCCCAGGTGGCCGAGTCTGAGACACGGTACTGTAGTGGAGAGAAGAACGAGTCAATCCTATGACTGGCTGGCTGGCGGGCTGGGTGTAAACTCCATATCATGGCCGATCTGCAGGTAGGAGAAGAACTCTACTTTCGCAGATGAATGCCATGACGTGCATCATAGTCGGATTCTCGAGCAAGGGACTGAACGGAGACCCCGGTGACAATATTTGGCAAGCCATGGGAAAATGGAGGACCTGACACCTCTTGTGCAATCACGGGTGATCATGCCACTCCACGGGTCCCTGGCTCCTCTTGTAGTTTGAGCTGGCCTGTGTGCATCTGCGTGCGCCTCATTGTCGGTCCCAGGAGATGCAAGCTTTGCAGGTTCGACTTGATCTGTACTCCGTATAAGCGGTAGACCTCTATGCCGAGCTAATTCCAAAATACTCGTACGACCACTTCCAGGCACGAAAGCTTTGGCGATCATCATCTTTGAAACGTCCCCGTCGGTGAATTACTCTATGCACCTGCCCTGGAGTGACATGCGGCGGTTCTGTCGGTGTTCAGACGTCCTGCAGAGAAATACCATCATATGTCGAGAACCGAAGCTCCTTCCCTCGCTCGGTTGCAGTTTGAAGGGTCGACGTAGGTGTTCATCTCAAACAGAAGCATATGACACTCCAACCCTAAGCCCCGAGCTGTCTGTTCGTGAGTGCAGTCGCGATGCCGTACATCTTGCTGTATGTCTGTAGAATCGGCAAAGTTTGCTGGGCTAGGCACAGCAGTCCACTGCCGGCTTCATCGACACCAGTCCAGGCGAATATTGGTACGTCGCCCGTATGCTTAATTACCTGTACTGGTTTGCTGTATTCTCAACAAGGCCTTGGTCCTTGACTGTACACAAGGGTGTACGAGAGGATAGCGTACGGGTCGACAGGACCTCGTTGAAAACCGTCCAGCTCCAGGGCGTTTCGTGTAGATGAGCCAAATTGTCTCGAGGCATTTGCCATCCGAATCTCAAAGTGAATTAAAGGGGTATGGACTTGCATGGGTCATGGCCGTAGATTATTACTTTGCCAGCAACGTGCGGCAGCTAATCGATTAGGCACTTCGTTGATAGAAGGCCGCAACACAGGCACTTCGTTGATGGAAGGCCGCAACAAAAGCGAGGTGAGGAGTCGTGAAGGCCACATTTCGGCCACAGGCGCCTGACGACTTGCCTGACCGCCTAATTATGAGACCAGATTCTGTGTGTCAAGACAATGCAAACTGTGACCGACAGAGTCCGTCGTGTGACCTACATACATCTCTATTCCGAGCCTGCAAGGCGAAGGCAACGCGGAGGTGGCGCTGGCCTAGCACAGATCAACGCTGAATATGCACTACGAGGTACATAGGGTTGCTGAATTCAAGTTGGACGACGGCCTGCCCTTAGCTGGCAAGGGTGGCTACAGCCAGCACCCATCGCCCATGCCATGCGTGGTCGATTCGCAGCTTGGCCAAAAGTCCGCTGTGCTTGAATGATCGAGACACTCGTGAGAACCGGCCGCATACTAATTTCTCATCAGGGATCGCAGGCATACAAGGAGAGCAGGAAGCCATGTACCTAGTAAATCAAAAATCCCAGATCAAGACGTCCACGGAGAGGAAATGGTGAGTGAGTGAGGCCAAGGTGAGCAAGATGCACTATGTACTGTAATCAATCAGTTTTCAGGTCTCAAAGCACACTCTCTGTCAAGCTAATGAGCAGCTCGGCTGGTGGTTGCTGTACATTCACTGTATGTACTCCGTACGAGTACTTGGTAGCTTTGAACCGTGTACTCCGTACATAGCACACTGACCCAGCGAAGGAAGTCCTCGACGACCGACTGCACGGACAGCTGACAGACATCCGAATCACTGTACGGCAGCTTGTCCTCGAGCAATACCACATCTTCGTCTTTCTGTCCTGTGCCAAATCTGCTATTCACACGTTACGTGTCCGGCCAATGCGTGAAGCCTGATCTGGCGAGATCTGGTGGTCAAGTCGCGAGTGACCCTGCCGCTGGAGAAGGATGCTTTTGGACCGGAAGAACCATGTGCATACGGGACCTTTTTGGCATGAGTATTTTGGAACACTATATTCAGCCCGGTGCGGAATATCTTCTGCAACTCAAAGAGCCATTTCCAAAACCCGCCCGGTCCCATGGTGAGGAACCTTGAATTCGAGCCTGACTTCGCCCCGACATCCTCGGCAGCTCATAAGTCACCGTTCTACCTTCTTGTAGCACGCTCCAGCTACAGACACCACATCATCCCGTCAACCACCCCCTAAACGACATACCTAAACTGCTTGTCATTCCCGGATTCCGAGTGGTTCTGAAGGTGCACGGTGTCGCGGTCCCGTCCATACTTCTCATCACGCTTCTTGTTGGCGCGATGCAACAGGCCCATCTGCATGACGCTCGTCACCACGACAAGCAGACACGCGCCGCAAGAAACCCACATTCCCTTGCGATAGTACGGCCCTTCGCTCTTGGGGAAGATGTTGGTTCCCAGGACCGGGCCGCACTGGCCTCCCGTGGCGAGAATGGCGAGAGCGACCGCCCGTTTGGAGTCTGTCGCATGTGTGTTGCCCACCCAGGTCAGCGTCATGGCCACGGAAACGAAGATCAGGACCGCCAGGAACAGTGCAAAGTAGCGCGGGCCGGTGGATGAGGTGGTGCCGAGAATGATGTAGCCCACTGCCGCCAGGAGGGCCGGGGTGGCGACGAAGATTCCACGCATCTGAACTCGGTCGGAGATGAAGGCCGTGCCGACGATGGCGAACCAGCACAGCACGTAAGGCGGAGCGGACATGCCGTTCGACTGAATCGTCGAAAACTCGCCCATCTCGGAGATGATCGTGGGCACGAAGAGCGGGAGCGAGGCGAAGCAGACGTTGCAGCCGAAGTACATCAGTGGAGGGAGATAGGCTGCACAGCAGGTTAGTATCAAGCATGACGCACGTTGAGGGTGGGAGAATCGAGCTCCCTAGGCAAGAGTGCCACTCACATCGGTAGTCGATCAATCCTCCTAGCACTTGCTTCCATTGCAGGCCCTTCTTGCCGGATCTGTCACCAGGTTGTCTCAGAGACAAATCCACGGCGATCTCTCGCTCTCTCTCATTGAGGAACTTGCAATGATGCGGCGAGTCCGGCAGCCAGAACCACGCCACGACGGCCAAAAGACAGGTCGGAACGCCTTCGACGATGAAAAGAATGCGCCATGGGCCAATGCTGCCTTTAGCTTGAGAGATGCCGTACGCCAGCGCCGAGCCGTATGCGTTGGCGGCTGCTGAACCGGAGAGGAAGATGCCGGTACGCAGACCGAGCTTCTCGCGCGGATAGAAGAAGCTGAGATAGAGAGGCACACCGGGGCCGTACGCAGCTTCGAATATGGCGAGGAAGACTCGACAGATCATGACGCCAGCCCAGGACGAGCATGCCGCTTGCAGGGTGGAAACCACGCCCCAGCCGAAGACGACGAAAGCCACCCAGGCGTGTGGTGGGAAGGCTTTCCAGCCCATTTGTGTCCATTGGGAGAGAATGTCTGCGCGGGGGAAAGCGTCAATTGAGGGTTATCAGGCCGCTGTGGACGGGAATATGAAGCCTTGTCGGTCTGGAGAAATTGGGTCCGCACTTACAGGCAATGTAGAATGTGGTTCCCAACCAGTCATACCGTCTCCCCGACAGATCGATGTCGTCTTCCATACCAGAGATTCTGGCGTTGCCCAAATTCGACCGGTCAAGCACCGAGAGTGAATAGAGCACAAAAATCAGGGGCATGAGATGCCAGTCGAGCTTGCGAATGACGGCATCTTCCTCCTGCTTGGTGTACTGCGGCGCGACACGGGGGTCATATGGGTGCGTAATGTCATTGTGTCCATGGGGGACATCCTCCGCGGTCAAGACCGTGGGCTTCTCATCGGACGAAGACGCGTTCGACGAGGGCGAGTGGATGGCTTCTATGGGAGTCGGCCCCGTGGCAGGCTTCTCGCTCATTATGTCTTTTGACTCCATGTTGGCTGGACAAGGCTTACACCCTCAGATGTGACAATGAGCTCAGCAGCGGAGGGCAATGTAGCACGAGGAGAAAGGGGGTGCGAAGAGGTAGAGTTACAGTCGCGCAGGGTCTGGGTGGTCCAACCTTTTTATCTAGATGCAAGCGAGACGACCTTTCCCAGTCGCGTAGCAGCGATCCATCTGGGTCAACTCGCTCCCATGCGGTTGGGATCACCGGTAGATGTTCCTACGGGCGACAGTTGCTCATCTCCACCACCGAGACAGGGTCAAAGGGCAGCATTCGGCGTGGATCACCGCTGACTGCCGGTGGAAGTCATGACCGATGGATCTACGAAGCATCCGAACCGCTTCGCCTTAGGCAGAAAGAGTGACTGCCGAACCGGACAATGAGCGGCGATCTCTGCATAAACTCGTACGAGTAACAGCCCGGTGCCAGTCCTTGGAGAAAGAACTGAGCTGGATGTTGAGGTGGATGTCCGGTGCGGAGGCCTTGATCTCATACCCCGTGTCTCCAGGCTGCGTAGTGCCTGGGCAGCCGACGGGATTGGGCGGCGAGGCAAGGAACTGGGGGGCGACTGGGGGCGCCACTGGGGAATTAGGGCCCCCGAAGGAGCTTCTCCACGGCGTGTTCCCGTGTCTGCCCGATTTGGCATTGCTAGGCTTCTCCAAGCTTCCAAGCCACGTTTCTTAAGCATGCTTGTTCCCAGTCACATTCTGGGATGAACCATGGCACGAGCGTGAGCCTGCTTCCAACCGGGCGAGACTTTGACCGAGCACGCGAGTGCAGCGTGGAAGCGTGGCAGCGTGGCGAGAGTCTAGACCGAGGCACTACGTTTATCCAGACACGCAGAGTCTTGCTTTGGTGAGGACGGTCTACTCGTATCGTCAGCAGACTGAGCCCAAGAGATGACTGTGGCGAGTAGAGGATGGGTGATATTGACGAGGATCATGAGATACAGAAATCCACGACGACCGGTGGTCAGCAACTTGCTGACTTCCGTCTCACTTGACAGGCAGGCAACGTGTACCTCGTAGTGCCTACCTGTAGCATCTACCCGACCAGCAATGCACAGATCATCGTTGAGAGTGTCTCCAACCAGCCTCATCGCTCCAGAACAGCAACCAACACTCTAGCCGGCTTGGTACCCATGACTTAGGGCAGCGGCATCCTTCTCCAAGAGTCGTATTATATTCTATCTCAGCAGCTTCGTCTGTCCTTCCTGTCTCAGCCGTCAGCAGTGAGGCAGCTCAACGAAGGGCCCAGGTGACAATCATTCTTAGAAACCAGAGATGATTCCCAATGCCCAAGGTGAGCCTTGACAAGCTCGACATCTGCGGTGCACTTATACCTCAGAGTCGATCAGTCCACAACTTATACCCTTCTGTGCCAACCTACCTCCCGCCAACCGACTCGGCGAGCAGACCACCTGAGATGGCGAACCCAACCCACCAGAATCCCTTGCCAAACCACCACCAACAACTCGCGCTCTCGCCCAACTGCACCCTGTATATCATGGTCGCCAACGCGACAGACGAGCCCCCCACACCCAGAACGTAGAACCACACCGATAGCTCAGCCATCACGCCACAGATGACCAACAAGAGTGCCATCACGCCCAACAGGGCCCAGAGAACCTCTTTCATCCACCCCCGACACAGCACGGCAAGCGACTTGATCCCGAACTTGATGTCGTCGTCACGGTCCTGGTGCGCGTACACGCTGTCATAAATGACCGACCACAAAACGCACGCCCCGAAAAGACACACAGCAGACCAGTCGACGCTAACATCCCATACTGGGCTCGCAGGGACGGACCCAGCGGCGCGTGCAGGCGTACACCAGCCAGCAGCAGTCCGAAGACGTGCGGGAAGTAGATCAGAAAAAGGCCCGCAGGGGGGTTCAACCGCGCCAGCTGCACGTAAGGAACCCACGAGGCGGGGAGGCGCGTCACCCAGCTGGAGATGGAGTTGCCGCCGTACTGGTGCGCGAGGGAGTCCGGGGTGGTGGCCGGTCTGGCTTCCTCCTTCTCGTCTTTGTTCTTCCCCTTTTCATGCGCTGTCGCTTTGCTCGTCGCCAAGGCGGCGATGGCGGGATTCCTGACCATGGCGAACGTCCGGATCAGGTCAGGTCAGGTCAGGTCAGGTCAGGTCAGGTCAGGTCAGGTCAGGTCAGGTCAGGTCAGGTCAGGTCAGTTCAGATCAGTTCAGATCAGATCAAATCGGTGAGGACGGGAGTGCCGACCGAGTGTAGCTGTCAGACTTTGGACGTGAGACTCAGTATCCTCCACGCGGGCATCATAGATATAGGCAAGCACACAGAGGGAACACCACCGTGTAGAAGCTAAACACACATCGTGTCTTCATACCTTGACCCATTCAATTCCCCGTGCCTCCGGAGCCGAAACAGAAATGTCGTTCGCATCGCATTGCATTGCAGTGGTCTTGGCCTTTTGCGGCCTGGCCAGCGAACAGTGTTCGTCCGGAGGATATCTGCTTTGAGTGCGGCGGAGGGATTGCGCTTCCGCTTCGAGAAGATCCAGGCCCGCGACATGCAATCAGGCACTGTAATAACGGCGCGGAGGTATATCTGTTGCACAGGAGATAGACAGACAAGACAGACCAACCTCTACTCGCCGGGGTCCTGTGCATCAGTGTTTGGACGGTGGTGGCGTGCAATTTGGCCTCACCGTGGTTATCAGTAGATGTCACATGCTTGGTCCGAGCACAGTAGTTGGAACGGATGTAGTACAGCAGTAGAGGAGACATTCAAATGCGACGCTGAAGAAGTGCTTTCCCCGACGGCGTATACTTGCAAGCTTGGCTGCAGCTCAATACACGGCGAGGACAGAAGCGCGCGACAGACGGCTGAAGTATATTGGATGGATATGCATGTACAAAGATTAGATGGTCGGTAGTCCCGTCCCAGAATGCTAGGTACTCCCTTTTCTTCAGCCCATGCCAACATATTTGAACCACAGTGGCCGGCAGTCTTCCCGCTGTAGCCACGGTTCGCCTCCGTAAAATTGCCCGGGTGTGCATCCCGAGCACTTCGGGGAGTTCGGGCAGTTGTAGAACGGGATATGGTTGTATCCGATATCCTTGAACCTGTTGCTCGTTAGTCTCTGTGTTATATCCTCAAGCCAGAGCAGAAAGGCCGTCATACCAATGGATCCTGCTCGCATCCTCAAACAAGCCCAGAGCAATACTATGCACCGGCGCGTCCCCCCATCTCTCGTAAAAGAACCCTCCGGTCCGGTCCAGATGCGCAAAGTAATCTTCGTACGCTTGGGACCGCCAGAACGACATGTCGGCGATCTCGAAATTGGACCAGAAGTGACACGTGCTGTAGCCGTGCGCCTTGATATTATTGTCCGGCCGGCGATTGTTGTCTACCAGCCAGGCCATGGCATTGTTCTTGTGTAGATAGTCTGGGTGCGAGGCCAGGAACTTGATGGTTTCGGGCCATAAGGAGGGAATGGATTCGGGGGAATCGAACAGGTTGATGTTGAACCCGTAGGTTTTGTTGTGGTCTTGCATATACCGGAACACATCGTAGTCGACGTGGCAGAAGAATTTGACCTTCGGTTCCACGCGCCAGTAGTACTGTGTATTTTCAAGAGCGGGATGCCGGTAGAACATGCCGCTGTTCCATCTGCACATCTGATGGTAGGATTTGAGTCCTGCATATTGTACGTCGTTCTCTTTCAGGATCTTTGCGGATTCTTGGTAGAGTTCCTCTGACACCCATGAAGGCATTTCCCAATGCTCCTTGGGGATGACGTGGTATGAGCATTTCGCTTTGGTCACTGCTTGGGTTTGTTCTTTGAATTCGTCGGTGAAGGGGACGTCGTTGAAGAAGGTCCAGGGGTAGTTGAATTTAGAGTTCCACGTCTCTTCGAGTTGTTTCATCGTGGGAATAAGTTCTTGGAGTTCTTCGTTCCGGACGAGTGAGAGGAGTGTGGCGTTGATGCGTGCTGAATTGACGCTGTCGGGTGCATAGTCGTGGTCTGTATGCCGCCATAAGGGTTCGGGTGGCTCGCCGATTGCTGCGAGAGATGTCAGTATGGTCGCGTGCATGGTTGACGGTCATCGTACGCTCTAGTAAGGGATCTTGCTCCCAGTTCTCGATCTTATCGCCATTCCCCGTCACTGTGCCCGGAGGCTGTATCGTTGGGACCGGCCGCAAGTACTGGTAAATGAGGAAGAAGAAGAGGACGACCGACAGGGCTCCCAAGAACCGCACGGGCTTCGCAATGGCCATTTTGTGAAGCGGCTGTTAGCCATCAGCCATGACGAAGAGAGAGCGAGCTCTGCCGAGCGTGGTGTGCAAATGAGATAATTGCCTCGCACCAAGAAAAGAAGAGCCACGCCGTGGAAAAATTGTTTGATCGATGGTTGAACCTTCGCGGTGGCTCACTCGACACGCCATGGGTACGTGGCTTGTATGTAGACCCGCTTTAACTACCCCGGCGAGCCGGGCCCTGCTGCTAGGCGCCCACAATCCTTCCAGGCGTGCCAGGGTCCCCCAACGCGGATCTCAGGCACCAACAGCCTCCCCCACCAATGTAGATGTCGAGTTTGCTCGAAAATTTCCGTCCACAAGCCAGAGACCTCAGCACAACAGCAAGACAGCACATCTACCTTGTCGATGCAAAGTCGCTGAGGTCGCAAGGTCAACAACAACACCAACACCAACAGCATGGAGATCCTCCGCGAAGCACCCAAGCCATCCTCCTTCGTCCCCCTCATCGAGCATCAGTCCAGCACTCCCGCCTCGTTCTACACTGGCCCGCCCGTCCTGCACTACTACAGCGACAGGAGCAAACTGGTCGTGCTGGAACATGAAGCGCAATCGATCCCAGCATTAGCACCCCTGCTCGAGGCATCTGCGCCGCAACCAGATCCTCAACCTCAAGCCTCGACCACAAACGGCACGTCCGACACCAATGCGACAGGGACGCAGAGAGTCATCACCGAGCTGGACGTCTACGTCACCTCGGACAAACTCCTCCTGTATCAAAATGCCGTGAACGTCGGTCTTGCAATACCGTACCCGTCCATTTCATTACACGCGATCCAATCCCTCCCCTCCCCTGCCCCGGGCGAACAACAGGGCCTCTACATGCAGGTGCTCTCAAAGACCCCGGAAGCAGGTGAAGACGAAGACCCAGAAAGCATATCCCTAACAGTGATCCCCACGGCGTCCGCGCCGCCGCAAGTCACGTCCACCGCGTCAGGGACGACAGAGACGGGACTTGAAAGCGAGGACGAGAAAGAACAGACGCCCGTGCTGGCCATGTTCAACGCTCTCTCCGCTTGCTCCAATCTTCACCCGGACCCGCTCGAGCCCGGCGACGACGACGACGGGGACGACGATGCAGGCCCCGGCGGAAGTCGACTGTTCAGAGCGGGTCTTGCGTTCCCCGGCGCCAGCGATGGTGGATTGCCACCCGCGATGCCGGGCAGTGGAGGGTGGATCACCGCGGACAATATGCACGAGTTTGTCGACGAGGAAGGAAACTGGATCGGTGGGGATGATCAAGGGGAAGGCGAAGACGAGGAGGAGGAGGGGAATGAGAATGGAGATGGGGCGACGGCTGGTGGTAATTATAGCCCTCTAGGCCCTGGCGCTGGCACAGTCCGACCACGAGACGATGGCCAGCAGGGCAACGGAGCTGACGACAACACGAAATGGAGATGAACAGACTAGGGCCGATGTGCTTCACTGGTTGATCCATCCATCGCAGGCTGAACTGAGAATCCAGGATCGAAGACTTCGACAACCGGTATGCATGCATGCATGCCTGCCTTGCAAAGATCGCGGCATATGTATCAATAGTCCTGGACCGGAATGACTAAAAGCAGGAAATGTAAAAAGGCACCTAGCCTAGTAGTGCATAGATACCCATGATGCTCGAGAACATGATACCGGCCATATCACTTTCGGGCTGGTACGTATGCTTTCTGTAGCAACACCTACGATTGATAACGCGTCACAGCGATTTGGAGCCGCGCTTGTCACGGGCTTCATGGCATCATGCCCGTGATCGACATTGCAGTCCGTCGCACTTGGTCTCCTGTCGCAACCTCGACAGCTTGTCAACCAGTGATCGCGCTTGATGTATCAGATAGTGCCAATCCTCCTTGTGGATGGAAAGGCGCCTTCTAACGACTCCGCCAATAGCTCAAACCGTTCTCCAACCTCAAATTCCCCCGTGGCACCAACTGCTCGTACACCTGTGCTGGAACTTCTCGCCACAGCTCTCGTACCCACGATGAGAAATCCGACATGTTTCTTAAACTCATTGCGAACTTTCGAGATCTCCTGGCCCAGCGACGTGTCCTCGTCGAACACGAACGTCGAGTAGCCTTCTCCCACTCCGTCGTCGTCGTCATCCTCGTCTGAAGACGATGCGAAGTCTCCCGCGCTGGTATTCTTGCCGCCTCGCCGACGACGACTCTGTGCCGAGATGAAGCTGCTGGCTTCGAAGTCGCCTTCGTGTCGCTCCCGTGGGGCCGCTTGCATCCCCGTGTTGGTCACCGCCGTTGTTATCATGTCGGAGAAGCGGATGCATAAGTCGAGGACAGAGATCAGGGAGTCGCGGAGGGGTTTCATCCGTTCACTGCTCAGACAGGCGTGTTCTAGCGCGAATATGTACCGGCCGTGGATCGAGATCATGTCATCGAGGCTGTTTGTTGATGCGGATCGTAGCCATTCGCGCATGTGGGATGTCAGAGGCTGAATGACGCAGCTTGTCAGATGAGTGTAGAGAACATTGACGAAAAGTAAAATTTGCCAGTACACAAGCCGCGCCAGATTTGTGTCGGTCTGATTGTCTATGAGAGGCATGTGCTGGATGTAGAAATTGGCTCTCCGCTCTAGTTGGTGTTTAGCGCGACGGACTTGACTCAACGTCAGTGCGATGCGTTGATAACACGCTATCGAAGTTGGGAGGATGATGTTGGCGAGAGGCCACGCGAGATGGTAGGATATGGACACAGCGGCGAGAATCTTGACGGAACGACGGCGATTCTCCATCGTCCTCGAAGAGGTATATGCTGTCTGAATAGTGATGGCCTTGGCATCCACGCAGTTAATATCGTTATATGCCTCGGCCAAGAGGTCACTGAGCAGAAAACGATCGTTCCACATATCCAGACAATGGTCGATTTGCTTGAACATCTTGTTCTCAATCGCGTCGAGTATGACCCCATCCTTACCAAGATATAGGTAGTCGAAGGCGTCCAGGAGTTTTGTTAGACCGCAGCTAGTTTCCAGAATGTGTTTAAGCATGCTTGTGGAGCTGTTGAGAAGAGCACTAAGATGCCGCTCGAGAATCATGTCAAAGGTAGCCGAGAAGGGCAGCGGCGAGTTCGCGATCAGATTTGCGGCCTCCAGTGCAGCAGCAGCCACTCCCAAATCACCAGCTTGGTCGTCTAGAGGCACGGCGTCCAGATGTTGCAGATGTTGCAGAAAGGCCGCTGTCTTGCCGATCGTGAACATCTTTGCCGTGAACTTCTTCAGAAATGCTGGTACCACATCGGGTGAGTTAGATGTTAAGCTGAACCAATCATGCCACAAGCTGCTCTTTTGCGGCGGTTTTTTGTGGTTCTCAGCGATGAAGAAAGCTTTCGTCTTTGCGATACCGCCGGTGTGCAGCCAAGTGTCGATAGATTTCGCATGAAGCGTAAGAGCAGAGAGGAAAATGGGAAGCAGAGATTCCACGTCGACGATGTTGCAAGATGACTGCGCAATATCGACGGCATTATGGATGGCATCTAGGACAACAACCGGGTCGTTTTTGGTCAGTTGCGAAGTGATGGTTTTGAGAGCTTTCAGTGGAAGACTCGCCCTCTTAACCCTTTGTAACACCTGGAGTAGGCTGACCACTCCAGTATGCGAACTCTGATGCAGGATCCCAGTGTGCTCTTGAGATATAGTCCGCTCAAAATCCGCGAGCATCTCGCTGATTTCGCTGTGAACAAGTTGCATGACACTTGTGTCCTGACGGCCTCGCAGCCATTGGCGTATTGGTTGAATTTCTGCAGCGATATCTGCGGCTTCCTTCAATATTGATTCAGACGTGGCCGATTCTAGGTGCCGGATGCGGTACCGAGCGCTGGGCTCGAAACCGTCATCAGAACGCGTGAAGACCGACGTCGGCAGGCCGCTGAACATGAACAACACTTCTCTAACAGCCTGCGTCTCCGTGATTGTGACATCGTCGCCAGGCGTCCGCCAGAATTGGGCGGCTTCTAGCTTTGAGGCTACTTCGACGGTAGGTGCATCGAATATGCTGCCCTCATCCAACTTTTCGGCGTGTCGCTGTTTTACGCTGGCCGGCGAAGTCTGCGTACTCGAAGCAACAACTTCTTCCTCCTCGTCGGAGCTGAAGTCAGAATACTGCGGAACTTGCCAGATCGGGTCTCCCCGATCAATAGGATCCTCAGCCTCGATATCGTGCCACTTCAGCACCGGTTGGACCGCAGAATCAGGTCTCAGCTTCTCCAGATCCTGAACCCGACTGTACTTCACCGGATCAACTGATAAGTGCAACAATAAGTCTAAAACATCAGGCAACCACTTAATGTCCCCATGGTCCCGATTTAGCTCGACGCGTCGTGAGAACAGTTCGCCAGCCACATCGTCGCGATTGAGAACCTGGAATTTTTCCTCCAAGCCGATGAGCTTTTCCGTCACTGCAAACTGGTTCGTCCGTCCGTAACTGTGGTGCTTGACGCGCCGGGCGATGCTGTCCTTGTGTTTGGCGACGGTTGTAGAACTAGTTGCTGGCGGGATGAATGTAAGGGTGAGGGCATCGACCCAGTTGTTCACGGTGGTCGTAGAAGCCATGGTAGCTCCTTTTCTGTTGTCAGCGTAATTTGCATTATCTGGAAATAAACGATTCAAGCGCGATTGAGAGGGCAAGAGGCGCCTTCTTCAGTATGCCAAAAGAAAGAAAGTGTGGTTTAATGTCGAAGAAACACAAACGCGTCTGCAACTGCTAGTGTGACAAAATGACGCTGCATGACCGTCACATAGAATACTTGAGCACGCGAAGTACCCGGAAGTAGCACTTCTCTTTATCGTCATTACAAGATCTGGTATGCCATGACTGCGTCCAATCACATTAAACAGGCTTCGGGATAACTTCGGGTGTAAGCAATGAGCCCAACATCATTCACTTTCGCTTCAATTTCAACTTGGCTTTTTGTCGTACTGAAGACTAGGCTTGGTGCTAGACACGATATACGTCTCGCTTGCCCACGTGGTGTTTCCATCCTTCTGAGACCACCTTTGCCAACTTCTTTCAGTCGATTGCGTGCTTTTCCCCTTCGCGGCGGATGAAAGCAACAGAGAGGATACCACAGTTGCACACGCGCCCACATCCCCACGACACATGGCTGGTAACGCCTCCAGCATCACACAGCTTCGACTGCCTTCGGTCGGTGCTGATCCAAGTTTTTCGTAGGGTCTGACTCCCACTCTCGGTTGTGTTCGGTCCCTCGACTCAATTTGTACGACTCTTTGCCCTTGTACTGCGCGGTATTCCAGTTATGTGCCCGCTGCTTGACCCACTCATCGGCGTTCAGAAGAGTTTCATTAGATGACTTCTCCAGCCTCGCCACGTCCTCGTCTGAAGGATACTGGAAAAGATCGCGCAATTTCACGCTCGAGTTCGGACGTGAAAAGTAAACCACGCTATGTCGCATGCAGTCCCCCTGCTCTCCGGGAGGCGCCACGACGCGGTGGACCGCACTGTACAGCCTCCCTCCCAGCAGCTTGATCAGACTGTCGCCCAAGTTGATCACCGCACAGTCAGGCCGAGGGCGCACGTACTCCCAGTCTCGCTTGTTGGGCGCAAGCACCTGAAGCCCGCCTAGCCGGTTGAACAGGACGGTGACGCTGCCGAAATCGGTGTGTTCGCCGAGAGTGATGGTCTCGGCTGGTCTGATTGGGGGTGCACAGGTGACACGAGCCTGGTCTACTGATGGCTTCTCAAGCTCGTGGAGGGACTCCAACAGACCCGCTGGCACACCCAGCGACTTTCCGAGCGAAGTCGTGATGGTGTATATGATTTGGTGACATGATTTCATGAACGTCTTGAGCTCGTCGAAGCGGTCCAGGACCACTTGGGGATGATGGCCCGTCGCCGTTTTGGGCGGCTTCCCATTCGCAGATGCTGGCTGCGGGATGCCCAGGACCTCGTCCTTCGAGACGTTGTAGAACTCACTGTGGTCCTTTGTGCCTTTGTCATCGACAAACATGGCGCCGGATCGCTTATAGCCGTAGTAGTGGCCCGTGGTGCCCATGTCGTACTTGAGCTTCTCGTCCAGTGGCAGAGAGAAGACGGAGTCGGCAAGGTTGAACATGAAGTGAGAGTCCACATGGTGGTTCGACAGGTAGAAGAAGCCATAGTTCTGGCACGAGTGAAGTAGGATTCGAGCTTGCTCTGGGTCTCCCTGGGCCAGAAGATCGAAATCGACGGTGGCTATGTCGGCCACTGGCACGTCCGAAGGAAAGGGAGGTATATTGTTAGCCATTTGGAGTACTGCCGACCTGTCTCTAGTTTAGGCCACTGTCGTTAATTGTATAAAGTCTGAGTCGGGTTGACAGTTTCATCGTAAGGAGTCACGTTCAATCTCAACAGAAGTTGCGAAAGTCGATGATGTCGGCCACATCTAACCCTCTTCCCTTGGAATTCGGGAAAGGCGGGGAGGCGTCGTAACACGTTCGGCGATTTTCCGGGGAAAGGGATTCGGTTGGAGATGATGCAGACGGAGTGACGATCCTCTGGGGTGACTGGGTCGAGAACGCGGGGACAAGGAGCAAGTCAGCGTCCGACGGTCCATAGGTATCCAAGGTACCCTTTATAGGGGGTCAGATAGTGCCGAGTGTACCCATATCCGAGGTCGTGGCATTTTGTCAAAACTTGGTTGTCCCTAAAACGAAGGAGAAGTCTATGGGAATCGGGGATGTCGAGGAGAAGCTGAGGAACCTGGCACTCATAAGAGCATAGGACGACGCTCCGAATGACGTTAGGCGAGCATTGCCCCAGCACCTACGAGTACGGGTCACCCAGTGGGCGCCCAGTCTTGTTGAAGGCGGTGACTCGTGGTACGGCGGACGAGCATGAGAAAGAAAGCCACTTCCATGATCCTGATTCTAAGACGCTCTTGGATCACTGATCTTCGTGCACACTCGTAATCCTCGAATTCACCGGAGCGACAGCTCATAAAGGCAATAAGGCCAGGCTCTGGAAGCCTCGTACGATGCTGTCGAGACTGCCGGGTGTCTTTTTGCTTGGATAACTGGCTGCTGGCTGCAGAGATTGCTAGAAATGCAGCCTGTTTGAACGGATTGCTGCGGATGGGCTTGGGCCACGGCTCTGCACCTGGCACATTTGTAGCTTGCCTAGAGACACTGCTCGAGAATATCGTGGTTCAGCCATGTAGCCAGAAGCAAGAACGGTTGCAAACAAGCTCGCCAGTCCGCCGTAGATCCGAACGTTCTTGTTCTTGTAGGTGTCACCCCCGACAGCGTTGCCCCTATATTGCTTTCCATGCTACTCTAGTGCTTTTGTGGCTGCCACGTATCTCGCCATGTATGCCATCCCGGAGACATAGTTGCCGAAGAATCCAGATACGTGACCAGTGGCCTCGTCGATCAGCACAGTAGAGCCCTAGACACGCCAGTACTCGGGGATGCTAGTCTCATCGCGATGCTCAATCGCATGCATCAGGCCTACCCAAACGGCGGTCATGAGAGCACCAGAAGCACACTGGTAGGATTTGGGATAACTGGCACACAGTCTCTGATGAGACAAGCCTCCTCGGAAAGAGCTCATTTCAAATGTCCACGAGAAGTCATGTCATGAAGCTGTGAAGTCTCGATTGGGAGACCATTAGAAAGAACACGTGCACTTCCGTCGCAACGAGTGTGAGTGTGACGGCTGCCCACGAAGCAAGGTATACAGTACAGTGACTAGTTTTCTTGGCACTGAAGCTCCGAGTTGGAGAAGCTGCGTGTCGTTGCGTCAATGAGCAGCACAAGCACGAAGACCGACACGAAACGAGTCGTGCAAGCTACTGGGCAGCAAGTTCAACAAAAGCACCCCAGCATGCGCCAGACCAACAGTCCCAGAAGGCCGTGATATCGTCCATCATGAAGAGAGCCTCCAGACCGCTTTCTGCGCGAAATGTCGACAGCTTCCTAGATGATACCTTTTTCTTCTGCCCCTCTTGCACGACATGGCGCACGTCGAGGCCTCTGCGAATCCGACGAACAGCCAGCACCAGCACCAGCACCAGCCCCAGCGCCCGTCGTTCCGCCTCGACTCTCACCTCCACCACGGCCGTTAATGGCAGGATACCGATCCCGCCTCGGTACAAGCCTCTGTACGATGCGCTTGTCGGCGTGCAAAAGAGAGCCTCGGCGCAGGTGAATCTGAGTAGATTGCAACTCGCGCTGCAGGGGCTCGAGTCCGACACACCCGTGACGAGGGTCGCGGTCTTAGGGCTGAATGTGCAAGACACGGCGAGGAGGCTCGTGAGGTTACTGCTCGCCGACGCGCTGGAGGGGGAAGGAGGATGGGAGAAAGAGCTAGTACCATCACAATCACAATCACAATCACAGGCAGGGTCAGAACAGGGGACTGAGGACTACAGTCGAGGGTTGATGATTCGGTACGGGCACCCACGCAATTCGAACCTACCACGGCCCAAGACGAGCATTCCGGTTCTGTATGTGCCTTCAACGGTCCTGGACCGCAACAACGTCGAGATTCTGGTGTCGAGCATCAGTAGTCCGCGGACTGGTGAACTTCTGCAGGCCGCCAGGACGGTGGCCTCGGACGCGTTCTTGTCGCCGTCGATCGGGACGCCTACGGCCGCGACGGGCAGACAAGTGACGATCGCGCAGCCCGTTCACAGCTCCTTGGTGGTGACCAGGGGACTGGACGAGCTGATGCTGGCGGCGGAGTTGCTGGCATCTACAAAGTTCACGGCACCGGAAGACCGAGAGTCTGTTCGCTTGGTCGTGAACTTGGAGGAGACCAAGGACAAAAACGCCGGACAAGTCTTCGTGGTGGATGTAAGGAAGGCTGAAGAGGGGCTTGCTGCGATCCGGAGGTCGATAGGAGAAGCCACTGATTACGAGCACAAATGGGTGGACTCGGGCATGCCATCTCTATCGAGCTGGCTTACAATGGCTTCGGCGGCACGATCAGAGGGACAAATTCCGCCACCTGTACAACGGTTGATATCTTCTTTGCTGACAGCCGCGACTACCAATCTACAAGCTCAAGCTGCTCTAGAAGCACAGACGAATGCAGCCGGAGCACTGAGTCCCGCCAGCCGAGCAAATCTCGAGGACGCCGTGGAAGAGTTCTCCCGCAACGCCCATCAAGAGCTCCAATCTGGATTGGCCTCGGCTTGGGACTCACGGAATTGGCGAAAGCTCGCATGGTACAAACTGTTCTGGCGCGTCGACGATGTAGGCCTGATCATCGCAGACCTGGTCACCAATGCCTGGCTGCCGCGCACAGAACGGGCCGTCTATGAGCTATCTGGTCGACTGTCTCAGGCGGGCATTTCGCCAATGGAGTCACAACCGGCCCCACCGACTTTGACAGCATCAGAACCAGCGGGGCGTAAGAAGAACGAAGTTGAGCCGGTCCTGCAAGCTCAAGCCTACGTTGCAACAGAGCCTCCAGTGCAGCCAGTACTGGTGAATACCACTGGGACGACCGAGGTTAAAATGGCTCCGATCCCCCGACCACTTCCTTTATCATCGTCCATATCCCGGACACGGTCCGAGCATATGGCTCGCGCGATTGCAGAGTTGACCAGCACCGCCCAGCAAATCGTGCTCAAGACCGCTTCGCTCGCAGGGCTTTCGGGTGGCCTGTCGGTCCTGACTTACCTCTCCATCACACCGGGAAGCATGTACGAAGCCGGCACAATAGCCGCGCTGGGCGTCACCTATGCGCTGTGGCGTATGCAAGGTGACTGGCAGAAGGCCACAAAGTGGCTCGAGGATTCCTTGTACGAGGAAGGCAGGACCGTGATCAAGGGCATCGTCAGGAGGATGAGGGAGCTGATTGAGAACAGCAGTCGCGTCGTTGAGGATGAGGTCGAAGTACAGAGTCGACGGCAGGCAGAGGACGCAGTAATGAGGGCCAAAGACGAGCTACACCGACTGCAGAAGTAGATAGCGTCTGGGGTCGCTGGCTGGTTCATAGCGTACTAGTAACTCGTACCCCCCGCTGAAATTATCACATGTTGCTCAGCCAATCTCGACGGCGTCGTCAGGCACACCACGCCTGCTCTTCAGCGTCTGCGCCCAGAACTGCATCATGGGAAGAACCTCTTCTCTGTTCTTGGGCATCGAGTCATCCGCTTTCTTCCATCGATGGTACTTCACATGCTCGTAGACCGAGTTGACGCGTTTGAGAGGGCTAGAGTCCACCGAGGCCAACGGCGATTTAGAGCCGGATAAAAGCAGAATCGGCGTTTTGTTCTTGGAAGTGCTGTTGCCCGTGCCTGTGCCCGTGCCCGTGCTCGTGCTTGGGAGGGCCATAGATAGCGGCAAGGATCCCCCTATCGAAACGATACCTCCCAACGACAAGGAGGAGAGTGACGGGTGCAGCGGCACTGACAGAGCGAGCGAACCACCTTGGCCGAAGCCGAACAGGTGGACATGGTCAGGCCGGAAGCCGAACTTGTCGAGGAGGACCTTCTGGATCACGTCCTTGGCGACCAGTTCTGCACTTTTGGTCAGAGGCGAGTCTGCGTCCAGAGTGCCAGTGCTTGTGTCGACTTGGAGATCTTCGGACCACTGATCGCCAGGGCCGAGCGGGAATGGTAGCGGGTATGGCGGGTTTAGCGTAATCGTCAAGGCGTCGGGGAGGTTCAGAGCGCGCGGGAATGAAGCAAACTTGCCGGCCGTGTCGCCTAGGCCAGGAAGGAAGACAATCGCGTTGGTTGGTTTGTTCGCTGGTGGGAGATGGATGATGGGCTTGAGAGACGGGGGAAAGTCGATGGGCGTAGGTGTGGGCGTGGGCGAGGGCTGCTGAGTGGACATTGTGGCGCAGGGTGCAGATGTTGAGCCGAAACCAAGGTGCGAGTAGTCGTACCAGGTATCTCCAATGCCAGTATGCTATCACTCGAACTTCAATCGCTGGACAAAAGGTTGGCTTGACATCGAACAAATCGAGTGGATTTGCTGCTCATGAAGCCGACGAGCCAGGAACCGAAGTCGACGAAGAGGGGCGGCGTTGAGCATGACGTGTTTAGTGGGCCAAGGGACAAGCTTCGGTCCTGACTTGGCTTCACAGACAAGCATTCGTTTCCAGCTGCGCCCCTGGCCTGCGTTTCCCTGCGTTTGATGCCGGTCTCTTGGCAGTTCGTCCAGAATCCGACGACTTCCGTTTTGTTGGACGTAGCAATAACAGTGCAGAGCATAGGGTCTTGTGAAGCATTGATGAGCTGGAACAAGAAGCCAGTGCCAGATACGAGGTACTCACGTACGAGTACGAAGTAGAACATGTGGCTGCCAACACAGGTCCAGATGTCCCCACGGGAACAAGCGAGCTGAGCGCACGGCTAGCACCATGCGAAGCGAAGCTTGGGGCGTGGACCTGCATGGGCTCGCAAATGATTGACGCAAAACCCTGATCGGTGATGAAATGAAGAACCTGGCCGCGCAGCCACTGCTTGCCAGCTGAATTCTTGTTTCATGACCAGAAGCTGAAGGGCTCCAGACCCTTCTTTGAGGTTGGTGGGTTGGCTCTCGCCAATTGTCTCGGTGGACAGTCCTTGCACCTTGGCCTGTGCTCGTCTACTGACGCACATGCTCACCAAGGTGAGGAAACTGAAACAGCACGGACGTCCAACGACTCGCTGTGACGAGGTGGGGTAGTGGTACGCAATCACAATAGGTACTCGTAGCCAGCGAGGGGCAGGTGGCCTGGTGAGTGGTGACGGGCTTTCCTTCTGAAGGCTATATATTCTACCAACTTCCGTTCCTTCATCCCTTTAGTTACTTCTCATATCAAAGCCACGGTCGTCTTCACTTTCAAAAGAATTATACAACGCTCAAAGAACACTAGAAGACTTCGAAACATTCATCATGGGTTGGTTCGGTGTGTTGGCCTGAGATGCCCTGTGGGAGCACATGCATACTGACAACAGCATTTCAGATGATGGCCGTGATGCACACGAACAGGTCTACAGAAACGATGAGCGCCATGAGGGCAAGTTCTCGCACGAGCTCATCGGTGGCGCTGCTGCCTTTGAGGGCATGAAGCTATACGAAGACAAACAGCGCAGAGAAGGTACATCCCTTGCCCAATCAACTGTAGCACAAAAGCTTGGTTGCTGACACCTTGCAGGCAAGGCTGTCGACCACGCGTTTGCCAAAGAACTCCTTGCCGGATTCGTCGGTGCCGAAGTTGACAAGCTCGCCGAAACGAAGGGGCTGGATGAGTACGACAAGATTCGAGCAAGGGAACATGGCAAGAGGGCCGCCGAGGGAATGTATGACAACCATTACGGCGATATGGATCGATATGACCCCAACTCCCGCGATCAGCCAAGATTCAACTATTGAATCCCGCACGCATACAAGTGCCACAAATGACCTCCGAGGTGACTGTGGGCGTAGCATGTAAACACGCTACGGGTGATAACCATGAATGAAATGAAATCAAATGTATTGCCCAAAATTATGCAACTTCGCGCGTGCCGGGGTATTCAATGCTCTATCATAACTCGTCGAATGGTCCGTACCAAGTCTTTGACTTCATAACTCGTCGTCCTCGCTTGCAGTTGCCTCGTCATCATCATCCGCTGCCGGTGCAGGTTCAGGGTCCCTTTCCGATTTCTTTGAAGGCGGTGCGTTGACTTGTTTCTGTGAAGCTGTGCTGGTTGCAGCTCGTGTTCTGGGCTGACTAGAATATGCTGGTGGCCTACTCAGGTCTTCGTCATCTGTATCATCGTCTGCTTCCGATGCGGTCGGAGTCGTATTGCCAGACTCGGGAGATTCATTTTCTTTCTGGGCGTTTGGCGCAGGGTCCGCGTCCCTTGTTTCATGGGCGTCGGTATCTTCTGATTCTTCATGCTCAACCTCTTCGTCAGCCGGTCTTTTCTTCCGCCTTACAATGCCTGCCGGTTCATCGCCGACGACAGCTTGCAACTCTCTGAGTTTCTTCTGATCAATTTTGGCAGTGGACAGAATCCGCTGCATATTCCTGATCTTGAGCTTCTTCTCATTGAGCAGGAGCGCGAACTTGGACAGCAGTTGCTTCTCGTGTTCGGCTTTGGCTTCGACCAACTCGTCGATCTGTTTCTGCAAGCCCGCGACAATATCATCCTTTGTTTTGATCTGCCCCCTCAAACCCGTGACCTCGCCTTGTAGCCTGTCTCTTTGTTCAATAGCCTGGGAAGTCCAGCCGAAAAGGTCTACATCGTCCTCGGCGTCGGTGTTTTGAGGCAGCTCAATCGTTCCCAGGCGTTGTGTGATGTCCTCGACCTTGTTGCAGAAGACGAGAGATAGTGTGCGATTCGATCCTTTGCCTGAGAAGGAGCACGTCACGTCGAGGTTGGCTTGCTGCGCGCTGCCTGCCGTCGACCTTGGCTTGGGACCGAGGACTGTTAAAACGGTATTACTCCATTCATCATCAGGTCCATCGTAGTTTTTCGCCCGTAGCTTCTTCAGATTTCGTCGCCTTACTGCGCAGCCATCAGCTCAAACGTCCAGAAGGCGCTGGCCCTTCGCCATACCTTTAGTGGTAAAGGCTGCGGTGCCATCTGTGGCCAGCAGGTCGAGGTCAAGCTCATCGCCACCTTCCTTCTGTGAAACGTTAATGAGAATGGGAGTCTCCTCTTTATTGTCTTGAAGCAGGCGAACCACCCAGCTGGAAGTCATGGTGGCATGGGATCTCGCTTCGCCGTGCTTTCCCTTCCAAGGCACGCAGGGCTGCAGACAGTGGTTGACTCCAGACCCCAGCGGAGCATACAGAGTAGACCAAGCATCGAGCGGGGACCAGTTGCTGCTCACACCACACAACGATGGTGCTTGGGCGGAGAGACCGCCGTGAAGGTGGGGCGGGGAAAGACGCGTCGCGGCGACTTACTCGGGCTGTGATTGGCTGCAAAACGCGTTCCAGCCACCTTCTGCTTGGCCTCCTGCAGGTTGCGGTGTCCGCGCGGAATCCACTCTTCCTCCTCGTTCTGTTTCCAGAACTCCTCCGACGGCCATGCCCAAGATCATCCTCCAGCCTCCTCCAAACCCCGAGACCTGAGGCCGACCTCGAAAAGGTTCTCCCTGCGCATAGTCTCAATCCTCATCACCTTCATACGACCATTCAAGGTCGCTCACTCACCAACTGCCCCCGGTCGGCGTGTACACCTCGTCGGGGAGCAAGAAACGCGCCCAACAGCTCAATCAGTCACGCTGATCGACCACCGTTGCTCACGACGTTACGAACCTTAACGACATTACGATCCAATATCCCCATGTTTCCGCTGGAGCCAATGCTGTGCTGTCACATCTGCGACATTAATACCCGTTACTGATCGTTTGCAATTGCTTCTACGAACTGAGCATCATGGAACAACTCACTCTCAAACCTCGGACCCCGGTAGAGAGCGTGGACGTTGAAAACTGGGACGATGAAGACTTCGACAACTTGGAAGACGTCCACTTCAGGACAGCATCGACAGCTACCTCGGTCGTTTCTCACCCTCAAGCCGCTCGCCGCGACTCCGTTTCCTCCCGCATGTCGATGCGATCCGACTCAAACCAAGGGGACGAAAATTGGGACGTCCTGGTCGATGAACAGGCTTCCATTAAAGACGCTGTGGCTCTTGCAAAGAGCAAAGGAATACCTCTACCAGCCAACATACCTCGTTCTGCGCTTGAGGGTGGCACGATACGACGTCTGAAAGGCAAAGAAATCAAGAAGGCAATTGCCGATGACTGGTCCGAAGACTTGGATCTCCCAGGCGTTGATATCCCCCTCAAGCTTGCTAAACACGACGACCGTGACCTGTCCGAGAGCTTGCGCCAGATCAGTGCCGCCTTCAGGACGTCTCCCAAAACTCCCGACACCAAAGACGCGCTCGATCAAACAATTAGATCACCAAAGTCCCGCACATCAGCGATGCCCATTACCCTTGATGCTTTTCGCGACACGGATGAAGATGCCAGTTTTGGAGATGTGCCGACAATAAAAGTTGCAAAACACCGATCCCCTCAAAAGCCATTGCTTTTCCACCAGCCACCCACCCCGGTCAAGCCTGAAACCGAGAACCTAGAAGAAGGCCTTGAATTGCCTTCTGACGGCAAATTACGTCTATCGACGAGAAAGCCTCCGCCTTCGACGCCACAGCAGAGCGACGACTTCGATCTCGAATGGGCTGAGGGCAGCTTGGGAACACGGAATGCTGGGAGGGGGAGAGGTGGTCGGTCTGCGCGAAGCTCGTCTGCCTCAGCTCTGAGTCCCAGTGTTTCCAGTGCCTTTACAGCCGAGAGTGAAGATGAAGGACTCGAAGGCCTCGTCTTACCTGATGGACCGATCCAGTTCCAGGACAAACTCACACGACGACAACATGAAAGTTCAATCGACCCTCCACCTCGAAGCATACCAGATGTTAAAGCTGAGGTTAGAAAGGCGTCTGGGAAGGAAGACTTCTTCTCAGGTCTCGAGATTGGTGACGGAGAGGTGTTTGACACTGCTAAGTTGACTCTTAATCGCAATGTCAAACATAAGAGCACCCGAGCCACAAGTCCGTCCAAGAGGACAACCACCACACTCAATTTCACGACCACCAAGACCCAGGGCACAATTTCACGTCTGCCCCGGTTTCAGCCGGCGCATGACCGACTTGAGCGTGCCCGGTCCAATTTAGAACCTGTCTCGGAAACTGGTGCAGCCATCTCATATCAACGAGCGAACTCACGTCTCGGCAATCACGGCGCTCAGTCATCCGCTTCGAGCATACCTGCTCCTCAGCCTTCTACTCCTTCAACTCCCAGTCGCCGGCTCCTGCGAGGCACAGAGTCTCAACGCGATCTGCGCTTTGAACAGCCTACAACAACTAACGCCCAGCTCTTGCGTGCGAAGAGATCTATGCCTGTCATGCGAGGTCTCAATTCTCCCACCAAATCCTCGCCCTACGTTCGGCCCCCTTCGAGACAAGACACCGGAAGCCGTCTGAACATTCCTCCACGCCCCAAGACTCCAACAGATCGGACCGAATCGCGCATGGGACTCTCACAAAAAGCCCCGGCACCCTTCCTCCCGGCCGGCGCATCTGCCGGGCAGTCACAGCACGTCAGCATAAAGACCCACTATCGTGGGCAGGGTTCTGACGGCTCTAGCGAAAGCATGTCTGCTGCACAGAGGTCCTTATCTAGACTCGCCGGCTTGGGCAGACCAGAGACTCCTGGCCGTGGTACCGACCCCAGCCGTGGGCGGAGCAATCTCACGCCAGCCGAGTTGGCAGCACAGGCAAAGAAGACAATCACCAAACCCACAAGGCGTCGCAACTACGGTGATGGAACAGAGCTCGAGATTTTCGACGACCTACCTACGTCGGCGACTCTCGAGTCAAAATTCACAAAGGTACCTGTCGGCCGTGGTGCTCCGCGAAGTCTGCGAAGCAAACTCGGCTTGTCGCATCTGAACCCTTCTACATCTTCCTTGACCAGCACTCGACCCGGCAGTGATACCCCCGTACCTGCGACGCCCTTGACGCCGGCTTCCCGGAGTGATTTCCCTACGACGGCTCTCAACACAACAAATGTCCCACGGTTTGCCCGTGACACGGCTGCTTCTCGTAACGCTCGTGAACAGCGCCAAATCTCGGCTGCTTTCCAGAATATGCGAGGTGAACCCCTTCAGCCGATTTCGACGAACTGGAAGTCCGGTTCCTCTGCTGTACGGCCCGGCAATCAAGGCAGTCTGAGAAAGAAAAAGAGCGACAAAGTGCAGCTCAAGCCCCACCTCATCAAACCCATGGGTGGCGACGTGAACCGGCCGAAGACGGAGAAAGGAATGTCTTATAACCCGGTGTTGTTCAAGTGGGAGGGTAACGAGAACGATGTTGCGCCCTTTGAGGTGCCTGACTTCTACCCTCGGGTTGGTAGTCCCACCACCCACGCCCGCGGCGGAAGTCCCAACTCCAAAGCCCAAGTGGCCTTGATCTCCAACGTCGGGTCCAGCGTCACAGGTGTACAGGTCGTGGGCGGCATGGTCTTCGATCCGTCACAAATGCGCTGGCTCAAAATCGCGGAAAACCCCGATGGAAGCATGTCCAGTCTCCGGGGCGGAAGCGTGCAGGTCGAAGAGGAAGAGGACGTCTTTGCCGGCCTGGAAGATTTGAAAGAGGAAGACGAGACGAGGAGTCGAAGCGGCACTCTGCAGAATGTGTCTAGTGTGAATCAATCGAGGGACTCCTTCGGCGACGGTGAAGTCGGCCACAGTAGTGGTGACGAATGGGGCATTGGCGTTAGTGAGGAGTTTGATGTCGGACCCGAGTTTGTCAGGCGGCAGAGGAGTGAGGAGGAAAGGTGGAGGAGGAAGGTTGAGAAGTGGTTGAGAAAGGGCGCGGACGCGGAAGAGGAAGAGGGGCCCGACGGGATGAGCGGGTGGAGGTGGTCGTTGAGAGAGCTTGTCATGCAGCAGGGCTCGTGAATGCTGTTATGGCGGAGGTCGAGGACGCGATAAGCTTTGTATATCCGGCGTAGCAGCAACACGCATGCTAATCGAGCTCTGCACGATCATGGGGCGGCGCTGCCGAAAAAGTTCATCGAGAAAGTATATCTGTCTCATTCCAGCGTTGACGTGGGTTCCGTCCGCCTTTGTTGAGGTCCGTTCAACTGTGTGCGACTCCAACTCGAGCGCCGCCGGGTGACCAGGTCTTGAGAAAACAGGGCACGCACGAATCCGTCGTCGTACTGTATCTCGATGTACCCGTCCTACTGACCTACTGACCTACTGACCGTGCAGAAAAGAGAGGGAGATCGTGCGCGGGGCCGAAGAATATGCCTATTGTGTACCAGTGATTACGGAGTGTGTACCCGATGGGAGGATGACCACCATTCACACACGCCCCAACGAGAAACGGGAACGGGAAGACAGAGGAAGGAAGGTAAGCACGGAGACCGTACGCGTATTGTACTGCACTGGATCTGACGGTCTTATCCTCGACGGTTAAGGTGTCTAGGTATCTATATACTCCGTAGGCGGGTTGCGTAAGTGGTGGCAGTGGTGGTAGTACACGTGCGAAGTTCCAAGGATACGTACTCTGTACGTCTTGTAGGTAAGCCAGCACAGCACAGCACACGTTTTGAGTGCTCCGGCAGGGAATCGAACCTCCTCTTTTTAAGGTACTGTAGGGAGGGTCCGCAGGATTTTGTGGGCAGGATTGTGGACCGTGTGTGGATTTTTACTCTCCGATTCTAACTAGCGGCTGGCTGGGAGGTGGTATGGTGGCGGGCTTCGAACCAGGTACAGTACTCGGTAAGTAAGATATGAGGGCAGAGGAAACTGGACAGCCGACAGGCTGACGAAGTTTGCTGGAAGTTATGCAAGGATCAGGCAGGACCGGCATCTAATGTTGGTGGAGGAAGGTCTGCTGAGTCTTCTTCTTGAGCGTGGAGATGATGCATCCATCCCTGTTCCTGGTGCTTTGGCGGGCGCGCACGGTATGGGCTGTGTTTCATTACAGGCGGCGGGGCAACGTGTGCGTTCATCGCTGGTGTTGCTGGTGCTGGTGCTGTTGTCAGTGCCACGGGCCGTAAGTGGCGACAATATGGTGGTCCGCGCATCTTCAGCATTGCTCCCCATTCTCAGCCTTGACGGACTACTCGTGCCTCCCTCAGGACCTCAATGACATTCGTACTTCCTGCGTCTTTCAGAAAGTCCCGGCTAAACCCCCACGCCTGACCTGACTTTGTGGCTACTTCCTTTCGGACAAATTTGGCGGCAAAGTCGGCCAGGGAGAACGCCGACGATTCCTGGACTGGAGTTTTCTGGCTCCAACGCCAGACCACGACAACCCAGAAGAACAGGATGGCCGTGCTTTGCAGGACAATGTAGGCTATATACGCCCCTTGATCGACAATGACTTTCTCCAAAGGCCTGCAGAGCGAGGCAGTCGTTTCGAACTGAGAAGGAAAAGACCGTTCATTCCTCAACGGGTCCCCGGCGCCATTGACGCTGAACATGTACATCGAAAAGGCGAGTATACTCTTCAGCGACAAGTAGGTGGTGGTGGACCAATCATGGCGGGCGGCGGGATGAGGATCTCCATGCCAGAACATAGAGACGAGGAATGACTCAGCAGGTATCCCCTGGGCCGTGTAGTTCAGCAGCCAACCTAGCGCCAGATCGAGCCCTTGAATATCGATCCCTTCCAACGTAGGCTCGCCAATGTCCGTGACGGATATGATGCTGTTATTGGCCCTTATGCAAGCGGTGTAAGCTGTGAGACAGTAAAGCGAGAAGGTAGTATTGATGTGGCGTGGATCTCTGGCACTATAGAGGCAGCTACCGTCAAGTACCTGGTCGCATACGGGAACACCTGAGGTTGTCACTAGCAGACCAGGGGTATGAAGAAGACAGTACACACCCGCAAAAATGGATCCCTCGTGTACCTTGCTCTTTGCCAAGCACAGTTCGATGCTAATCTTACTTCCATTCTCGCCGTACACGGTACAGACATGTGGCAACAAGCTGTCTGTGCTGTCAACACCACGAAAGAAGTCGAGTTGAACCGCCGGTGAAGTTTCAATCTTGACAACGGTGTCATCGGAAGAGTTGGCTGGAAGCGTTATGTTAAGCGACCATACCGCTCCCGGAAAAATATATGAATCGCAGTGACCAGGGGCAAGAGATGGGTGAGGATCCGATTGAGAACTGTGAATTCGTCACGAAGGTGTTGGAGAAAGCAAGGTTCTGGTAAGTGATGTTGCCGTTGTAGGCAGCTACCCTCTCCTGGGCTAATGATATATCGAACGGAGCGGCGCCCGCCGTTACAGGCCAAGTGGAGAAAGCATCGTATACCGTCGACACTCTGATATCGTCTACAGTTCGGGTTATCAACGAAAAGTCAATACTGGGATCGATTGGACGTGACGTACAATAAAACACGATTTCAGCCACCCAGATCATAGCCGCCAGGAGGAGCCTGGGAGACAAGACTGAGTTAGATTATTGTAGACTTGTTTACCCGATCATGAAAGACTCACCTTGCCATCGCCCAAGCTCGCTCAGGCACCTTCGCGAGGAATATCATCATAAACATGCCAGATAGACCCGTAGCTAGCGAAATGCTGAGAAGGCTGAGTAGGCGTAGTCCATTCTCTCGGCCAACGAGGGTCAACTGAACCAAATCTAGGGTTTCGCTTAACCACCCAGGTAATCAAGACCGATGTCAAACCTTGCAGTATTCTCCATACAGCCACAGTCGAGCCAAATCTTCTGACAAGATATCTCGAGGGAGCCAGAGTCGAGTCGTTGCCGAAGACGACAGTGCCGATAAAGACACCCGTTGTGATCGTTGTCAATATGCGATGCCTCAAAATTTGCCCTCCACCCAACTTTATAACGAGGCGCGACAGGGCTCTGGTAGTCCGGCGGAGGATAACTTGTTGGAGAGCGAAGCACAAAAGTTGACTGATGGTCACCCAGTCGAGGATGGACGGACTCATTGTGTCCAAAATTCTTGGCGGTTACTCGCAACAATTACGATGCGAGCCGGTCGCTCTGAGGGTTTGAGATTTGCATCAAGTCTTAATATGGCTTATCGCTCCTGAATGCGGATGAGTGCGTCGCCCCAGCCATCTGGCTTTTCCGTTTTGAAGTTGTCTTCGGCTGTGCCCACTGTCTGTGGAGGGAGTCGCATGCGGACCATTGGAAATGACAATGCCACCACATCTTCGTATTCGTTATCCGTCACATGGTCCCTGTTGTGTGACTATCCTATGATTGTCTTCGACGCGAGAGAGATGGAGGAGGATCGGACGATTTCGGTCTTCAGCTGTGCTCTGGGCTGCTACCTGCCAAGGGACAACCCAAGGTATCACCGCGTCTCATTGGCCGCAGACGCGAGGAAAGCCGTGGCCTGAAGGACATGTACGAGCAACTGGTCGTTTCGGTAAGGCTGCGCCCGAAGAGCGCCTGCTGACAGAGCCTGAAAAGTCGCCCTGAAGCCGGATGCATTCTGCACCGCTTCCTGGCAACGGCCCGTCCCTCCGATCAAAGACAAACATAAAGTTCCTTGCAAAAGTCTTCGAAGGGTCAAGGACGACCACACTTTCTTCTCTTCAACCATAGCAAGATGTTCAATCAGTGGTCGAGTGGACTATACTTCTTGGTCTTTTCCAACGTCGCTGCTGGGCTCACTCCAATGACCACGTTATTCGGCCCCTCAATGTCGTCGGGCTTACCGCCACCAATCGTGCAACTGCTCCGGAGAGCTGCAAGCCACCTGGAGACCGCCTGCGTCTGCGTAGGATACAAGTCAATATTGCGCTTATGACAAGTCCAACTTGGTCTCGACTGTTGCTCGGTAGACAGCGACGATGGTAGCTTCTACGATTGTGCCTTTCCGACACGATGTGTGGATCAGGCCGAGAGCAGTGCGTGCTGCTCCGCTACAGGGTGCGGCCGTCGTACTGTTGTTTGGTAAGACCCTTCATTTTCATCTGCATCTCACGCGAGGTTAGCCGGTTGCAGAGACTGACCAATGAACGTACTCTTATAGTGGTGAGAAGCCCGAGTATCCGAAATGCGTCACTTACAAGGTTTCAAACGGCGGCGAAACCTATACCACATTCCACTGCAACACGGTTGACAAGATAGTCACGGCGTACATGGCCGCCTTTGTATGCTCGACGTCGTACACTGCAATGGCTGCACCCGGCGGCCGTTCGACGACATCTACTGGCAGCGGCACCTGCTTCAATCTCTGTTGAAAGATTATTGGGGGTGCACATCTGAAACTTGAGCCAGGCATTGTCCCGGTCAACTCGGCACGAGTATATTCGCTAATGTTGTGGGAGGGCATGCTTCAGGTGGCATCAACATGTTGGAGCTCTTCGGCTGAAAGGTGAAGGAGAGGTGAAAGGAACGCGAAAGGGAAGTGAAATGATATGAACTTTAATTCATCTCCATCTGAACAAATTCACCAATCAACGCCGAGTCTGACCTGTAATCGGTCAGACATTGGACGCCTGTCATATTGTCATTTGACCGGCGCAAAACCTGAATCTGAGAAATGCATCACATTATGATCCATGCTGCTTCCGAGATAATATGACCTCTTCAATTTGATGCCCAATCGCCGCTGTGACCGTTGCCTTTCTTGAAAGCCAAATCGAAACATTTCTCATTGCCCTTGGCAACAACCACCGGTCATTCTGTTCAACAATCGCTAAAGCCCCATGGAAAGGGATTCGGGTTCCGACACCGCCGCAGAAATCCATATCGCGCCAAAAGAGTTGGATACAAATTCCGAGTGAGTTCACTGTGATAGACTACTGCCCGTCAGAAGCACAGGGTTCCTAGGGCGTATACGCTACGGTGCCTAGCGGTCTTAGTTTTCCACATGCCTCAATGCTCAACCCTCCCTCGGGAGACAGACTGCGACGAGCGACCGTGTCGCAGCGTAGGTGCATAGTCAGTGACGATAAATCAGGGCTCCGAACGTTCATGCCAAAACAGTACCTACTGGATTTGGCCTTGGCACGCGGAAATCATACCGTTGCAATTAACCGCCCTCCATACTCTCTATGCATGATGATCAAGACCATTGATACTACCCACAGTGTACTCTGTATCGTGTGAAGACCAACCCACTATCATTCATCTCCATGACCCGCAAACTCGCAATCTCCACAGTCTCACTAGGCTGGCATCGCACCCACACGCTCGAGCGCAAACTCCGGGCCGCCTCAACCGCCGGCTTCGAAGGGGTAGAACTCGTCATCACCGACCTTGACGCCCACGCAGCCCAACACAAGCTCTCGCGCCTCGAGGCCGCATCGCAGATCCGAGCGCTGTGCTCCAAAAATGGACTCAATATTGTAAGTCTCGCCTCGTTCGACAACTTCGAAGGACACCCGACGAAGAGGCTGTCCCAAAGACTAGACCAAGGGAGGGAATGGATCGCCCTCGCCCACGCGCTGGGCACACCCACGATTCAAATCCCCAGCAACGACGACCCAGACGCGGTGGGCGACGAGGAAGTCATCGTCTCGGAGCTGCGCGCGTTGGCGGATCTAGCGATGGCCCTTGATCCAGGGCAGCCCGTCAAGTTCGCGTACGAGGCCCTCGGCTGGGGCACGCACGTCGCGGACTGGGAGGAGTCGCTGCGCGTCGTGCGACTGGTGGATCGGCCGAATTTCGGCCTCTGTCTAGATAGTTACCATGTGCTGGGGCGGCTTTGGGCAGACCCCCGGGCTCGGACGGGGCGGCGGCCTGGAGGAGACACCGCGCTGAGGGCTTCACTCGACAGGTTTGTCGAGAAGTGTAAGCGCGAGGAGGGCGTGAGGAACAAGATCTTCTATGTCCAGCTTAGTGATGCTGAGATGATGACGCTGCCGATCTTGCCGGGTCATGAGGCCTACAGTGGTGAAAAGGATGGTGTGCATTCGTGGTGTACCTACGGGAGATTGTTTCCGCTCGAGGATGACAAAGGGGCTTATTTGCCTGTGGGCAGGGTTGTGGAAGCGTGGTTGAGAGATAGCGGGTGGGGTGATGGCAATGGGTGGGTGAGTATGGAGGTTTTTCATAGGGATATGAAGAGGGAGGAGTGTGGGCCTGAGGAATGGGCGGCGAGGGGGAGAGCGAGCTGGGAGAAATTGAAACAACGGCATTTAGATTGATGCTGGGGAGTATAAAGGGTGCCACTGCCACATTACTTCCATGAAATGGCTTAAATTGCTGATCCGTCGGATGAAAGAGAATCCTGCATGCCGTTTCTCCAAAGCATCCTCTGATCTGATCTGCCCGCTGAGACAAAATAAGAGTAGGTGCTTTTGTACATTTACATCACTCCAATCCCGACTGAATTCATTTCCTGGTCGTCAACGTCATAACTCTGTTCTGGGTCTCGCTCGTGTCTTCGGTAGAAGGAAAGTGAAGCAGGTCGGCAATCAATACAGGCCACCCGGGTGAACTGCGCCGCCCGCAAAGTTCAAGTCGAGGGCATACATGGCTCGGACTCGCTTGCTTCCGTCACCTGCAAACCAACCCATGTTCGTATCGCCATGGAACACGGCCTTCTTTCCGTCCTTGGTAACGTCGATGCCCCCGGGGATGTAAAGATTGGCTGCTGTACTGCCGGTCACCAGGAATGGATTTGGTTGCTTAGTAAAAGGACCGTAGATGCTCGTGCTGGTCGCGTAGCGAATGTTGTAGGGAGCTTGAGTGAAGCACTTTGAGCTGTAGAAGAGAATGTATGTTCCAGACGAGGCATCGTATGTCAGTGAAGGCGCCTCGATGTTCGGTCCGTCATCTGGGTCATTAAGGAGGATAGTCGATGTGCCGCCTAGGGGCGTATAGCCATCGTCGTTACTGACTTCCTGCAGGTTGAGCGGCGTGGGTGCGATGGGCGCTACTGTGTTCGAACAGGCGCCTCCATTGCCGACAGAATTACCATCGACTTTGTAGACAACATACTGGCGGTTGGTGGTCGGATCATTGAACCCATCCGCATCGATCGCTCCTCCAGCGCCTAGATCACAGAACAAAGGCGTCTGGACCGGGGTAAATGGGCCTTCTGCATTTGGAGCGTATGCTGCCGCAACGCAATGCTTCGACGGGGACTCGGCCATGACCACAGAGTAATACAGCACAAAGTTCCCGTTATTCTGTCCCGTGTCAGCCAACCATGGATCACTCGAAGCCACGGAAAGGGTGCTTACCAGCTGGGTCACATCCGGAGCCCATACATGAGGTGGCGAAGCGGCCCAAGAAGGGAGATTTGGCAAGGCATCATAGCCATACCGGACAGTCCAGGTCGAAAAGTCTGGAGAAGTTGCAATCAAAACATTAGACCCAGCAGGATTCCCATTGACACCCGCATAGGCGACGTAGCTCCCATCCGCCAACTGGACAACCGAAGGGTCCTGAAAGTTGGAACCAATGACTGGACCGCTTGCCTGCCGCCTCTGTTGCGGAGCAGCCAGAGACAAGGCCAGGCCAGCGAGAAAAACGAACGACGCAAAGACCATGATGAACCAAAACCAACGGCGACGACGAGGAGAACCAGCACCAGGACCAGCACCGAGATCATCAGAAAAGTCGGACTCTCGAAACCATTTGTTCTTTTTAGGGCCGGACAGCAGTGAGCTGCTCTCGGCAGGGCTGGACTCTGCCATGACTCTCGGTTGCTGTGAGTGGACACTGTTCCTGTCCGACAGCCGATAGACAAGTCCCCTGTATGGACGGGACGGCTGCAGGCAAGTGGCGTTCAGCTTAAGTACCATGGTAGTCAGCTCCAGGAATGCACGCCATACAGGACGGGGAGCATGCCATTGGCAACGCCATCCGAGCCATGGAGCATGTCATCCCGTCAGAGTCGGATTGGACACGGGAGACTCGTAAACAAGCCTGTGGCCACCCACAATGGACAATTTGAAACAAACATAGAGTAGCGTTACGAACAAGCTCAGGGACAATATTTGTTTGTGGTATGCACGCCATTACCAGGGCGATGATGCAAGTGCCATCCCGAGGAATGTGAGTGGCGGAGGGGACAACCGGCGCCAGGGAAGAAATGTCATATTGTGTACGGAGTATGGGACTTGCATATTGGTCCTGCAGCGGGCTGTAAATCGCAGCTTGTCTTCTCACCATGGCATGTGCCGGAAAGCGATATGTGGTCAAAAGAAGAACGGGGAGGCGAAAAGTGAGGGGCTAGTGAAAGAGCAGTGAGAGAGAAGTGAGCCATTGAGGGGCTCGAAGCGTTGGAGGCCCAGCGAGCCCACAGTCAGCTGGCGAAGGCAGGCAGCCTGAGTGGCTCACGGGCTTTGCTAAAGTATGCCTAAAGAGATACCGAGGGACAGAGGGGCTTCTATTGGCCAGGTTTGAGCCATTCTCTTCTCTCTCACTCATCGTACACATTGCACAGTATTCACATCGTGTTCCCCTTCGTCTGCTTTTGACCGTTGCTGCACATCAGCCTCACGTATGCCAGCAGCGGCCGCCGAGCCACCCTACGGATCTTCTTCAAATGTCCTACGAACGTTACTGTACCGGACCCCGATGCCCAATAGCTGTCGCTCCCGACATCCGGGAGGCGCAAACATAGCTGCGGACGCTTCAGCGGCCCTTCTCAATGTTCTGACGTGAGTCTCAGCAAAATTAGCGAGGTGAAGAAAAAGCAGCGGCCGTCAGCATCCCGTCCCCAATCGGTCATGGAAGCCCATCACAGCCTTATCCTGCCAGTTCTGCCTTTAAGAGGATTTCACACAGTTGTTCAGGACTGCGGACCCCATCGCAAAAGCATGAAACCTACTGCAGATTGCGAACGAACCTCGTCTGTGGCACAGACGTAACTCGTACAGGGAGGCCGAAACCAGATCTCATCTCGCATGACAGGGCTTGTTCGTGTGACGTGCTTTCTCTCCCCACCTAAGCGTACCAACAGCAGGCCGTACGGGTGCGCATGTATCTTTCGTTGTGGTGTCGGCGGATTGCTCTGTGCTTTGCGCCATCTCCAACACGCCAGGTTGAGTCTACACGGCTGCTTCTTCACCTTCAATCAGCGAACACGCCTGCCCGTACCGAGACTTACCGAGTCTTGATCACGACAGGGCTGTAATGTGGTTTCTCTGCGTTCTTCACCTTCAATTGATGACTTTGGCAGCCTTGTCTTATTCCTTTGTGGTGGTCTCTTGAAGGAAGATCAGAACGGTGGGTGACACTGGTGGTTGATTGGGTGGTCCAAAGCTAACCACCTCCTCGGTAGTCAGGCCATTCGGTCAGGCACGATGCAGGGCGATGAACTCAAAAGAAGGGAGGCGAGGCTCCGAATCATTGATGACGAATGCCACTGCACGGAGCCCTGAAGAATCTCGGGAACTTTGGAGCTTTGGAGCTTTGGAGGTCTGGAGCCTCGGAGCTCGAAGCTATCAGGAACGGTATGGTCGCGCTCGCCCTCCTAGCTTCCTTCCTCCTTGCTGTCGTATTTCTTTTTGTCTTCCAGAGTGCCTGATGGGGCTTCACTTGCTCCGATTCAGTGCTACCCTTTGATGTTGTGGCGTCTGCTTTTGCTGGCCGGCTCTTCTGCTCTCCAATGACTGCGGTAGCTCTCACCACGCATCTCACCTATCTCTGACGAGCGGGGAACACCTTGAGAGCTTGATCTTGGCATACTTCATGTACAACGGTTATACAACGTGGGCGGAGTCCTACCCTGCACCTGCCTGCGTCGACAACCTCGTGCAATTCCGCTTTCCCTCGACAACGTGGGTGGCTTATTGGCTCACAATGCTTGTTCTGCTCTCTCCGGCCTTGGCAACGCGCTTGGAATCCAACTGGGGCCTTGGCATCCGATTCCGCCTGCCCAAATCAGGATGGACGTCGATGCGGGTGACACCATGTCGACGGGCAAAGCGAAGCTCGTGGTTACTACCACGAGAAAACGCTCCAGATCTCTCGAAAATTTAGATCAGTGGGATGCGCCCGGCAGAGCTTGCCAGCTGTGGCTGGGAAAGACAGCTAGATGGACAGGGTAACAACTACAAAAGCTACGAATTCCTTAGAATTGGCCGTCACTTCTTGATCTCTCTCAGGTCGGTCACACACAGCCTCTGACTCGGATATCCCTCGATATCTGAACCTCGAAATGCAGCTTACTTTGAAGGTCGCCTTGGCCTTTGGTGCCTTCTGCACCCATTGCGCTGCTCAAACCTTCCAGAGACTCGGGACGTGTCCTACTCTGGGCTGTATCATACCACCTGACCAGGCCGACTTCCTCCCGGGACAACGATTCGACATCAGGGCTGAAGTACATGCTCCACTAAACGGCAGTGAAGCCATTCGTGGCTATACCACCCCTGATGCTAACTTCACTTTGACCATCGAACGGGAAGGCGGCTCGCCGCAGCCAGTCACGTCCTTTTTCAGTCTCCCTGAACCGAGACTGGAGACCTGGAACTTCACCTGGTATGAAGACTTGTTTGCTCAAGCCGCCCATACGCCATCACAAGTTAGGGTTGCCTCCAAGGCATGGCGAAATGTTGCCCTCTACGAGCCTGGCCAGTATATCGCCACGCTTCGATACCGCAACGGCTCCCAGACAACTCTTGCCAATTGGACCGTTAGGGATATCGCTCCTCGGCAAAGAGCCAAGAATGTCATCATGTTCATTGGCGATGGAATGACCACGAACATGATAACTGGTAAGGCTGAAACCCTCTGCTACACATAGCCTTGTGCTAAGACTTGGACAGCGGCTCGCCTGATTGGCCACCAGCAAATCAATGGCAAATACCAAACTAAGTTGGCCATGGATCAATTCCCCATGCTCGGCCACCAGATGACACACTCGATTGACAGCTTCATCACTGACAGTGCCAACTCGGCGACCGCTCTGTATTCGGGCCACAAGTCGACAGTCAACGCGTTGGGCGTCTACGCCGACAGCTCTCCGAACAAGTTTGACGACCCCAAGATTGAGTCTATTGCAGAACTCTTCCACCGTCTTCGGGGTGGTGGCGTTGGCATCGTGTCCACAGCCTTCATCGCGGATGCCACTCCCGCCGCTTTGACAGCCCATACGCGCGACCGAGGCCAGTATGGTGCCGTTGTCGACTCCTTCATCCACGGCATCACGAATTACACATGGACCAACTGGAGCGGACCCGACGTGCTCTTTGGTGGCGGTGCCGAGCAGTTCTACCCCGGCTCGGGCTCCTTCCAAGGCAAGGACTACTACGAAGTGTTCGCCCAGCAGAACTATACCGTCGTGCTCAACAACACTGCCATGCAAGCCTCCGATAACTCCAGCCGCCACCTGGGTATCTTCTCGGTCAACAACATGGCCAAGTGGTTGGACCGCAATGTTTATCCCGCCAACCTCAACCGTTCCAAGACCGCCCCCGACGGGTCCAACGCCTCGGCCATCGACCAGCCCGGTCTGAAGGAGATGACGATCAAGGCCCTCGACATCCTGCAGACCCGCCACTCCGAGGACGGCTTCTTCCTCATGTCCGAGGCCGCCAGCATTGACAAGATGATGCACGTCCTGGACTACGACCGCGCCCTGGGCGAGCTGCTCGAACTCGACGACACTATCAAAGCCACGATCGCCTGGCTGACCGAAAATGGCGAGCTGAACAACACGCTCCTCCTCGTGACGGCTGACCACGGTCACGGTTTCGACGTCATGGGCAGCGTGGACACCCAGTTCCTCAACGCCCAGGACAACGCCCGCGACAAGCGCAACGCCGTCGGCACGTACCAGAACTCGGGTCACTCCCAATACGTCGTTGCGAACACCTCCGCGCGCGTCGGCAGCGACCAGAACCTGGTCTACGGACCTGGTGTCAACTTCCCCACCAACTGGGACCCCCGATACACCCTGTACAGCGGGTTGGCCGCGTTCCCGGATTTCCGAGAAGATTACCGCGTCAACAAGAACGGCCCACGAGTCCCCGCCATCAACATCACCGGCTTTGACGACGATGACTTTTATGTCAACTACGTCGATGCCGTGACCGGATTCATTGTCAACGGCACACTCCCTGTGAATGTAAGTCGCGTCCCATCTCTGCGCTTTCTTTCCTATTGTCTATTAGTACTAGTGCTAACCGTTTCTTCTCTTCTGTCCAGGCCGACCAAGGTGTCCATTCCCTGACTGATGTGCCGGTCTTCACACGCGGACCCTGCACGGAGTTGTTCTCCGGCGTGTTCAACAGCATTGACATCTTTTACGGCATGGCTGAATGCTTGGGCTTGAGTCGCACCAGCCCTTCGTAAGTACTCAGTATATAATGGGGGAGAGTGAGGGTGCCGGGCTGCAAGGCTGAACTATAGAGCCATAATCCCAGAAAAAAACGCGGTACGAGATACGAAGTACTTAGCGCGTCGAAGTAACATTCTTCGCAATACACGATTAGAACGTATTCTGCGGCATGCTGTAGATATAGTGCCCGTATGTAAGCGGTATGCGATACGCGATATGCATTAATACATAACTCGCGCTATCGATATTTGTCCAATCTGTACTCTGCGAGCGTGGCGTGGCGTGGCGTGGCAGACGTGCTTCATACAGAGCAGACAGTAGCATGTCATACCATTCATTCTCCTCGAGATGTATGCATGCATGCATGCATGCAATTCGAAATAGAGAATAAACCCCAGAGGACGGGTGTAGTACACGTTCTGCACACCTACCATAGCCCGCCTTGCCTGCCTGCCTAGCCGCCATACAAGGTACATAGGCCAAAGCAGCCTTGCTTTTATGCATCCTCCCCCTGACCCAATAGTCTTGAGTTGGGCCTCCTTCAGTTCCACGCTCCCTCTCCCTCTCTCCACGCAAGAGACCAAACATGTGACAGCTGATTCTCCATACACGAGTACACTCACTCATTGTTCCGCCTTGCCAGCTATCGGCCCCGGCCCATCCCCAGGGAACCACTCGACATGCACCTCGCCTTCAGGGCCGTAGTAAACGACCCTCTTGCCCTCGAGGAAGGCAAAATAGCCAACCACGCCCGCGGCTGTGATCTCGCTCGAGAAGTCCGCGTAGGTAGACGACTCGCCCGTCTGGATACGCTTGATCGCGGTCTTGACGCCGGTGGGGTCCCACGTGGCGTTGGGGTTGACATCAATGTTAGGACCGCTGTGAGTGGGACCGACAAAGGTGATCTGCTCGGTTGTGATGGTTCTGGGTCTGGAGGAAGTATTGCTTGCCGAGTACGCGGTTATCAGGGAGGAGGTGTAGTCGACGTGGTAGCGCGTGACGCCAAGGGCGAGGAGAGAGGCGACCGTTTCGGGGAAGCGGAGACCCCGGGGGGAGTGCACTTGGGCGAAGATCTTCGCTACAGGAGTGAGGGTGGGCATTCTAACGCCTTTGTCTGCGAAATATTCGATAGGAAATGGTTCGAATCGCTTGCTTGCTTATTGGTAAAAGGTTGGGAGGCTGAGGGATTTAGGATTGCTTGTTTTGGTTGCGACTGGGGACGGTGATAGTGGTGGGGAACGGAACACATCTTGATCGAACGGTTGCCGGACATCTTATATGCTTCTTTGATGCGGTATTGAGTCCGGGTCTGTCGAAAGTGTCAGGACTGTACCGTGTAAGCCATGTCGCGGAATGAAGGTCGAGATTGTGATGCCATAGCGTATACTGCCCTCAGTGCAACGCTGGGCGTTCTGCAGAACGAGTAAGCCAGGTTGCTCTGATTGGTTGGCCTCGCAATGTCCGCCAGACACGCCTCCGAGGATGGTGCAGGTACTGTCTGTGTACGAGGACGGGGCGGAAGTGCTATCGTCCTTGCTTGGAACGTTTCCAGAGACTCGTATCCGTGGTGTTCGTAGTTTCCAGCAGCATGAGTCTCGGCATTCTATACGCGTGGAAGTCAGCAAGTTCTAGATTGGCAGACACGCAACGCCGCCATCATCAGACTGCTCAGACGGACACTGTGGCGCGTCGGCGGCTCGTTCTGATCGATGCTCAGCATCATCGTTCAGGGCTGGACGATACTCGGCGGCGATGTCAAGGCACGAGAGGAGCGTCGCGTGAAGTCTGCCTCTGCCAGATTTGCGGTCAAGGTCAAGTGTGAGGACTCTGAGCCCAGGTTGTAGCCTCGATGAGAATGAGAGCATCCGATTACCTTATCTCACCATTATCCCTTCTGATACAGTGATGAAGCACTCAGCTAGCTGTATTCCGAGGGCATATTAGGCTTTCTCGATTGAGACTTGAGGAAGTATGGACAGTACTTGCGGCCGATATCTTGGCTGAGATCCATATACCTTGCTAGAATGCCATCGACGCTGCGAAATGTCCAGACCCAGCTAGGCATGCCTTCTGATGGATATAGAAGTTGACGAAACGCCTGACACGGCTCGACGATGTGCGATCGTACTTGGAGACATTAGGGCAGATGTAACTTTCTGGAGGCATCGATGCTATGAGTAGATGCATCATCTTGGAGGACGTCTCAGCTACGTTTTCTCCCTCTGCAACATGCCAGGAGTGCATGGATACAGGATTGCCAAATGTCCCAGCTTGATTCAGAGAGATTTGAAGGACTGAGATTTCACCGGCAGCACTTCTGCTTCTCCGTAGTCAAAGTCTCCATTACGGAGCAGTGTAACGCCACATGCTGTGACCCAAGCATGCCTAGTCAAGAGCTGGATGGCTTTGTCATGGAAGCTGAACTTCTACTCTGGCTGACTCGTCCCGTGGCTGACCTCTGGTCGACCATGCTGCAACGAGGCGTGCCCTATTTACCTAGGAGTAAAAATATGGCAAAGACCCTCTCGCGCGACGACCATGTCCGACAACACAGCTGGTCCTTCTGGCCCCGAGCCAAAGCTTCCAGGTAGGTACAAACGGAAGCTCACCGAAGCACGACGCGAGCAGAACCGTCGGTCGCAACGCGTGTGGCGAGAGAGGCAAAAGCAACGGCACGACAATGTGGTCCAGGCTCAAGTCCAACAGGTACTGGAGAGGAGGGAGCGGGCGAGAGAGCGGGAGCCGGAGAAGCTCAGTGCGCAATCCCAGACGACCGGCTTGATGAGCTCAATATCTGCAAGGAGGGAAGAATATTCCTTTCCTGAACGCCTGCTTGATGACATTCTCACCCAGGAGGAGGGAATCGCCGCTCATGACGAGCAAACTGTCTTTCCTGAACCTGTCCTTCCTGTGAAAGTCGCCGTATATTATTATGTTCCTCCGGTGGCAGGAGCGGAAGATTACCGACATTCGTGGCCCGTCCCAGACGACGTCGAGTTCAAAACATATACACGTCCGCCGGGCGTTATGGATCGAATAGCACCGTGTGGGAACTTGTTGTCGTCGTCGTCGTCGTCGCTCACACCATCTGAGCACCTATCGCCAGCGCCAGTTTATTACCCGCGCTCCTTGGGATCTCAGACCAGCTTCCCCGGCGCACGCTCACGGACATCTCTGCCTTCACCGTATAGGAACCATCTCCAACTGGTGGGAGAGTCTTGTTTCGCCGCAACCATGGCCATTGCCCAGAGCCTGGGCGTATCGATGCAAGCGTATATCAATGATCATCCGTCGCCTTTCTCAACCACCTCGAATGCGGACGTGCACACGATTCCTGTCGATCTTCGGCCTACGGCGTATCAGCTGATCATCCCCCATCCATCTTACCTGGACTGCATCCCGTTTCCGCACTTCCGCAGTATGGCCATCTATCTGTCGAGCGTGAAGAGACTCGACCACTGCAGCCTATTCCTCGACCTGATGCACGACGGGATGATCTGCTGGGGTCGAGAACGAGCAAGCGCCCAGTACGGCAGGAGCATGCGCGAGGGCGTGGCCTGGAATAAACGGAGCTGGGAAGTCAGACGGTGGTTCTGGCGGAAATGGAGCTGGATCGCCAGAATGACCGTGGAAGACGTCGATGCTGGAATCGATGTCGGTGCTCCAGCTGTGGCGGTGCTGCAGGGTGAAGCAGAATTCGACGACGAGGACGGCATGTTGAGCGGAAGCCAATGGTGGTGGTCGCTACATGACGAAGAAGCTGGGAACACGCCGGCACAGGAACCGGAGAAGGTGCAGGAGCAGGAAGAGCTGGGCAGTCTTCTAAGCCGTGTCGTTACCTGCAACGTCGGGGTTCGCAAGTCTGAAGAGTCACATCTGTTGGTGCACTGGGAATAAGCAAGGCTTGTCGTCTTTGCATTGAGGTGAGGGAGCTGTTTCTAGCAATCACAAGAGGCACCGCCAAGCTGAGAGAGAAAGAGAAGACGGGGGGAGAAGGAAGAGGGTGTGGTCCGAAAAAAACACCTTCCGCCCCCCGCCCGCCCACGCACACACACACATTCACATCGATCCACCACTTCAAAATGATCTTGAGGGAACACAAAAAAACGAGGGTTGTGTAGTACCGGAGACATCAAATTGGTCTCTAGAGACAGCCGACTGGGAATTGAGCCCACGAGTTGATCCTCGGACAACTCTAAGCTCGCAACCCCCTCCCCGACAACATAAGAATTGGGAAGAGGAAGCAGCTGGTATTCGGCAAATCTCTGGCAAGCCACTTGCACGGACGAAGCAGACAGGGGAATCGAACCCCGACCAAGTCTCCCCATTGTTAAGGGGAGGTTCCAAGCACTCCTTAAACCAAGAGCTCGAACGCCTGGATCCGGTCTACTGTTGGACAGGGAACCGAGCCGGCGTGCGTTGGATTCTGCGTGACTGCTGGAGGATATTTGAGACATTTTTTGTTGGAATGATCTATATACACTGATTATTCGTGCAGGACATGTGATTCGGATATGTGAATGACTGGGTATTGGTGAACGGGGCGGGTGGTGAGTGAAGAGGGTGTGGCAACTTGCGCACTGGCAGAACCGGTGAAGATGTGGACGGCAAGGCTGACGACAACATCATCCAGGAAGTACATCTGCGGATTCTCGGTGCTACGGCGCGGCGAAGCAGGCCGAATGCGTGCATTCAATCGTGCAGTTCTAGTCTATGGATGTATGTATGTATGTACAGTGGACAAGGCGCTCGTCCGGGGGCGGTTCATATAAACAACATATGTGCTATCATGTTGTGGTGGTCGAGTTGTACATTCTGGACGTCCTCACTCTTAAGAGTCGTCACGTTCCTATAGACTGGGCGGGATATTCATGGTTTATATCCAACCGCCCGGAGCACCACTTCCCTTTGAGACTATGACAACCGGCTCGTGCACAGGATTGACACTTTGGCTCTTCTCGAGATCCATTTCCTGCTCTCTCCCCCACCATGATCGCCGAAGCTCTTTCTGCGATGCCAGAGACTCATCGGTATCGACTCGGCCTCTACCCACCCCTATTCCAACTTTGTTCTCCTTGGCGACCCAGATATATGCATTGGCAATCTTTGGTGGCAGTGGCTGCGCACCGCTTCTATCGTGATCATCTCGAATCACCGTGTCCAGCCTGTCTTGGCTTCTCGTCACGCGGACAGCGGTGGAGAAAACATTCGAGTACACGGCTCCCATGTCCCGAATGGCAAGCATAGCGGCTAGGACGCAGAGGGCGCTCCCAACAATGGCCAATGTGTATGCAATGATGAGATCCCGGCTATCATACCGGTAGACGTTGCGAGAGAATGTAGACGTGGCGGCTACGTTGACGAAACTCCAGTCCGAAGCGTCATCACGGAGCTCTTGTCGCGGGAGGACCGCATAACGTGCGGAGAGGGTCATGTTCTGGAACAGTGCTTCAAATGTCCGCGCGAGGGTAACCATAGCAGCGTCGTTGAAAGGATCGGGAAATGCGTCGTTGAAGAGGACGGGACTGGTCTCCAGGGCGAGACTGGTTTGCGTAAATGGCAGGGTTTCATCGTCAGGGTAGTCGAGTCGGCCTGATGTGATGGCGCCAAAGGTTTCCACCAAGCCTGCATAATCCAAGATCGTGTTTGTGTGGGTGCCGGGTGTCAGTGCCGGAGTGATGCTGCTCCAGCCTGGCATCCAATTTTCGAATCTCAACGTTGGTTTCAGCAATTGTTCGCCTGTGCTGCGTACGTCGAAGTCGAGGCTCCATGTGGCGTTGTAGAGCGCACATGAGATAACGTAGATCGGATTCGCCATTGTTGCTTGAGTTGGGGCGTCGGGCGCTAGGCTGTAATAGATCCTGGCAGCATCCGGAGATATTTGATCGAGCATGCGAAGGTTGCTGTTAACGTCAGGATCCAGGACGAGCATGCCATCGACGAGAGCTTGATTCGGCGACGAACTCGGCCTTGGTACCCACGCATCGTACATGAGCGACGTCTTGTTGGCCTTTTGATATGGGAGTATCATGTCCGTCAGCTGGGATGTAACCTCCGGTCCCGCCTTTGAGCATGAAATAGCCGGTCCGTGGAATTCCATTGACCACGTCAAGTTAGTAGAGAAACTCCCTACTGACAGGGCTTTTGTCTCGACAAGCATTGCCAGCGTAGGTCCTTTCAAGTATGACCTGGCCCCGCCGTAAAAGACCGTTCCGTTATCTGCCTGCACGGCAGCGGCATAGGAGGATTTACCATATTCTCGTTGTTGTACAGACACGTTCCGTGGCTGGGAGACCGATGCAGACACAACAGACAGTGTGCCCGGTGTGGTTATGGCTACCAGAGGGATGAGCCTTGCTACTGTCAGCGTAGTCATGAAGTCAACCATTCAGGGATAGCGAGACCTACCAGAGGACCATGGCGACGAGCAGCAGGACAGGACGTCGAAGCCAGAACTTGACATGGCGAAATTCAAAGATACTGTCCTGTACTCCAAACAATGAGTCGAATTGACTGAGCTTTGTCGGCTTTCCCCGTGCGTGATGCCAAACTCGCTGGAAATAGGCGGTACCAGTTGCCAGCAGCAGCAGCACCTTGACAACATACGCCAGCGCATTCCCTGCCCGCGAAATCCATTGTTGGTCCACAGCAAGCTCGGTCACTTCTCTTCCATCCAGCTTCAGATTAAGGATGTGATGCGCAACCGCAAAAAGAATTGCACTCGGGAAAGCGGTAACCATGATGATTGGAGTGCGCCAGTCCATGGTGGAGGCCGAGCCTGTGGCCGTCGTCGGTAAGGAACCTCCCATTTCCTCTTATCTCCAGCAGCTTGATTTTTGGGAATGAGCGGAACTGGTGCAAAGTACCTGTGTATCCACGAACAGAAGCTCGCGGAGATGAGCTGCCCGCAGCTTGCAGTCACAAGGGAAAGGAATCCGTCCTCGTGCGGCCATGAGTCTGGCTATATGTGACTGCAGGGATTGTCAGTGGTGGGCTCATACCATGCCCCGAGACCGTGTTGATTGCGCGCTGAACAAGACTAGCTGAGATGGCTATGCAACGCAAAGCCCGCCGGATGACAATCACAACGAGAGAAAGACATCGAGCGAGAACCAACAGAATATGGCACTATACCCTGCTCTGGGTTTGTCAACCTCAACCAGACCGGCAGGTCATTTTTGGCGCTGGTCAAGTGATGGAGCGGGCGCTTAAGCACGACCGAGATTTGAAACATTGTTTTGTTGTTTCATTTAAGCGACAAAGCGGCCCAGATGTTCGCCACGCGCCGAGTCGCGAAGGCCAGAAATGTGTCTTCGAAACTTTCGAGAGGACTTCGCCTCCTCTACTGGCGGCGTAGTCATGTACTGATGCCCTGCGGCGCGATACGGCGCCCCTGCTTGCGTGGGAGACTGGGAGGATCGCAACCGGCTATCAGAAGATAACCAGACAAAGATTTGTGCGCGGGCCTGAACAAATAAGAGGTGCACAATTCAAACGCTGTGCCACGATGTCGGTGCCGCGGGGTTGGCCTTTCCATAAAATGGTTCACGCCAGATGAGGATGAATACGAGGTAAAGATCGAATCAAAGGCGGACTATGCGGAAGGTCACTTTGGCCAGAAGTCCGTTCAAATGACGCCCGCACGATTGGCCGGAGGTGTAGACGGATCTGATAGGAGCGTCGGCAGTCTTGATCTTGAATTGCTATCACAGCCGGTTGGATGTGATGGCGTAGGCTGCTTGCTGGTATAGAGAGGCAATACCATTACTGCGTACCCACTCCACAGCACCGCGGTTCTATGCCACATCTCAAAACCCGTGTCTTTCCGCCCAGTCCAATATCACATTATATGCGCCCGTGGCATTGTGGTGCAAGTTGATGCCATGTCCCACATTCGGCTGGATATACGTCTCAACGCTACTGCTGCCATTGAAGCCTTGGACCGCCACGCTGTCGGGTCCAAAGAGACCCGTGCAGTTACTCGCGCAGAAGATAAGATCCGACTGTGCAGCCACGTAAAGCACGGGGCCTGGAAAACTAGGCGCCGCAACGGGAAGAGTCGAGGCTGACAGAAACTCGCCCACGGTGAATGGGTATTTCGTCGCCTCGGCGCGGTCGAGCACTGCGGGGTCGAAGTAGGGATATTCGAGGAAGGAGAATTGGTTGCCGGATTTATCGGGCCAGGTCAGGAACCCGGATGAGTACCTGCTGGGAGGGAACCTTCTGGGTTGGTTCTGGTTCGCGAGACGGAAGGCCGTGTTGGCGATGAAGAAGGCCGTGTACTGGGAGAGCGCGGAGTAGCCCGTGAGGACGACGCCGTCTGAAAGACCAGGAGCAACAGCGGCGAGGCCGACGCTGAGTTCGCTGCCCCAACTGTGCCCTACGTGGATGACTTTCTGGGGCACGGGGACCTGCGAGACGTTTCCGGCGCGGACGAGTGTCGTGAGTCCGACGAGCACTGCGACTTCGACGAACCCTTGGATCTCTGTATAGGGGTCTGCGATTGTGGAGGGTTCGATACCAAGACGGTTGTAGGATAGCGTGCTGTAGCCGGCGCCCGTGGCGCTGTTGATGTACGAATACTGCGCATCGTTGCGCTTGGAGGGGAGATAAAAGTCCCAGTAGCTTCTGTTAAAGCCCAGACCGTGGGAGAGGATCTGCAGGGTTGATGCTCTCGGTCCGGGGGGGGATGGAGTGCAGTATTCTGCGCTGATGTTGAACGTCCTGGTCAAGGTGGTCAGGTTGACATCTGGAGTGGATGGTGTCCGAATCGTGAGTTGATTTGCCAATGATGTGGCAGCGTATTGATTGGGGAGTTCTGGAAAGGGAGGCACAATCACTGTCACGTTTGACACGGGCACTCTGACCATGAAGCTTGTGCATGTGTAGTTCTGCTTGGGAACAGCCTGGGCGCCTGCTACCGAAGCCGTAAGCAGCAGCGAGGAGACAAGAGACGCAGAGATACGCATGGTTGCTGGATCGAGGGCGTGTCCGTCCAGAAATTGTAGGAGTCGTAGCTTTTGCGAGGACGTACCTGTAGCGAGCCAGCTGAGGTTCTTAAATACTCATGAAGCCTCTTGCGATGCGGCACACAGCGTCTGTCTTGAAGCATAGCTAGCATAGTTCCAATGCCGCAGCTTTCGTTCTTCTCAGCTTCGCTACTATTCGCCAGCGAAAGCCCCGGATTACTTCCGGACCAGGCAGTCGATGAAGCTCCGGGACAAGTCATTGGCCACGTCCCGATCAGGATAACCCACGCAGTTCCAAATCACCACTCTGCTTCGACCTGGCGCTGCCTACATTAGTCAGGGAAAAGCCACAGCATGTAATTGCTGTCCGTATGTGGACGATACAAGCTGCTTTGTAACACAGTCACTTGCCGAGCATGAATAGGATGCAAGCGAGGGAATGACAAATCACGCCATGCATTCCCTGAAAGCTGGAAAAGGATCTGGGCGATACTGTGTAGGGTTTGTGAAGCCCAGCGACTTTCCCATGTGGCTCCAGTCATCGTCGCTGGTAACGCGTGCCCAGCGCATGGGCGCCGCCACCATAAGCAAGAGCTGAAGAGCAATGTTGAGTGTCCTTGACCGAAACTGTAAGGAATGTCAAATTATGTCTATGACCGTAGCTGGTCTATCGTGCAGTTGTCCGACCGAGGTTTCATTTCTTGTGGAGCATGCCTAAGACTGAATGTGCCATTTCGTGCTGCCGTGAATGTTAGTGGCGATCCTTCCATGGAAGTATTTGAGATTGACCTACATCTTCGTCCGTCTCCACGACCAACGTGCGAACCGCAGACTCGCCTTTGCCGATTTCAGTCACATCGTTACCGTCTGTACCCTTGTTGTTTTTCTCGTCATCAATGGTGAAACCGAGGCATGAGACCTTCTCGATCACCACTTGCCGCAAGTATGCACTTTTTTCGCCGATGCCGCCGGCGAAGACCAGAGCATCAACGCTGCCACCCAATTTGACATAGTAGTTGCCGACGTAGCCGACAATGCGGTCAATAAAGATATTAAAGGCCAGCTTATGGGTATCCGGAGCATCTGCAACTGCAATCTTGGAGAAGTCCGTCGTCCCGGTCAATGCTTTCCAGCCAGACTGCTTGTTCAGGATTTCTTCTGCAGTGGAAATGTGCAGATCCTTCGTGCTGCTCGGGCTCAACGCGCTGGCTTCCGACGTGTAATGGAAAACCAGGCTTGGGTCGATATCGCCTGAGCGGGAACCGCCCGGCAGTCCTGATACCGGCGTCAATCCCATTGTTGTGTCAATTGATTGTCCATTCTTGATCGCGCAGGCGGATGCTCCGCTCCCAAGATGAAGGGCAATGATGCTTGTGCCGGACTGCGGTTTGCCGAGGAAATCGGCCACCGTTCTCGTGATGTATTGATAGCTCAGCCCGTGGAAGCCGTACTTTCGTAGACCCTTCTCTTTTGCGATCTTCTGGTCGATGGCGTAAGCTTTGACGTAGTCAGGCATAGTATGGTGGAATCCCGAGTCAAAGCAGGCAACATTGATGACATTGGGTAGGTGGTCATGGCATGCTTTCATGAGACTGACTGCAGAAGCATTGTGTCTAGCGGTCGGTCAGCGTCCACGACCGCGCAGTGTCCTGGAGTGCGGTGGTACCTACAACGGCGCCAGATCCGACAACTTGTTGATCTTATCAAAAGTCTTCTTGGTGATGAACTGACTGGTATGTGTTAGCACCACCATCGCAGGATCTAAGGCGGCACTGACTTCTCTTCAAAGTTCCCACCCTGCACTACCCTATGTGCTGTGTAATCAATGTCATCTTTGCTGGAGACTTCCGGTATCTCGGAATCCGAGACGAAGGCGTTGAGAACATGCTCAAAGGCCTGTTTGTGGTCCGTGATCTCGCCGACCTCACTGGTGTCTTTGTAGCTGGCTCTGAGGTATTTTAGACGGGCGGGAGGGGAATTGATGGAAGATATTTCCGCGCTAGCGAGTCGCCGAAGATCTGGGCGGCCGGCTGCGGTTTGTTCCTCGACAAACAGGGTCGTCTTCAATGAAGAGCTTCCTGCGTTGATCGAAAGGATGACGGCCGACATTGTCGGATTGGAGGTTGGTATCACGCGTATCTAACAGTCCTGCGGTGTCTGGGTCAGGACTGGACGAGGAGCGAATCTTGGTCATTTGTAGAGGCTCGCAATGAGATCAGACCACCAATGCACATGCGCCTGGCGGACAACCTACTTCGTAACCTGACAGGAGACCTACACCTGGTGCGTATCCATCCAGGAACCAGCGGCACTCGAACAATGGCAGCTGCCACTTGCTGTGACGTCTATGAACCACAGCGCCGCCGGTGCCACCAGAGCGTACTGTGAAGGGAAAGTAAACCCAATTTCAATGCTGTGTGAAAGCTCTGTGAGAGATGATTGGAGATCAAGTTCCCAGATTCCGAGCTGCGACACGCAAACAGTTGCATCATGGTGGAATAAACAACCGAATTTCCGGCCAGATGAACTGATGATGAAGCATCAAGGCAGCATCAATTCACTTGATTGCTGCTTCACTTCTCCAGCTCTCATCGCCGTTTGCAGACCTCTAGGTGGTATTTCTTTCTTGTCTTTGCTGACTGTGCAGGAACTACCATTCTCGATCCCTAGCATTCACCAGTTGCCCCTGCGAGCGAATCGCGAGTATAAGCATCTCTTGCACTATGCCTGGCGAAGTGATTGATTCTCCCAACCCGCAGCCGCTGCCGTCCAACGTCCCCGATTACGTGTCTGACCTCCTGGTCAAGCTCGAGAAGCGACCTTTGCCTGACAACACCAACGATGTGGTCGCAAAATTTCGGCGCGCAGCCAACTACATTGCTGCTGCCATGATCTTTTTGCAGGACAATGTCTACCTTGAACGAGATCTCACGCATGAGGACATCAAGCCGAGATTGCTCGGTCATTGGGGAACATGTCCTGGTCTCACTCTGGTTTATTCTCACCTCAACCTCCTGATCACGAAGCATGACCTGGACATGCTCTACGTCGTCGGCCCAGGCCATGGAGCGCCTGGTATACTGGCAGCCTTGTGGCTCGAAGGCTCATTAGCCAAGTTCTACCCTCGTTACTCGCAAGACGCCAAAGGCCTACACAACCTTATCAGCGGTTTCAGTACCACTGGAGGCTTTCCCAGTCACATCAGTGCCGAAACACCAGGATCTATCCACGAAGGTGGAGAGCTCGGGTATGCTCTCAGTGTCAGTTTCGGCGCTGTAATGGACAACCCAGATTTGGTGGTGTGCTGCGTTGTCGGCGATGGCGAGTCAGAGACTGGGCCTACTGCGACCGCATGGCATAGCTACAAGTACATTGACCCTGCGGAATCCGGTGCTGTTCTGCCCATCGTTCACGTGAATGGTTTCAAGATTAGCGAGCGTACCATCTATGGCTGCATGGACAACAAGGAGTTGGCTGCCCTCTTCACAGGCTATGGATATCAACCACGAGTCGTGGACGACTTGGACGACATCGATGCAGACCTCTCTAACTCCATGGAGTGGGCTCTTGGGGAGATTAAACGAATCCAGAAAGCTGCCAGAGAAGGTAAGCCCATCACAAAACCTCGCTGGCCCGTGTTGATTCTACGCACTCCAAAAGGCTGGTCTGGTCCGAAGAAAGTACACGGTACAATCGTTGAAGGCTCCTACAAGGCGCACCAGGTTCCGCTGCCTCATGCGAAAACTGACGCAGAGGAACTCAAGCAACTTCAAGAATGGCTCGAATCCTACAAATCAAAGGAGCTTTTCAAGGAGAACGGCGATGTCATTGACGAGATCAAGTCAATCATACCGACAAACCCAGATCGACGGCTTGGTCAAAAGAAGGAGGTGTCCGGCGCTTATAGAAGACTCAAGCCTATCGACTGGAGGAAGTTCACAGTTGAGAAGGGCAGCTCTCAAAGTTCGATGAAAGCAGTCGGCAGACTGCTTGAGCAGATTGTCAAAGACAATCCTAAGACTTTTCGAATCTTCTCGCCAGATGAGTTCGAATCTAACAAGCTCGATGCTGTCCTCAGCTCCACCAACCGGAACTTTCAATGGGATCAGTTCTCTCGGGCGCAAGGCGGGCGACTCATCGAGGTCCTATCTGAGCACCAGTGTCAAGGCTGGATGCAGGGCTATACCCTGACGGGTCGAACTGCCCTGTTCCCCAGCTACGAAGCCTTTCTAGGTATCATTGATACCATGATGATACAGTATGCGAAGTTCGGCAAGATGTCTCGTGAGTCGGGGTGGCGAAGTGACATCTCCAGCATCAACTACCTCGAGACGTCAACCTGGACCAGACAAGAACACAACGGCTATTCGCACCAAAACCCTGGCTTCATTGGCGCCGTCTTGAACCTCAAGCCTAACGCCGCTCGGGTCTACCTTCCTCCAGATGCAAATACATTCCTCTCAACCATGGCTCATTGTCTACAATCGAAGAACTACGTCAACCTGATGGTGGGTTCTAAGCAGCCGTCTGCGGTCTTCCTATCCGCCGATGAAGCCGAAAATCACTGCCGAGCCGGCGCCTCGGTGTGGAAGTTCGCGTCCACAGACGACGGCCTGAATCCGGACATTGTCCTTGTTGGCATTGGCGCCGAATTGACCTTTGAGGTCATCGCCGCTGCAGACATACTCAGATCAGAGCTCCCAGACCTCCGTGTTCGTGTTGTCAATGTGACGGATCTGATGATCCTCGGGGCGTCTAGCAGCCATCCCCACGCTTTGACAGATGATGCATTCGACGCGCTGTTCACCGAAGACATCCCCATCCACTTCAACTACCACGTAAGTACATTGCCGGCTTCTAGCAACCTTCAAATCCACGCCCGAAATCGGCCCACGACTCCGGGTAACCTCGTTCGGCGCTAACTTCCCTCAGGGCTACGCGACTGAACTCAAAGGCCTCCTCTTCGGCCGACCCAACATGCAGCGTGTGACCATTGCATCCTATAACGAAGAAGGCAGTACAACCACGCCCTTCAATATGATGCTAGTGAACGGCACATCGAGGTATCACGTGGCAATCCAAGCGATCAAGGGTGCTGCGAAGAGGAACGAGAAAGTCAGATTGAGGCTGCATGAGTTGACGAGTGAGTTGACCGGGCGGATCAGTGAGGTCACGAAGTTCATACTGAAGGAGAAGACTGGTAAGTGGTATTGGGTGATGAATCCCTTGCAGAAGATGTGTCTTTCCAAGAGAATGCACGACTTGGCTAATTGGTTTGTGCCGGTCCAGATCCCGAGTTTCTCAACGAGGTCAAGAACTTTAAGATCGATACGGCCTCTATGAGCGAAGGTTGATTTCGACATTCTTCAGCAGGCCGTAGCGGTCAGCGCAAGAAAGCTGCCACCGCCATCATCGCCGGACAGGGATTAGACGACGCCTCATCGCAGCTACAGCTAATTAGTAGCTAAAGCTTGAGCTTGCACCTCTACGTCTACACCCATGATCCGCAACAAACAGACGTAAGGAAAAGCCAATGATAGAGGTGACGAACGTAATTCTGTCGGTCCCTCGTGGCGTTCTTCTAGTCGTATTCCATGCACGCAACAGCTCATCCAGATGAACCGCTTCAACATACATCCACGTAAACATACCGACAAGCACAGAGAATCACTCTTCCATCGCAACAACCAGCCCGTAAATCTCCTCCTTCAACGTCGACAAATCAACGCCGTGTGCACTCAAACCCTCGCTAAAGCCTCTACACTTCTCCTTGTAGCTCGCAAAGGGCGCGCCAAACGGATCAGTAAACTCGACCAGCAGCATCCACTTCGGCCCTTGCTCATCCGCGCCGCCACCACCACCAGCAATGGCAGTCTGGAAATTGACATTGTCGTACGACTTGGTCGAATTCCCACTCCGGGATGCCTCCTCATCGTGCTCAAGGAGATGCATCGCCAGAACACTGGGGAAGAACCCGAGTATCAGCTCCCAAGCCTCCGTAGCGAGGTATGTCCTCAGCGCTTCTCGCGCCTCGGACGACTGCGGGGCCTGGAACACTACGTGCGCGAGCGTGCCTCCGACTCCGCCGCGCTGACACTGCGAGAACTCGGCCCGCGAAACGGAAAGCAGGACATTACACGCCGAGCGGTTCATGCTCGCGAGCACGGGCATAAACTTCTGGGTCCCGGCCGTGGGATTGTTGAGCGCGTGCATGTACGGTGGAGACGTGAGCGTGGAGAGGGACGAAACTTCGTAAACCACCATGTAGTGCGAGTACGAGTGTGAGATCGCCGTCGTCTCGGCTTGATCGTCAGAGCTGTCCTTCGAGGTGTGGTAGTATCGTCGCGTGCGGTGAAAGCCTGGGATCGCCAGCCGTTCGGGGAGGTGTTCGTTTGTCCACCAATCGTTGAGCGCGCGTTCGTCGGGAATGCTGAGGTTTGATTGACGGCCCCAGATTATGAGGATTGCGGACCCGCGGAGGAGGGAGCGAGATGGGGTTGGCAAGGACATTGATGCGATCAAGCCTCCTTGTGGGAGGGGTGGACTTACAATGAATGCGAGGTCAAGGTACTGTGTATGTAAATTCACGGACGGACGACTTCCTGGGCGGCTCGGACTGGGACGGAGTGAGGCCGAAGAGGCTTTTATATACCCTCGTCTGTACCTGCAGAGGAGCTTACGCTTTCTTTACCCAGAGAGATTGCTTACCACGCTCTCCGCACGCTGAGGTTCTTGTCTCCGATTGTTCTCCACAGAGCCACCACCTGCTTGATCGGATAATCATAATCCAGAGCTGAAGGGAGAAGTCGAATGCACATGATACCGGCGGACAACGTACACATTCCGAGGCTTGTATTTGTTGAGGGCATGCAGCTGCTGCCAGATTCCATTATTGTTCCGTGATTTCTTGTACCGTTTCGCGGTCTCACATGAAGAATGAGAAAATGGGATGGAGTTGATTGGAGCTCAAGGAGGAACAGAGAAACCTCGAGGCAGCTAATTAAAGGAGACATTGACTTGAGGCCATCCCGGCATAACATTGATCCGATCCGTGATAGCTCCTTTGCCCTTGCCCTGAACCTCTCACTTGGCGTGAAGCTCCGCAGTCGACTTGACGAGTGTCCGCAACTTCACATTACACTCAATTGTCGGTCCAGCATAGTGGTGCCGTCGTCGTGTAGGGGTCGCAATCATGTCGAAACGCGAGGCCAGGTACCGTCTTCTTCCCTGCCCGAAAGCTCCCTAATTGACCCTCTCCTGCAGGTTCAGCACAGATGTGCTCATCGACACGACGCCTATGCCCGACCATATCCCCAAAGTCGAAGAAATCGGGGCCAGTTCAGCACCGCTACTCAGCGCAGCGTACTTCATTGGCGCAAGGTGTAAACCCTACAATGACGACTATATGCAGTGTAAGACCGAGTCATACGGACGAGGAGAGTTGGATTGCATGAAGGAAGGAAGGAAGGTTACGAGGTGTGCGGCGAGTGTGTCAGTATACCCCTGCTGCTTCAGCATGTGGAGGGAGAAAGGCTGTTTGAGGGGTGCTTGCTAATGGGTTGTTTGGGTGCCGTAGGCTGGCCGATATCAATAAATCCTGCCTGGACGAGTTTCGAGCACATTGGACCTGCCTGGAAAACAACAACCACCAGTTATGGCAGTGTCGACGGCCGGAAAGGGTTCTGAACAAATGTGTTTTCCAGAAGATTGTACGTGTTCGGTTTGCACGGTTCCCGACTCGTTCACTGAAGTCAATGAGGACGGTACACTCTTGCTGACACGGCAACACAGGGCCTAGAGAAGACGATTCCCGACACACCGAAAGGACAGACACCAATCCACCTTCGAGACAAGCAGCTATATGCAGACTATCCTACAGTGGTCATGCCATGGGAGAAGGATGTGGGTATTCGAAAGAAGGATGCCAGTCAGCCGCAATAAGTGGTGAGCATCCATGCCTGCTGCGTGAAGGTGCTCCAACGCATGATACTGGCGGTCCGTTCTGTTGCCCACAAAAGATTACGAGAGTGGTCGAAGGTCCGTCCACATCTGTACATATGTAGCATTCGCCTCGATGCTGAGGCGAAGGCGTCACGAATGAAGGCTGACTCTGCTCTTCGCGAATCGTAGTCATGTCGTCACCTCCGTTCTCGTGGTCTCGATTACCCGTAGGGACTATCTGTATCAAGGCCTCGGCCACCCACGAGTGGAAGCAGGGCTGCCTCCAGCTGGGTACTGGCGGTCCTCAATGGATGGTTGATGCTCGAAGACCTGGCCAGTACTGGCTTTGGTAGCGGAAAACCACGTCAGCCTTTCTCATACCCGAGGTTTCCACTCTCGCAGTGGCATCCGCATGCTCCATCAGTCCTCTGTCTGGGTTGCCGCAGAGACGTCTCCCTCGTCCTCGGCCTGTGGAGTCGGGCACGCATCTTCCTCATTCTCGCTCTCCTCATCATCATATCCGATCTCCTCGGCTGTCTTGCTGCCTCCAACCATAGCCTTCAACCTCTCCGTCCACTCATTGATATTGTCGTATGGACCCTTCTCTAGCTTCGAAAACCATTCCGTGAACGGAACGCCCTCAAGATATCGCGCGGGCTTTCCTCCCCGAGACTTGACGGCCGCGTTGAGCTGGACAGTAAGTGCACCCATAGCATGGAGGCGTTCTGGCGTCATGGAGGCAAGGGTCTCGGCGCGTCGTTTGGCTAGTCGGTCGTTCTCTCGGTAAGCTGCGTCTATCGCGCTCCTATAGGAACCACCAAGCGCAGGCGGCGCGATTCCAACATCATCCAAGTTGATTCTTTCTTCTGGCGCTAATCCCCTCGGCGCTTTTGGTCTCTTCGGAGCTGAGATTGTGGCGGGGATGCAGTGAGCATTGTGTTCTTCGATGTGCGCTGTAGTGCAACCTGTGCCTTGACAGTTGATGAGTTTCTTGCCGTGCTTGCAAGCCCTAGGTACCGTTATGGCTTCGCCGCACTTCAGGCAGGGGATCGTGGTTGGCGGGCGAGGGTTCTCTTCCTGGTTTTTCTTTGCTTTGTTGTTGCGGGCTTTCCTCTTAGGTGCCATGACTAGTTCTGACCGAACAGAAAGAAAGGTGGAGGGGGAACCAGCTGTATTTGGAAAGAAAGTGTAGGATCGTCGAAAAGGGTCCTGGAGAGGACGGTCTGATTGCTTGTGAAATTGGCGGAGCCACAGTCCTCAGAAGGCGAGAAGGATAAATAGCGCGGTATGGCAGATGAGGCGGGTCGGGAGCAATCGTACAGCTCTTCTCAGTACGGCAAAAGATCTTTTTTCGCGGGAACAATCATCCTGGACCATGGTCGTGCTGAGTATGTCTCCACGCTTCATGCGCAATAAGCGTGGCCAGAAGAATCAGCCTCGCGAATATTGTCAGAGAGATGGTGCCAACACCACACCCGGTATGTTGGCAATCTGTTAATCTTGCCGACAAGTTAGAGAATCATTAGAGCCCTGACCACTGTGGTGAGTTAGTTGAGGGTTGCTATAAGCAAAGGCTGTGCTCTCTCCGTGATATCAGGCTGACGGACGTCGTAGGACAGTGTTCGCGTCAGTGTCAGGTAAACAGTGAGCGCATCCAGCAAAATGCGTGAACAGAATTTTCTGGCACACTCATGACGGATGAGGACAACGTCCTGTCCAAACCTGTGCCAGCAGCGAAGAGTACTCCGTATATACAGTAAAGACCCAGAGGACAAGGACAAGGCTGACGTGAACTGGTCGAAGGGGCGTTGGCCACCTCAAGGCAGAAGCGGGACCTGCCCAGTAAACCATCGGAGCCGGATAATCTTTTGGTTAGCGGCTTCGGGGCTTTCACCAAGACGTTCCAGGGGCTGCGGGTGCAGCTTTCGGGGCGGCAGCAGCACGTGAGACGATCCTCCCAAGTCTAAAGTTCAGCGACACGGTTGCACCAGTCGCAGCTCACGACAACTGCATCATCTGCCAGCGGCCGGAACGCAATCCTTACCGGTCAACACACCATCATTTCCCTGATCCCCAGGGCAGGTGGCTGCTCCAAGTGACGTCCAATTATTCTTCCCATGTCGAATTAACACATACCAAGCCTTTGTTTGCAGGGATACTATATCACCCGCCTGCCGTCACCCTCTCACCGTCATGGCGAACTCGACGCTCTCTCCGCCGCAGTCGCCAGAGCGTTCCTTGACCTCGAACAATAGACCTATACCAATTAACCGTGCCAACACAGCCCCGGAGAAGATGTCAACGAACGGCCATTTTGCATCTGCGGGCCAAAATGGGCATGCCGATTTTGAAAATGGTGTCCAAGTTGTGGATGAGGACAAGCAGTTCAAGTGCGCCATATCCCTAGGGACTCGAGGTGGTCTCGCTGATATCCATATAGCCCTGATCTAGCCAAGTACCTCCAATACTCTGGTGTTTCTCACGCCGGATTCAACTATCACCTCATTTCCGTTTTTGGGTCGCAGTCAACTGGCAAGTCCACTCTCCTGAATGCCCTCTTCGAGACCGACTTCTCCGTGATGGCCGAGGCGGAACGCCGGCAGACAACAAAGGGAATATGGTTAGCGAAGAACAAATCCTCAGCGACAGAGATGGCAGATAATATCCTGGTCATGGACGTCGAAGGGACAGATGGCCGGGAACGTGGGGAAGACCAGGACTTCGAGCGAAAAAGTTCTCTGTTTGCGTTGGCAACCAGCGAAGTCTTGATGGTCAACATCTGGGAGCATCAGGTCGGCTTATACCAGGGCGCCAACATGGGGTTGCTCAAAACCGTCTTCGAGGTCAATTTACAACTGTTCCTCAAAGACAAGAAGTCGACCTCGCGGAGTCTGTTGTACTTTGTTATTCGAGATTTCCTTGGGACCACACCCCTCCAGAATCTACGGAATACATTGATGCAAGATATGGGCAGGATATGGACCAGTTTGTCCAAGCCACCAGGTCTGGAGAATAGCAGCATTGATGACTACTTCGACTTTGCCTTCACTGCCCTGCCCCACAAACTGTACCAGCCAGAACAGTTCAAGGCCGAGGTCGCGAAGATGTCAACCAGGTTCAGGGACGGCCAGCGCGATCGCAGGCGGGACGCACTATTGGGAGAGTTTGAGGGTGGGATATTTCTTCCGGAATATCACCGAAGGATTCCTGCCGACGGCTTTTCGCATTATGCCGAGGGCATTTGGGATCAGATTGTGAACAACAAGGATCTTGATCTTCCGACCCAACAGGAACTCCTCGCACAGTTCCGATGTGACGAGATCATGAGGGAGGTAATGCTCGCTTTCGACGAGGCCATCAATCCTTTCGAAACACAACAAGCAGATGCGGCGCGGTCGGGGACCCCTATGGTCATCGCAGGGCTGGGAGCTGCCATGAAGGGGGCAAGAGCCAGTACGATCCAGAATTTCGAAACTGAAGCCGGCAGATACCACAAGGGCGTGTATCAGAGGAAACGGACTGAGCTCGAGAGCAAGATCGATACGAGACTGATGACTCTTTTTACAGGCCAACTGTCCGCCGCACATAAAGAGGGCGTCCAGCAGTTTTCGGACGCTGTCAGTGGCGCTGTCAAGGCTGGGCAAAAGAAGGGAGCATCCTATGATTTTGCCGAGATCGTCAAAGAGCAGAAGAAGATTGCCATCAACAAATTCGAGTCGGACGGAAAGGAGGCTACAATTGAAGGCTTGCCCTGGTCCAACTACAAGCAGGAATTAGCATTGTATCAAAAAGAACTGGACAAGATCTCAGGACAACTACGCCGCGATGAGATGCGGCGTTTAGCCACGCGGGTTGAGCGATGGGTCCGAAGTAAGCTCAACGATAGCGTCGGCCTGGAATTTAACGCTCTTGGCTCGGGCCGTGGCGGCTCGGGTGCGCCTGAGCATGGGGACAAACCCACAGAAATGGGTATCTGGGATCGCATCTGGTCTCTCTTTGTCAACACCGTGCAGGAGGCTGAGAAGCGGTTCGCTGACCGAGCTGCTTCCTTCGACGCTAGTGCCGAAGAAGTTGAGGTGGGCATCTGGCGGCTGAGGAGGAAGTCGTGGGGCGTCCTGCGGTCCAAGATTGACGAGGAAATGATGGAAGGTAATCTCTTACTGAAGCTTCGCGAGAATTTCGAGGACAAATTCAGGTACGATGAGGCCGGCGTTCCTCGAATATGGCGGCCGACAGATGATATCGAGGGAATCTACACCAAAGCGCGAGAAAGCACATTAACCCTGATCCCTCTTCTGGCCCGCTTCCGGCACTCCGAGACGGGAGCACCTCCGCCCCTAGACCGATGGATCGGCCCTAGTCCTGCAGCTGCCACCCCTGCCGACGAAGAAGACCTCACACCCATCGGAGGTGTCGATGAGGAGGAAGGGAAGAGCCTGGAAGAGGAGACGATGATCCTCAACGAAGCCAAGCGCCAGGACCTGACTGTCAGGTTCAAGAAAGCGGCCGACGGGGTGTACGTCGAAGCCAAGCGTAGTGCGATCGGCGGCATGACCCAAGTACCCTTGTACTTTTACGGCCTGCTGCTGGCGCTAGGGTGGAATGAGATAGTTGCTGGTAAGTTGCATTACTCGGTCGAAGGACTGTATACTGACAACGTAAAACAGTGCTTAGAAATCCCGTTTATTTCATGTTCCTCATCCTTGTTGCCATTGGAGCATACGTCACATATACACTCAACCTCTGGGGCCCCATGCTGAAAATGGCCAATGCAGCATCACAACAAGCGCTAGAGGAGGGAAAGAAGCGACTCCGGGAGTTTTTGGAGGAGAATCCCCGTGCAGCACATGCGGTGGCTGTGTCGACCGGTCACGAAGAATATGAGATGAAGAACTTGAAGTCTTCGGCGAGACCGAAGTTCAAGACGGATGGCGCTGATGATGAGGAGGAAGACGAGATATGACGGGCATAGCACTTCCTGTGTCCACCAACCCTGCTTTGGTCGATTGATCTGAGTATGTCGTCGACTGTTGTATATCAAAGATTGGTCAACTGAGTGGGAGGCACAAGCTGGAATAGACGACCATCGCATACCTACGTTCTTACCTTGTGGCTCTGACAGAAATGGTATTTCAAGCTTGGCAGGTCGTGTGACTCAAAGCTATCGCCACAGGACTGTAGACCGCATAGGTACACTGCCCATTCGAAGTCCCATACTCAGGTATTACCACACCATTGATCTTCAATTTTAATCATCAGGATGAACTCGATGTCAGATATGTCGACGGCGGGTTTGAGAAATTTGCTGGCTGTTTAGATTCAGCTGATTAAATCTCATCTTCGCCTTCGACTCCAGTTTACCTGGGTAGACGCACCACTCGCACCCAATTTTCACGTATACAAAGACACTTTCTGACGTGGTTCTAGGGGCGGCTCAGATACATACGCCCTGATCTTGGTTGTGCTAAGCAGCATCGGGTGGTGATTGAGTCCGCTCCGACGGACTTGACTTCGCATCAACCTTCTATCCACTGGCCGTTGATATCTGGCCCGGTCAAACGGCAGATCTGGATAATAACCCACTTCAACGTCCTGCAGGTATCACAGGATTCTCTATATCTGCCGTGGGAGGGTCGTCAAACACAAACTCTCAATCTCGAATCAGACATTGACGTGTGGACTTGCGGCCCACTCAGGGAACTCCTCCGCCACCAAGCCACACGAGCTGAAAGCTGCTTCAGCTGGTCAAACGGTGGTGAGACCTCCCATAGGGCAACACTGACAGTAAAAGCACTTGGGACAGACGGGAAGCCCGCATTCAGCTGTGCCACCATTTCGCGCCGCTTCACGTAAAGACGTCCAGCAGTTGCAGTTACACGAACAACGTCGTCCCTCCTCGAGTCCATCAAGTCTAGACGTGTCTGCGCGATGTTGTCTTCCACTCATCTGCCAGAAGATGTCGCACTTCTGCACGCCTACCATTATCTGCACGACCAGCCCTTGCCCGATGGCTGGATCACTTCCACCTGCCCAAGCGTATATACGCAGGGCATCTCCCTCCCTCTTGCATTTACAGGTCTCCATCTGTCTGTCTCATTCCTGCAAGCATATTGCACCCAAGGCAAGAGATAGAACTTCCTTTGTGCGGACTCCGTCAAAATGGAGAAATTGCACAAATTACAGGCAACTATTTTCCAACAGGCTCCTACTGCTCCAGATGGACGGACTGATGCGGAAGCCGCAGCAACACCCCCAGTGACCCAGACATCGCTACTCCACGATTTAACTCATCTAGGCCGAGAGAATGCCGCGACCATGGTCCAAGCGTTCACCACATTGATCTCAGGAGAGCCGTTGAACGACAAGGAGCTGTTGCTCGAGCATGGCGTGCACATGCTTCAATCTCTGCCTCCCAATAGCGGACTGGGCGCAAAGGCCGCCGGTGGCTTCATTAAGATGCTATGGGATGACTTGCCTCACCCACCAGGAACCATTGCTGGCCCGACAACCAGATACAGGAGGCACGACGGAGGCAGTAACAATCTCTGGGACTCTGAGCTGGGCAAGGCCGGCTCACCTTACAGCCGAAGCGTGCCACCAATGAAACCAAAAGGTCCCAACTTGCCAGACGTGGAACTCGTCTTTGAGTATCTGCTCAAGCGAAAGGAAGGAAAGTTTCGCAAACACCCATCCGGGCTCAACCGATTGTTCTTCTCCTTCGCCACAGTCGTCATCCACGAGTGCTTCCAGACTTCAAGGGACAACAAGTGGGTAAACGAGACGTCCAGCTATGTCGACCTCAGCACGCTCTACGGTAACACGGCCAAAGAACAAGAGCGAGTGCGGACCTACAAGAATGGATTGGTCTATCCTGATTCGGTGGCCTCGGAGAGAATCATGCTGATGCCACCGGGCGTCATTGCTGTTTTGATGATGTTTTCGAGGAACCACAACCACATTGCCGAAACGCTCTTGTCCATCAATGAACAGGGGACCTATGGAGAATGGGATAGATTGACCGAAGACAAGCAGAAAAAGTGAGTCCGTACCCGTGAGACTCTGTTGGCTAGCACGTCTGACAAATACAACCACAGGCAAGATGAAGACATCTTCCAGCTCGCCAGAAACATAAACGTCGGCTTCTTTGCTTTAGTGGTGCTGAGAGACTACGTCGCTGCCATCTTGAATACCCCTCGCGCCAATTCCGACTGGTCGCTGAATCTGGGAGAGGAGATCAAGTCGGCACAAGGACGTGTTGAGAGAGGATCGGGTAACGCGGTCTCGGTTGAGTTTGCAGTCCTGTATCACTGGCACGCTGCACTCAGTGCAGCGGACGCAAAGTGGATGGAAGACATGATCAGTCAGTATGGCCCACGTCTCAACTCCCTTGACGAAATGACGCCGAAGGACTTCTGGGAAATGGCTGCGAACATCACCAAAGAGATGATGTCCAAACCCGCCAAGGAATGGATATTTGGAGGTCTCAAGCGTGGACCAGATGGCCGTTTTGACGACGCCGACCTAGGCCGCCTTATCAAAGATTGCATCGAAGAGCCCGCTCACGCATTTGGTGCCAACGGGACACCGGCGAGTCTCAAGGTTGTGGATCTCATGGGCCAGCTTCAAGCCAGAGAAATATTCAATGTCTGCACACTGAATGAGTGAGTCCCGATATATCACTTCACGGTTCTTGTGACATGGGCATCGTGCATTGACTGACGGATTCCTAGATTCCGAAAATACCTCAACTTGACAGCGTATAAGAGTTTCTCGGAATGGAACGATGATCCGGAAGTTTCTCGAGCCGCCGAACTCTTGTACGGCCACATCGACAATCTTGAACTGTATCCGGGTCTGCAAGCAGAGTGCACCAAGCCGCCAATGCCGGGCAGCGGCGTCTGTCCAGGTCAGACAACCGGACGCGGCATTCTAGACGACGCCGTAGCCCTGGTGCGAGGCGACCGTTTTCTGACCTACGACTTCAACAGCAACACCCTGACCAATTGGGGGGTATCCAAACTTGCCGATCTTCCTGGGGGAACATATGGAGGCATACTCGCCAAGCTGATCTTCAATGGCCTTCCAGGCGAGTTTACCGGGACATCTACATATGCTTTGATGCCGTTCTACACCCCTGAAGCCATCAAGGGCATACTCGAAGGCAACAAAGCGCTTGCCAAGTACGATCTCAAGAGACCTCCACCAAACGTCATGAAGCTGGTAGGCATCCATACTCAAGAAGGTGTGAAGAAGGCCTTCGAAGACCGAGATACCTTCCACGTAATGTACCAAGCCGCCATTCGCAACTGCACCGACGGCCATGAGTTTATGATAGGGTGGGACGATCGCAAACGCCACGACCCACGTTCCGACACCCTTCACAAGGTCTTCTTCGAAGATAACTTTGAAAAGAATCTCTCGCAGTACTTCCGTGAAACGGTCAGGAGCCTGATTCAGAAAAGCACCTTGAAGTATCACGACGAACGAAGATCGATCGACATTGTGCGAGACGTCTGCAACGTGACGCCCATCATGTGGCTCGCCCGCCGCTTTGCCATTCCCATCAAGGACGTGGCCCATCCTCGCGGCTTGGTCACTATTCCAGAGCTGTTCGATATCTTCCTGGTCCTGTTCATGTACCAGAGCTTCAACATCTTGCCGGTCAACGAGTGGAAGCTGAGGGAGGCTGCCGGAACTGTAGCGCCAATCTTGAGGAAGATATTCGAGACTCATCTCAAGACTCAGCAGGGCTTCACGGAGCACATCGTGGACTGGCTGACAAAGGGTTCTGCGTATGAGGTTGGCCCCGATGCTGACCGTTTCTACCACGCCTTGAACAAAACGGGAATGAACATCGGCGATATGGTCGGTGACTGTATCGGCATGGGCGCCCCCGTTGCGGGTAACATCACCCAACAGGCTTCCCTCCTGATTGATCTCTACCTCAAAGACGAGTACAAACAATACAAGGCGCGCATAGTGGAACTTGCACACAAGGACGACGAAGCTTCCGACAAGGAGCTGCTTGGTTTCGTCTTCGAAGGCATGCGCCACGCCGGTGTTGTGCCCGGTCTTCCTCGCGTGGCTTCGAAGGATGTCACATTTGAGGACGGCGCACGCGGTCCAGTCCACATAAAAGGCGGCCAATATGTGCTCATCGCTACGTCCTCAGCAGCCATGGATCCCGCTGCATTCCCCGACCCCGAGAAGATCGACCCTCATCGCCCGATGTCGTCTTACACTCTCCTTGGGCATGGCATGCATTATTGTTTCGGCGCCCGAATTGTTGGACCTGCGCTCGTCGCCACCCTGAAGGAAGTCTTCCGCTTAAAAAATGTGCGTCGCGCCAACGGACGATTGGGACACTTCAGCGTCATCGAGCACGACATTGCAGGAGTCAAGGCAAAGATCTATCTCGATGCGAATGCAAAGGAGTCTCCGATTCCGACGACGCTGCACCTTCTGTATGATGAGTGATCGAATTCAGGAAGCTTGAAGTTATCGAGGTTCTGTGGTCATTGACTAGGCGACACACGTCTGGTATGTGAGGCTGAGGATCGCCTGAATGAAGTTCATGATGTAACGACTATCGACGAATGCACTGTCTGTCACCGATTGAGCAAGTGAGGAATAACAAGAGCCTCCGTGAGCTCTCATCTTTCGAGACTGAAACCTACGCAGCCTCGTAGTCCGCAAGGCTGAGCCCCAACCAATAGGAGCAGCTTCTTTTCCTTATCGATAAGGTTGCCGTGCAGCAGACGATTCCCATCTGCAACGGCGCATGACGAGCTTCGGTTCCTGCTGATCGCCCTATCACCGAGCTTTGATCAATCATTACTCCTTCATAGATCGTGGTCTCAATTACTTTGCTCCTCTGGCTGTTCCAATCGTTTAGAGAATAGATCTCCTTCGTCATGGTTCGCAAAACTTCCTCCGGTTTCTTCACCTCCATCCACGAGGACATGCCTCTACACGTGTCAAGGGGTTACGACCGCATGGTCCAGCACTCTGCCTACCCTCCGACATCAATTCCCTCGAGTCCACAGAAGGAGAAATTCGCCCCAGAGAAATACACCCAGCCATATCTGGACTTCATGACCAACAATCCAACAGTCTTCCATGCGGTCGATCACTTTACCTCTAAGCTCGCCAAAGCTGGATATGTCTATCTGTCGGAACGAGAACAATGGAAGATCAAGGCAGGGGGGAAATACTACACGAAGCGCAATGGAAGTGCCTTCATAGCATTCGCCGTCGGAAAGGACTATAAGCCTGGCAATGGTGTTGCGATAGTGGCCGGCCACATTGATGCGCTCACAGCAAAGGTCAAACCCATACCCAAGCTGCAGACCAAAGCTGGTTATGTCCAGCTGGGAGTCGCCCCTTATGCGGGAGGCATGAATTCTACCTGGTGGGATCGTGACCTGGGTATTGGTGGCAGAGTACTGGTCAAGGCCAACGACGGCCGCATCGTCGAGAAGCTGGTCAAGCTGGACTGGCCCATTGCGAGAATACCGACTTTGGCTCCTCATTTCGGCGCCGCTGCGCAAGGACCCTTCAACAAGGAAACCAACATGACTCCCATCATCGGACTTGACAATTCCGATATTACAGGAAAGGAGCAGTCATCTTTGAAACTTCCTGCTGGAACCTTTGTCGCAACCCAGCCAGAGCGATTGGTCCGAGCGATTGCCGGGCAGCTAGGAGTGTCGGATTATACTGACATCGTCAACTGGGAACTTGAGCTTTTCGACATCCAGCCCGCCCAGGTTGGGGGCTTAGATAAGGAATTTATCTTCGCCGGCCGTATCGATGACAAGCTTTGCTGCTTTGCCGCCATTGAGGGTCTTCTCAGCTCCTCGGATGAGGACTCTCCTGGGATTATCAAAATGGTCGGATGCTTTGACGATGAAGAAGTCGGCAGTTTCTTGCGACAAGGCGCTCTGTCCAACTTCATGCCGAGCGTCATCTCGCGCACAGTCGAGGCTCTGAACGATTACTCCGGCCCGAACCTCATCAACCAAACGCTCGCCAACTCGTTCCTTGTTTCCTCAGATGTCATTCACGCCGTCAACCCTAACTTTCTCTATGCCTATCTCGAGAACCATTCACCACGACTGAACGTGGGAGTGGCGGTCTCGGCCGACCCCAATGGCCACATGACGACTGATAGCGTGTCTACCGCGCTGTTGTCTCGGGTCGCTGAAAAGTGTGGAAGTAAATTGCAGGTCTTCCAGATCCGGAATGACTCCAGGAGCGGAGGCACGATTGGCCCGATGACTAGGTACGTGTTCACTTCTCTGATGTTGGTCTGACATGGGATCACTAACGAGTGCAATCTGTAGCTCACGCCTAGGTTGTCGTGCAGTCGACTGTGGCATTCCGCAGTTGTCGATGCACTCGATCCGAGCAACCACCGGCGCCCTGGACCCCGGCCTCGGAGTACAATTATATAAAGGCTTCTTTGACCACTACCAGGAGGTTGATGCCGAGTTTGCCAATTGAGTCTATATCGAATTGCACACAGCAATATACATATGTACAACACTGCCGGGAATGCCAATGCATCACCCTAGGTTCAGAATGACTATACGGCACAAGCCCAGTTCACACCCAAAGAGGTGTCTTGTGTCCGACTACTGTGAACAAAAGCAACGCCACCACATCTTACGCTACTCTGTCACTATCGACGTTCACATGAGAGAATCAACAGCCTCATGGTGCCACTGTGATATTGTGGAAGCCCTGCGTCTCTGCAGACCTCCTTTTGACCACTCGCAGCTTTGTATTATCAGGTCACCATGGGGAATCGCCCACAGCAAAGCTTTAATCAAAAGCAAGGCAGCCTTCATTCCAGCAGCACGTGTCCCCCCTACCTGCTCGGACACGGCGAGACAACACAGTGGACATTCACTCTCGTTTGTCCCAGCGTTTTCTCCAGCCAAACGCCTATGTTGATTAATATAAAAGTGGCTTTCCAGCCTCGTGGTCAACTGATTCATCACTATTGCTCTTTTTGAACTGCCTTATTCATTGCCCCTGTCACTGCCACTGCCCTGTCACTGCCTTTTCGACCTTCCTGTATCTAAAGAGCCTTTTCCTCCGACATGGTTTCTTGCACCATTGCCTCATGACTGACACCAACACCACCCCAATCTCGACAAGAACGGACCTCGAATCAAGAACGCCCAAAATCTACAGGTCCCGAAAATCCACACAAGATGGCTCGTCTCTCGAATCTGACCCCGGCTCTTGCCCTTGTTGCTCTTGGCTTTCTTTCCGCCGCCGCTGCTTTCATCGTCGACCCGATCCCTGGTGGGCGGGATTCACGTCCACTTACAGGATCGATGTCTGCGAGTCAGTCAGCCATCCCATCAACGTTCGTTACCATCATCTCCGTGTCCTCGTCCTATCCTCCTCCACAACCACGTACTGGGCCGACTCCGCCCTTCCCCATCCCCATCAATGCCACAAATTTCGGCCCATACCCAACAGCTCCAGGTGCCCCTCTGCCTTTGTGCTCTGGTCCACCAGCCACCTATACCGTCTCTCACCAAGACACGGTAGCAAAGATTGCGACCAAGTTTAACGTCACTACCGACGCTTTGGAAGCTACAAACGCTGGCCGAGTCCGCTTTTGGGACTTGCTGGAGGATGGGATAGAACTGGTCATTCCTCCAACTACATGCTCCCTGTATCGACCTTCAGGGTATTCCGCAACTCTCACTTCGCCACCACCATTGGCTTCGACCTCAATTGCCACTATGTACAACTCATCTGACCAATCCTCTTCTCATCCTACTACGACTGGTCCAGTCACAGCCTGGACCGTCGCTTCGGGGGACAGTGGTTCGGTCATTGCTTCGAAGGCAAATGTTCCATTCTTTGCAATCTCCTCGGCAAATCCGTCGGTGACATGGACAGCGCTTTCAGTTGGACAAATCCTGGTGATCCCACCTTCGCCCACTGCTCTGGCACAAGTTACGGGAAGTCTAGCTGTGAAGTCCTTTGACAGCCGCGACGGAATGGGCACACCCAAAGTCATGTACACCGAGTACAACGGTGACGGATCTACCGTCCAAGGCTGGCCCGCTATGTCTGAATGGCTGAGTTTCAACGCTCAATGGGAGAACATCAAGAATTACATTGGCAAGCGTTGCGGAGATGGTGTTCTCACCAACCTGGACACCGAAACCAACGACCTGAAGATGTCCATCCTGACCGTGGCCTCCGACACGTATATCGATCCCCGATTCGTCCTCGCGACCGTGATGCAAGAGTCAAACGGTTGTGTTCGCGTCCAGACCACCTCGGACGCCAACCCGAACCCCGGCCTCTTGCAGAGCTTCAACGGCAAGGGCACCTGCAATCACAACGGCACCTTTGACACACCCTGTCCGCCCCCAGTGATCCACCGAATGGTCATTGACGGCGTGGCGGCGCCCATCGACGGAGTCACTATAGTGGCGGCGCTCAATCAGGCTGCCGAGATGGCCGGTGTCGAGCCCGCTCAGGCCCATTACCGGGCTGCTCGATTCTATAACTCCGGGCCAGAGAGTCTTCCGCCTGAGACGAACGGTGATCTCGGTAGTGATATCACGGCGGCCACTCGTTGCTATGCCAGTGATATTGCCAATCGGCTGCTTGGCTGGTCGAACGGGAGCACGGGTCGTAGTCCGTGCACGCTGGACAAGAAGGGTTGAAGGAAGGAAGGAGGTGCGGAAATGGAGAAAACCAAAATTGCATGTTCACGGAGTATGAGATGTCGAGGTTCGTATGGTCCTGTAATGCGCCAGGAGTGTGTTCAGCATGCTGGACTACCATCGAGCAGCAGTATGTGGAATTGTCATTTGACGGGCAGTGCCGTTCCTGCCCTGTTCCTTCCTTGTTCTGTCCTCACCCTCACATGACAGGACCAGTAGGAGCTACGAGATAGCTCATAGCTGAAAGCCGAGCTCTCGAGAGATAGACATTAAGAGATTCGAGACACACAGTGGTGCCCTACCACATGTCAGTTGTCAATCTTGGAAACTGGAACGTGGCTCGTCGTACGAGATGGGCAAGATTGCTTCAACTTGCCAAATCCCTTTTATTCGATGCAGTTTAGTGGTCTCGCATACCGAATGCGATTAGTCAACGTCGAGCCCGTCCTTGAATCTGGACTAGCGAAGGCATCCCCGGACGGGCATGGAAGAACGGCTGGTGACTATTTACTCTGCGATTCAGTTGATTATGGCTGCGAGCGCGGCAGGTGTTTCTCTGCAAGATTCAGTCGATTATGCTTCGCAGTTTATTTTCCGTGTACAAATGAATTTCACCAAAGAATGGATAGATGGATGGATGGAAGATCTCTGGCCCTCGCTGCCCAAGTACACACGTGCCGTGCTGGAGGGCACTGCATCTATTTCCTCGGGCACATACCTACTGTACTCTGTAATCAGAGAGAACTTGTGTCCGTCTACTGTAGACTCTAGAGACACACAGCTACGCGCGTGCATGCCGGATAACACCCTGGGTTTGGGATTTGAGGACGATTGGTAAGAGTTACTGTGGTACTGTGAACTACTGTAGTGTGTCCATCTTTGTTGTTCGTCCTTGAGTCTTTGTACGGAGGACGGAGGACGGACGACTGTGGCTGGGAGATTCATCCTTTGTCTCGGCCGACCAACATCAGAAGGATGACGATTGAACAACGCTGTTCATTGTCGTGTGTGTCGAGTTTGTTGTGCCCCATCATTATCACGAGCGAGCTTTGATCCTGAAACGCTGAATGGGTTCGAGGCAGTGTTTTCATTGTCCCCTTGGATGAATCATTCGTGAACGTCGAGGTCGAGATATGGATCTTTGTAGATGTTTGGTTCTTCGAACAAGGGTTCCATGATCCAGAACAAGGGAGCTTTTGTCTTCTTAATTCTTCTTCTCGACGCGTCTCAGTACTATATATTGTGTCCTTTCCACTCGTACTTGACTTGACTCATTAGTAGCGATAGATAACGGCGTCAGGACATCGGCACACCAGGAACGTCAGAAACAAGCAGCGACGTCAAGTTCAAGTCACCGAGAAAGCACTTGGCGACTGTTATAAACGACCAGGATCACCGCATTCGTGTTCAAGAGAACACAGTATGGGATCCACTCGATCATCACATGCAGAGCTGCAGGACCGGCTCGAGATGTCCCGCCTCCTGGTAACCGCGTACGAGAGTATCGACCATTCTGCTCTCTCTGCGGCGCGAGCTCATTATGCGGATATGCTTGGAGAGTACGATACCGACACCGACGCCAGCACTGACACTGACCCCTCTGAAGCAGGCTTCCCCGCCGAGTTGACCATGCGCATCGTCTTCGCTGACGCACTGCAGTACCTCCAGCTGATCCGATTCGGGGCCGTCATCGCTCGGTATGCCCACGAATACACCGACGAGGCACTCATCGACACTCTGTGGGAATGTCTCGATGATACCTCGGAGCGACGTGTCGAAGCCGCGGCCTTGGAGGACTGGAGGATCCTGCGATGTGCTTTGGAATGCCTTCTCGTTCAGCTTGAGTGCGGCATTACACCCATCGAACCTATAGCGAGGTATGTATCGTTTGTGTTTCTGATTTTGACGTCCCCCCACGTTACGTGCAGCGTGCGGCGTGCGACTCTTCACTTGAGTATGAAGACTAACATTTGGTTTGCATAGGCTATATTCCGGGTCGTACGTTACCACTTCGTCATCTCGCTCGGACTCGTCGTACCAGACCGGTGCGAGTCCAGATCAATATCAACATAATCAGCAACGAGATCAACAACAACAACAACGACGACGACGACGACAAGAAACCCTGGTAAGTGAGTCTCCACTTCTCATTTACGTCCCGTCAGAGGCAGGTTCTGAGGTGTACCCGGAACGGTCTGCTCGAGCACCGGCTCCATATGATGGGAGCTGGTCTCCCATCACAGCATCCGCATATTCGAGGCACGAGGACCCAGCGTCGGCGGTAAGTTCCAGTGCCTGCTCCATCACCCCGTCCGAATCTGTGACCAATGTACCAAGCGCGCGGGATCGAGCTCGGGCTCGCCACAGTCGTCGCTACGGGTCCATCTCCCCAGTGGAGAGTATCTGCTCGATTGCCCCGGGTGAGAGTGCCTCGCAAACCGGGTATTGCCATGGGTTCAGAAATCACTATACCTGGAATGCTCATCCCTATCGGACAGACCGATACGACGAGGGTTTACCATCTATGAGATACGTCCCAGGTACTGACTACTCTGATGCTTTCGACGAGGACACCAGCGCAGTTGACAGTGCAACGCTGTGGACTGACATTAGAAGCGACATCTTGAGGGCACATGCTCTAGGAGGGTCGTGGATGGTGTTGCAGATGTCTGATCCGCTGAGATACGCCAACCAAGTACCGGAGTCATCGCAGCCATCGGACTCATCCGAGTCGGTCTATTACTCGGCATTTTCTCAGACATTGTCCTCGACACCAGGTCCTAGTGTTCTGGATGAATCGCGTCTGGCGATGGGGATGGGAAGTCTCGAAGATCGACTGGGCGAGGACGCCACCGAGGGCGAGAGAATCGAGTTTGCCTTTGACGAGATCGATCGATTGATTGATCAATGGATGGCGGCGAAGTAAGTCAAGACTCGCGACAGAATCCGTGGTCCGGCAGGATCCGACGTGGAAACCGACGGTAAGTTGAATGTTTGTGTGAGTATCCTCCATATGCGGAAATCATAGGTGATCCTCATCCCTGATGTCCGCTTGATCGGGTCTGCCTCCTCAGCTCCAGATCTGCGGTACGTTCGCAGGAGGGGCGATCTGGTCACGTTATCTGGTTCATCTCAGAGTATCACATTCGACTTCAACATCTAGAGGGCCGATTGGTGAATGATCCTATCTTGCATGCTTTGGCCAGTATTTGTATTTCTTGCAGGCAATGGCCGGCGATAATAAATAGGTGTCATAATGAAATGATATGCGAACAAACGTGGCGATAACGAATGTCTGTATTGTGACCGACCACCATCTGGACAATCATCTCGTGAAAATCAGTAAGAAATATATTCTCATGGGCAGAGTCGGCGGCTGGACCGTAGCCGTAGCCAACGCCCAGAGGCCCAGTTGGAAGTGCTGCTGCTACTGTGGCCGGTACCCTCCGTGACTCCGGAGAGGCTCGAAAAGGACGCCATTGTGCCAGGGAGCGGAGGAAGGGCAGGCCCCGGTCCTGCCACGGAGAGAAGGATGCCTCCAAGAGCACGGCTATGACTGCTGAATTCGACAGACAACCTCCTTCAGCTTGCACTGCCTTGTCGCGCCAAATGAAGAAAAATCAAGTGAGACTCCAGTGAAAGTCAAGTGAAGTGAAGTTGAGGTGCATGATCGCGCCAAGATTGGTGCTGCGTCACGTGAGGCTGTGAGACTCCGGTGCTCCACTGGGGCTGTCGCGCAAAAGATCCGGCCGGTCTAGACTCCCGACTCGAGCGAGACATCAACTCCTCCTCATCCAGGCTCCGTCCCGTTTTTCCGCTTTCGATTTGATAGGAGCGGCAGTGTTTGCCAGGGATTTCTTCCGCGCGATGTTTCCAGGGTTATTACCCTTTCGAGGAACAGCGAGCCGTTGTTGGTATCGAAAGGTGGTTTTGATGACACGACAGAGCGGGAAAGTCTTCCTAAGTTGTGACAATCTCGATCGTCGCTCTTCATCAGCATACCTAACCCCGCAGCCTCTGTCGATCGTCAGAGGAGCGATGTGGTCTACCGTGTACGCTCCTACTGTGTACTGTGTACTCTGTATCGGATGGAACTTCCACAAGCAACGGTACCGACGTATCACGACAAACGACCCATTTGCTCCATACACGACTTCCCACGCGTTCTGGCTCATAACACGGTCGAGCCCACTCTTGACTTTCTTCCACTAAAGTCCAACACTCATCCACATGCTCGGGCGTGGAACGAGTTCGTCGTTCGAGACCGCAGAGAGCTCTCATTCTCGTGCCCAATGCCGTCATCGCTTCGGAGACTCTCCCTCTCGTGCCTCTCTTAGTATCATTTAGCTGCCCCGTTTCTCTTGTGCGGCTGCGAATTGCCCGTGACGAACCGCCGCTCCAAGGGTGAAGAACGGCATCTGGTCGACGCGGCTCTGTCTAAGCTGGTTACATGGTCAGTGAGCACTTGCGATGACAAAAGAAGCCACCTTTCCCACTACCATGAGCCCCTTGGCCCTGGAACTGCGCGACTTCGCGAGGTAGAGTGGACATTTCGACTCGTACGCCTTGGACCTTGAGAACATGCCTTGTCCGGTCAAGGGTGGGTGAAAGGCAACATAATCCTGGGCAGGTCCAAAAACAGTCATGGTGCACCCAAGGGAACATGGCGCGTTCTGCACAACCACCAGACTCCGGACAAGCCACACCTTCGGATGATCTCGCTCACAACCTCCCCAGCAGCTATATGTCTTCGTCGAGTTTCTCTTGCGTTGAGAAGCTGTAGGTGAACAGGGGTAAAAGTGTTCCCAACCATGGAGCAAGTATATTTGTAAGATTGACTGAACTGGTGCATATTCGGGAATGGACACCAACACCGGATGAGTGATCACAATTCTACACCCTCGTTTGATTATGTATTGGAGTGTTTAGGACCTTATGGAGCCGACTTCCTTGTCTCAACATTGCCAGGGCTTCCTCCCGTGCTTCGTCACTATCGGTTCCGCGTCTTTTGGCGGCAGATTAGTTTGATTCTCGCCGGTGAAGCCGCAGATGCTTCCTGGTCATCCCTCACTGCGGATATGAAGCGTTCAAATATCTCACTTGGCAAAATCCGACATTGTTCGTCCCAATTCTGATCGTTCTCCAACCTTCGCTGGAGTCACTAGAGACTTCAATGAATCACATGGCAGATGGCTTTCGACCCTTCACAACAGAGTATTCCAATCCATCACCTTATACGCATCTTTCACATCCGTCAGATCTTCCGGCTTAATGCCAAGGTCCTTGCCCGTAATTACGCCCTCTTCACCACTCCACGAATCGTCCCGCAGCTCGTCCCACATCGCCATCATGATACCCATCTCCAATCCGAATCCAGGCCATACATTGGCAAAGTCGTCCAGACTCGTGACGACGTATTTGGATGGCTTGCCCGTAACTTCGCTCCAATCACTCAATAGTTTACCGGCGGTGGTATCTTCGCTATGCGCGAGGATGAACCGCCCCTCCGGTCGGAGAGTCAACTCCGGGTGTGTGAGGATAGCGTGGGCGAAAACGCCGATATTGACCAGCGGGTCACCAATCGCTTTGATGGGCGTGCTGGGATGAGCGGGTGACAGCTGAACATACGCGTTCGCCGTCTTGACGTAGTTAGGCGTGAAGATCGGGTATTGGAAGTTATTGCCGTACCAGGTGATCCAGAGAAAAGTCGTCTTCACAAGGAGGCGGGTATCAGCCCGGATGGCGGCGTCGATGCGGTTCTTGCCCTCGAAGTGCGGGACCAGATACTTGCCGTGCGTCAACTTCATGCCGTTGGGCAGTGTGCTCCAGATGTAGTGTTCTAGCGTGCTGGTCTGCGAGGCCGCCCGGGCCATGTTGATGCCCTGCTGGACCTCAATCTCGATGGCCTTCTCGGTGCCGTAGATGACGAAGGGTTCGAAGAAGTCGGTGATGGCGAAAATGGCATGCGAGCCGGCGAAGGCGCGAACTAGGGACCCTTCGTCGTTTATGTCAGCCTGGACGATCTCGACGCCTCGAGCGGCGAGTGCTTTAGCCTTTTCGCTATCCGGGTTGCGGGTTAGGCCGCGGATCTTGTAGATGCCGTGCTTGAGAGCAGTGTTGATGAGAGAAGTGCCCTGGGTGCCTGTGGCGCCGACGACGGTCAAGAGCTTGGACATGATGAGCTTGGTTGTCTTGTCTCGAAAAGGCCTATCGGGGGAGGACACTGTCACGATATGCTGTAGTAAGGTTATGCGAACTTGGGTGTAGTAGAAGATATGCGGTGCTGTGCTTATGCTGTTGCGTTCTGCTCTATCTTTTGAACGATCTTGCCTGGTTCAGGGCCAGCAGTGGGTGCAGTTATCATCTTATACTTGATCAGAGGCCTCAAAAAAAGATATCAGCCACCTACCTATCTATCGCCCGTTCACCTATACCCGTCTTTGCGTAGCGGATACGACATCGTCCGCAGCCAAATGGACGAAGGTGTCGACGAGCTATCGTCATAGAGAGCACGGCCAGACACGAGGATGAATAATCCAGGCTTCGATATCTCTGCTTTACGAGACTTGACCAGCTTGTGGTGAGGAGTTAGCAGGAAGTTCGCTGCTTGATAGCACTCAGCAACGCGGTATTATTAATGGTCGAGCCTGCATCATTGGGGCGTTGCAGCTGCATGGCTGCGAGGACGGGTGGCAATGTGCAAGGTCCGAGCAGGTTACCCAGAGGTGGAGGAGGCAGCAAGCTGAGTAAAAGAGAGGCAGAGTCAAAGGGGAAGGTATTGAGATCTGCTTCTGGCTAAGTTCCCGCTTTAGAATCTCACGTGCGTCACCACATCACGTGCGTCCGCATGACTTGCCCTGCTTGTCTCCGCGGGGTCATTAAGAGTTGACACGTTCTCGCTCATCGACCTTCCATCGCTTACCAAAGGGCGCAACTTCCTCGGAGTGCCGACTTTGTGGCTTCTTCCCTAACGCCAAACAGTAACAGTGCATCGCTCATAGAAGCCGCCTTGCTAGGGCAGCCAGAGCAGCTATCCTTACCTGGTGATCGTGTTTAACCTGGGTCGCTGAGCGTTTTTCTCGCCTACTGGTACCGTCGTCTCTTACTCCCTCGTAACCTGGTAGCACCTCTACCCGAGCTCGGTCTTCTTCGCAATGGCCGCAAGCGTAGCCTCAAAGCGGTTGTTCCAAGAATACAAGTCTCTGTTGACGAACCCACCCGACGGCATCACCGCTGGACCGGTAAACGAAGATGACCTGTTCGTCTGGGAAGCTCTGATTCAGGGACCTGAAGGAACACCCTTCGAAGGTGGCATCTTTCCTGCTGAACTCAAGTTCCCCAAGGACTACCCTCTGAATCCGCCTAAAATGAAATTCCTCGGTGAAATCTGGCACCCTAATGGTATGGACGACGTCCTGCTGCTATGGAAAGAGAAGAATGGACTAAAGAATCGCAGTGTACACGAATGGCGAGGTGTGCATCTCCATCCTGCATCCTCCCGGCGACGACCCGAATCATTACGAGAGCGCTTCGGAACGGTGGTCTCCTATTCAGAGCGTTGAAAAGATCCTGATCTCCGTCATGTCGATGCTAGCAGAACCGAACGACGAAAGTCCGGCCAACGTGGAAGCGGCAAAAATGTGGCGGGAACGACGGCCAGAATTTGAGAAGAAAGTGAGACAAGGAGTGAGACGATCTTTGGGATTATGATCAGCGGGCATTCATATCTTGGCCAAAGAGTCTGGACCTGGACCACCCAATACATCTTTACCACAAGTCGAGCTGCACCCTCAGCTTGTCAGCCAACCAGTCCTCAAGGCCACCCTGCGCCTCGTCCAGGCTCTGGATCTCAGCCTTCCGATTCAACATGAGCATCAATCGGAGCTCAGCAAGCGCCTCCTGCAGGCCTGCTAGCACGTCCCCCATATCATCACGCCACTCCTGGTTCGCCAACATGGAAATAGCCGCTACCCGATCGCGCTTGCTCATTTGTCTTGACAGCTCATTCGCAGACTGACAGATAGTCGTGTCTTCCACTTTGAGCCCGACCCATCTCATCTCTGGGATGTTGCAGTCGTGCTCTTGTGCCAAATTCCTGGACCCGTACAGGTAGCATTTAAGGATGCAGATGCCATCAGGGTCCCAATCGAAGAGACCAAAGACAGGAGTAGAGAACGGAGCATGATCGAGAACTTGGCGCAAGAATTGCTTGGTGGCAAGGTCGGGGTATCCCTTTGCCTGAGGACATCGATTAGTATGCAGACATTGAACACGCGGAGGGACAGCGTACGGTTACGATAAGGCCTGGGCCGATTATGAGATGGTGATGGAATTCCCTTTCCACCAGAGCATTGAATGTCGCCTACTTCTCTGTCAGGAAGCTGCGCTCACAAAGCGGGTTCCGGGCCAACCTCTTTTTCTACCACAAGGATCCAGCCGATATGTGCTGTGGCATTGATTGGGGTGCCTTCACATATGGACTGAATGATTGGTGTGTGATCATCGGCTGAGGAAGTCGACAGTCCAGCAACAAGACCTTTAGGGCTTGCAACCTGGTGAGAAGCTATGAGCATTCTTGGGATGAATGATTCTGTTGACCAGTCGCGTACCACGTTCAAGTCTCGTCTCGTCACACGGCAAGTGTGGGCAATATCGTCAACGTATCGATCAACCGTGTCTTGACTTCTGAACAGAGCCGGGTCATGGTAGTAGATGTCTCGCTTTGTGATAGTTACACCTTGTCGGAGTGCAGCATAGATCTCACTCAGAATGCGCCCAACGCATGCTCAACCAAAGTCAGATTTGAAGACCACAAGGTTCTGCCATGTCCTGCTCACCAAATCTCCATGCTTCGTCCTTGTTCTTGCCTGGGAAGTGATACTTGACCTCGCGAGCTTCAACATGCCACCTCAATCGGGCAAAGTCATCGTCGTCGTAGTACGGCTTGACCGAGACGATCCGGTTTAGTGTCAAGACTGGCTTACCGTCTGCTGAGGGCCGTCTGATCTCGTAAAGAATAGCATTGAACGTGGCCTCGATGTAGTCGATTACTTGCTCGTTGGCAGTTGTTACTGTGACCTGGCTCGAATGGACTCCCTCATCTGGTATGAGAATGTCCTCCATCGTTGAGTCGGATGCGCAGTGCCCGTCTCATCAGGTATGCATCCGGGTGCCAGACACGCCAGGCTACGGAGTAATTACCCAGTACTGTACTCCGTACTTTGTCATGCAGGGCCTGAATCCACCCGCCACCCCATGCCTAATTCCCCTCCTAGAAAACATGACGTGCCGCGCGGTCGGCTCGGCCATATCAACCAATCCGCGCACCGGTGTACCTTGCATCCGCTTTATCGATCCTCCGAGTGGCCTCACATTTTATTGTGCACGGCAACTTTCTGGGGGCGGTGTACGGAGGATTGGAGTTGAAATGAGGTGAAAAGGGTAGCCACCTCTACTCAGTATGCCTATACGACCCCAATGACCTCGTTCATGTCCATCTCACCTTAAAGTCAAAGTTCCCAAGATGGCGCAGGTGCGACAGTCCGCACAGAAGGCCATCAATGGCATCACGAATGGATACGAAAATGGCTATGCGAATGGTAGCGCGAATGGACACGCCGATGGACACACCAAAGACCACTCACTGAGCCCAAGTGACCCAAAAACAGAGCGGTCGAGATGGCGACTGCTCGACGAGTCTGGGCGGCATACCTGGCATTATCTCAAGACAGACAAGGAGTTGGAGGAATGGCCACAGACAACGGCCGACAAGTATCACTTGGGGTTACCGGTTGTAGGTTCAAGCTGAGGGAAGGCTCAAGCAGTCAATATTAACTGGCCCAGGACCTGCCCGACCTTCCTCCCGCCTCGAGACCGTCCGACTCGATAGATAATTGCCTATCCTTCTATTCAAGACTGCAACTCCCCCCGGGAAACTGGGCCTGCGAATATGGCGGGCCTCTCTTCCTCATGACCGGTATCGTGTGCACTTGGTACATCACCGGCACACCCATCCCACCCGAGTACCAGATTGAGATGAGAAACTATCTATTTGCGGTACAAAATGAAGACGGCGGATGGGGCTTGCATGTCGAAGGCCACAGTTCAGTCTTCGGGACAGCCATGAACTACACGGTCCTGCGCATCCTTGGAGCTAGCGAGGAAGACGCTCGAGTGATCAAAGCAAGAGGCAGACTCCATCAATTGGGCGGCGCCGTCAATGGTCCGCACTGGGCCAAGTTCTGGCTCAGCGTTTTGGGCGTCACACAATGGGACATCGTCAATCCTGTGCCTCCTGAGCTGTGGCTACTACCTGACTGGGCGCCCATCGCCCCCTGGCGCTGGTGGATTCATATGCGTCAAGTTTTCCTGCCCATGTCGTACATCTGGTCCAAGAAATTTGTGATGCCCGAGAACGCCCTCGTACGATCACTACGACAAGAACTCTTCGTCCAGCCATACGAGTCCATCGATTTCGCCTCTCATCGCAATTCAATCGCCCCAGAAGACAACTACCATCCAAAATCTTGGCTTCTAAATCTCATCAACATTATTCTCATCTGGGTATGGATCCCCTTCCTACGAACACGATCCATCATTGAAAAGGCCGAAGCCTGGACCTGGCGACTTGTGCAATACGAAGACCACAACACAGACTATGCGGACCTTGCACCCGTCAATGCCCCTATGAACACACTAGTATGCTTCATCAAAGAAGGCCCGGACAGTCACAGCTTCAAACGCCACCTGTACCGGCTAGAGGAGTACCTCTGGGTGAATAAAGACGGCATGCTGGTCAATGGCACAAACGGTGTCCAAGTCTGGGATACTGCCTTCTCGATCCAAGCATGCTGTGAAGCCGGTCTGGCCAATGCGCCGAAATGGAAACTAATGCTTCAGTCTGCATTACAATACCTCGAATCCGAACAGATACGGGAAGAAGTCCCCGACCGAGAGATCTGCTACCGCCAACCTCGCAAGGGTGCATGGCCTTTCTCGACCAAGCTACAAGGGTACACCGTCAGTGACTGCACGTCCGAAGCACTGAGAGTTGTCCTCCTTCTGCAGAATCAGTACAACTACCAGCGCATCATCTCCGACGAACGCATCTTCGACGCTGTCAACGTGTTACTGACCATGCAAAACAAACATACCGGCGGATTCGCGAGTTACGAGCCTCAGCGTGGCTCCGAATACCTGGAAATGCTAAATGCGGCGGAGGTCTTCGGCCGGATCATGGTCGAGTACGACTACCCCGAGTGTACCACTGCGGTCGTCACCGTGTTGAGCCTCTTTCAGAAGCACTATCCGGACTATCGCGCGCAGGAGATCGCAGCGATCAAGCAATCGGCGTTGGACTACATTCGACGAGCCCAGCGCGAAGACGGCTCATGGTACGGTAGCTGGGGCATCTGCTTCACCTACGCGGCCATGTTCGCGCTCGAATCGCTGAGCTCCGTCGGCGAAACGTACAAGAATTCCTCCCGCGTCCGGAAGGCGTGCGACTTTCTCATCGAGAAGCAGATGCCCGACGGCGGTTGGGGCGAGAGCTACCGCGCGTCTGAACTCAAAGTCTGGGTCGATCATCCTGAGAAGTCGCAGGTCGTGCAGACATCTTGGGCAGTGATTGCCCTCATGTACGCCGGGTATCCAGTCGAGGACCCCATCAAGCGAGCGATTCAGATGATCATGCGGCGGCAGCAGGCGAATGGCGAATGGTTGCAGGAAGCCATCGAGGGTGTCTTCAACTGCAGCTGTATGATCACGTACCCGAACTATAAGTTTTACTTTCCTGTCAAGGCCATGGGCATGTATATCGCAAGATGGGGAGATAATCAGCTGGTATGAGGCGAGATGAATGCACGCATGATAGAGCATCAGGATTTGTGGCGCGTTGCATGTATAGAATAGGACATCCAGACATACCGTCTGGGACGGGACGTGTTCATCTTTTCGATGTTCCGCCTGTCTCCCCTTGAGAGCGTATTTAGGCATGGTGCATGGAGTCATACATTACTGGTAGAGGGCATTTCCTTCATGCCACGTAATGTATACAGAACAATGGCCGGGGTTTCATGTCTAAGACTCCAAGCGCCCCATGTCTAGGACTCCAAGCATGGACACTGTCTGCACTCTGCCCATGCGAAATGCCTGCTTCCCATGTCATATGTAACAAGCTCTGAACGTCCATGGGTGGGTGATCAGCCATACATACCCTGGCACGATACATAGCGGCATCTGAGTATATCCAAAGCTTCGGCACCCTTGAACTATGAAATCGTCCTGATTGTCTTCTCAAGCCCATCCCTTGCAGACCGCGGTGCCGGACTGATCTGCCCACGGCATCCCGTCCGAGTGAGCGCCCTCCTTCTGGCCGATGGTGATGGAATCCACAGGCGCCAGGCAAGGTCGCGCGGCCCCCTCCGTCACCCTCCCAGAAAGAAAACACAGAGAGAACGTTAGGCAGAGCAGCTCGACGCCCATGAGGCGGGAGTTGAGCTTCGACCCCCACGTCATTTTAGCATGCTACTGTCCTGTCGTGTCGTGTCCTATCCTGTACCGCCCATAGCATACGGCACGCAAACCTGCAGGCAGACAACCCGGTTCGTTTCGGTTCAATTCGTTCCACGCATACTCCATTTCAGCCCCACCCGGTTTTCTGCGTCGTTCCCCTTTCCGGTAACTTCAGATGGGAATACCGTGCAGTGACTTCGGTCAGGAATATCGTGCAGCGATATCGGTCAGGAATACCGTGCACTGACTTCGGTCAGGAACATCGTGCAGCGATATCGGTCAGGAACACCGTGGGCCTACCCCTCGACCTGATCCCACGGGACGGCATCCCAGCGCGAATCGCGCAGGACTTTGACATCCCGCTCACCGAGTCGATCGCCGTCGCGCACCAGACCATACAGATCCACAAGCAAGTCCCTGACGACCAGCGTGCATGAGAGCTGCTTCTCGTAGTTGAGGAGCGGGAAGGCGAACAGGGGAAGGGACACCAGGTAGGCCATCGTGGCCAGGTAGGTCGTCGACACGCGGACCTTTACGTGCATGTGCGGGTAGATTTGGACGAGCCAGGCGTGCATCTTGGGGAATCGGTGTGAGAAGGTGGGGGCTAGCATGTTCAGCACGACGGCGTGCCATAGGCATGCTCTGGTGAGGGAGTGATATGTTAGCTTTTAAAGTACGGGGTACCTAGGTCGTAGATGTCAAATACAGAATACAGAATACGAAATACAAGATACAAAAAATAGAAAACAAGAAATACAAAAAGTGGTACACTAGGTACTGCACTGTTAACAGAGGAGATACCAGACAAGGGAACACCACCCGCACAGTGACTGTACTGTGTGTGAGCTGCCGACGGGACTCACAATGTGCCGTTGACGAGCCATCGCATGAGGCGGCCTCGGCGTAATAGACGCTCTAGACGCGCGATTCCGTCCAGAAGTCGCTGGAGCTCGTTCATGAGCTTGCGTTGGACGAGCCTCCGCCTGGTCACCGGGTCCTCAACGTCGAGGCTGTCGGAGAGTTGTGTAACCGTGACTACTGTGTAGTTGATGACTGTCAGTTGAAGCCCATATCAATGTTGAACGCGTAGGGTTGCTTCATTGCCCTTCCTTACACTTACTCGATTCCGAGGTGTCTTTTGTTCGCAGTCGAATCTGGTCAGATAACATCTGATAGCTTCCGATGTGGTACAGTACGGATCGCTTCACCGCATCCGCAATGAAAGGTGGTTGTCTTATTCCGCTGAGGGGACCTTCATGTTGAGTATGCCCAGTCAGGTGTCGTGTGGTTGCGTCGTCGTCATTCCGTCGCGGAGAAAGAGACATACCGCGGGCGGGATGTCTGGGAGGTAATCATGAAGTAACGAGCGGCAAAAGATGCGCTGGTCGCGTTCAAACTCGAGAAAGTGGCAGAGTCCTGGGGGACGAAGCTTGGGCTTGGTGTTCGAAGTCGCGTGTGGAGGAGGAATTCATTCGATCATCTGAACCATGCACGCCACGCACCGTAAGTAAAGTGGAGCCCGACAGATCTGAACAGCCTCACGTCTATTCCTTTGATGTTCCCTCTCCACGAACCTCAAGGGGGGACGTGGTTCAAGACAATCATCAACGCGAGAAACTCCTCTGGGCGTCGACCTTGGACAACCTGATCAATGGGTGTAGCACTTCTCTACATATGCTATGTCTTAAACTACGGTTTGTTTTCACTCTGATATTCAATGGCAGAGTTGATTGCAGCACCTCCTGTAAACCGACTTGTCCAACATACAACCTGCATTGAGGAACGTGATGCAGTGTGTTGCGCTTGATGGGGAGGGTCGGTAAGGGGATCTCCCTTCACAAGCCGGCAAAGCAGTGTGGCAGTTATCGAAAAGTGCGAGACCAAAAACTGCGTTGTGTTCTACGGACTCCACCAAGATGGTTAGGAAGGCCGCCGAGTGTCTCTCCACTGTGACAATGTGTAGCCACAACGGGCGACTTCATTTTCCGATGCGGTGGATTGCTGAAAGCGCGATGGGAGAGCTATTGTGTGAACTGTTCGATGAGAATGTCCAAGGTTCCCGTGCCTCCTTTGTCAATCCTCTGCTCTGGTGGTGGAAACGGACAAAGGCGTGACTAGGAGAGTCCTTGCTGTTGAGCGTCCACTGATCTGGCAAGGACAACAATGTATTCTTGCCAGCACAAGCTGCTGCCAGCCTCCGCCACAGAACATCATCGATTCCGAACACTGATGCATGTTGAAGCTACATTTCACTCTCCAACCGGCATATCTTGTTCGCTGAGCGATCTTCGGCTGAGATATGGACCGAATTCATTCGTCCACCCTCCGTGTAGTCCTGGAAAAGAAGTTCAGTATTCCAGATCATGTAATGTCGCCTTCATCGATAGAGGCACTGGCCTAGTCTTTACCTATTGGCGTCTGCATGTCCAAACTTCGCATATTGAATTATCGGTCAGAGCTCAGAGACTTAGTGATGGACATGACCATGCTTGGCACTTTCTCCCTCTGGCAAGTCTGAAGATCCAAAAGGTCCAGACGTGTGTGTTTTTGGCTCGTTGCAAAACTCAATGGCGGCACGCAGAAACAAGAATACGAGATTTGCAACGGGCCGTGATCTTGATGGACAACCAACGCATACGAAACTCGTTCCGGCCAGTGCAGATCATGAAAGGCATCTGCGTGCTTGCGAAGTGGCGACTCGTGCAAACGTGCGCGGTTGCATTGCGGCAGCAATCCAAGTCTGGCTTTTACAGCGTTCCAAAACACATGGATGTATCGGCGTGGACGTTCGAAGCGAATGTACCACAGCTGGAGTTGTGCTCTCCAATGACCAGGCCTATGATCCGTCATACACAGTAACCACCATATCAGAATCTGAAACAGTCGAAGAGTAGTTGACGAAGTCGAAGATTAATCATGCGTTCCCCGTGTCCAGCGACTCTGGTACATAAGCGAAAGCCGACAATCTGAAATATCATGCTTGATATAATGCGTGATCGTAGCTTGTTGTGCGTCTGGATGCTGTCAAAACTCACGGGGCATTGCTTGTTGGGTAAACCTGGTCTCGGAGATGTGGACGAGGGTCGGGGCGTCCAGAGGGTGCGACGAAGCACATTTAGTATTCAGAATGAGTAGCTGTGGTGGGAGTAGACTGAGCAGCGTCGAGCAAGTATGCTGAATGTACTTTGCCTCTTGGAGTGCAGGTCAGATTGGTATCAATACCAGTGACCTTGAGTCCGTTGTAGGACCAATGCGAGCTGGAGAAGTTCGCTTTCTGGTATTGCTAGGTCGCTGGGAAACAACCAAAGCCAAAGGAGCACCTAGCAGCGAGACCATGGAGATGCTATCACTCTGGAGTCACAGCCGCACCATATTGCATTGACCTGGCAATCGGCGCGATCTTTGGTTCACAAAAGATTTGATATCGAGCAGTCGATAACCAGTAGTCCCATTCAACAGGAGCGTGAGCCTTCTCGCTATCATTATCCAGCTGCTGAGGACACAACTTCGTATGCGAGTCCTCAAGGCTTCACTTGCCTCGTCATTACCAAGGCGCTGATGAACTCCATCGATCTCGAGTTTGCAAAATTGTACCAAGGGATAGGAGACTTTTCTCAGCCAGGATCATCGGTCGCGTCATGAAACCCTTTCGCAGGGTCCTCGTAGATAAATATTGTTGTAGCAGTGCTCGCCATACTCAGACCGGAACTGGTTGAATTTCCACTCTCGGATGATTCTGTACTCGATTCTCTCTTGAGGAACCGCACGCGGTCATCTTTGTCTCGAGCGTTGGGAAGAAGTTGAGTGAATACATTGTCCACGTGTAGTCCTCTGGCTTTTGCAGAGCGGAACGCTTTTGTGAGCCATTCCACGGCAGCAGTGTGCTCGACCCTTTCATAATATGCAAACGCCAGATTTGCTGGAAAGTTGATGATGTTGGCACCCAAAGCTCCCATTTCCGGTTGCAAGCAGTAAGCGACACAGCGAGCAATCCTTGCTGCGTGTCGGCCTGAGTCGAAATATTGCCCCAATGAAGCAGGATCTAGGGCTTCCGGCAGTTTTTGGTCTCGATATTTGAGAGCTTGTAGGATCTCATCAGCAACTTCACTCAAAGCCAGGGAGCAGGTGTAGTAGACCAGACGCGCTTGGATGAATAAATGGTTTTCGAACCACAAATCAGTTTCAAAGGGAAAATCCGAATCAGCAGCATCATGCGGGACTTCGCGAGGTAAAGCTCCCTTCTTGGTGCCGTCTTTCCATCTGTCCATCTTACTTTGCAGATCTCTGCAGTCTTCCAAGAGCTGGATTAGGCTTCCGGTTGTATCTGCTTCACTTTCTCGGAGAATGTCGAATTTCTGCAAGATGCCAGGGACGACGGTTCCCAGGTCGACCATCCTGTCGAAATAAGTCCGATGCTGGAATTCCCAAGGTATTGTTAGCCATTCTGGTGAGGCCAGATATGTCGCCTTTCTCTGTACAATGGCGGCATAGATGGTAGGGATCCTGCTGGCGAGAAAAGGATGATGGGCATCCCAGTGTTGATGTCGCTTCGGTCCACGCAGTTCTACCAGCCGAGCAGCACCAGCAGCATGAGCCAACCAACTCCTCGAATTGAGCGCTGGTCCCTCGAAGACTTCGTAGAGGCCCAGAAGCATACAAGCCATGAGCACATGGTCGGAGTGCATTCGATTAGCATCGAACAGGGCGAGTTGCAATTCTTTCAGGGCCTTCCCATATACTTTGGCGCTCTCGTGAACAAGACGGACGTCCTTATGACCCTGACCGACTCTTGAGATGCTCAATGCTGAGAAGGCATCTGTTAACGAGGCATCATGCTTTGGGACGTTTTGGATGACCTCGATCCAGTTCATGGGATGTCCGCAACGTAGGATAAAATCGTCTCGACACATTGTATCTCCCCGTGGCATGTACAAGTCCCAAAAAAGACTCTTGCATTGCGACTCGACAGCGCCTCGATTGACTGAGCCTGGCAGGGCAAGCGGCGTGGGTCGGTTGTGAGGGAGGAAGATGGCATGTGCAACGGCCTTGCTCGCAGGATGGTGGATAAAGGTCCGATCGCGGTTATAACCTCCGCAGACATATCCGCTCGAGGCGCACTGGCCGCAAATGGGTCGTTTCAGGTCGCACTGTATTGGGATCAAATGAGCAAAGACGTTGTGAAATGAGGTGTGCAAGTGACAGCGGAGGTGGCTGTATATCAGAGGTTATCTTGGATACTTACGCCTTTTTTCCGACGGCGACATGTGCTGCAGCCTTTACTCTTGCCAGGAACACCAACCATGATGAGCCGACTATCAAACCAGAAACGTGGGTGGGAAGCTGCCGAACACGTCGTGAACACCGTAGAGTGGGTGTCATCTTGCGATGGGATGCGTGGGCTCGCAGAGTTTTGGGAGTTTCGTGGAATAAGAACCTAAGCAACTAGCATACACTGTCGGATAAGATAGTGTGAAGGCTCTATTTGACTCTAGTTTAGCGTAGCTTCAAAGCCTTGAGTCGTGGGAGAGGACCCAGTAAGCTGGGATTGAGATCAGGGTCGAAGTGCATGAGGCAGTCAGCATGCATGCACGGGGAAGCTCAAACTTGGCCGAGCCCTCGCTGATGTGATGCACGAATACTCAATAGACATGAAAAGAGAAAATCGCCATGCCGGACCAATTGAGGCACGTTTCAAGTGCTCGGAAGAGGGAAAGGCGATGTTTGTTTGCCCCTCAGAGTCACTGAAGCCACGAGCACTTGAGATGACGGGGAACGAATTAGCGCTGAAGCATACCTAGACTATCGGGGCATCGGACTGATCTTCTGCCAGCTACCGAAAAGAGACAATCCCATGATGGGATGGCTGAGGGTGCTCGTACCCAGTAGGCGCAGGAGACAGCCGGGCGATCTCCAGCTGAAGAACGGGGCCACGCGGCTACCAACGGGGGCGTCGGGGCGTCTGGGGTGTGTAGTCAGCAACCTCGGCGGCTCGCAGCTGCCAATCAGTGCCCCTCCAATTTCGAGATGCATTGCACGCGGGCAATCCCTGCAGCTGCATGTAAACAAACCAGTCTCTCGATCTTCACTTTTACCATTTCACCACAACGCTGTGTATACAGTTAACGAGGCTGTTATTCTTTCTCACTGCCTTCTACACTTACGCCCGCATCTACTAATCCTAATGGCATAATCAGTCTTGCGGTCATCATGAATCGTCAAGAGTTGGCCAGTCTCTTGTCTCAGACACAGTCAATGATGGCTCCCTCCCGAGCTCCGACACCCTCGTATCACCGATCCTCCCCCCTGTCACCGCGGCAGAGGTTCCAATCACAGATCCGGACTTTACATGACAGCCCCCGAACACCTCCTCGAAACTCGGTAACGACGCCTCAGACATCGCCTCGATTACAACACGTCTCGAGTCTACGGGTCCAGCGTGGCAGCAGTTCGCCCCCAGCATGGACAGTTGGCGAGTCTGCTCTTGACACATTCAATCATGGGCCACAATTCATCACGGAGGAGCGTGAAGTCTGGGGTAGGCCGTCACCACTCAGAACGAACAAGGCTTTTGTCGAGGGCATATCCCTGGTGGCACATTCTGTAGACAGTAGTCCGGTCGACCCTCACAAACTGCGTCCATTCGCGCCGTCTTCACGGTCGCTCGATGTCAATGACAGACCGAAGACCAGGCGAGGTCCTAATACAGGCTCGAGTTCCTTTGGCGAGAACAATGCAGACAGACTACAGCAAGAGCAGGAACAGTCTACACGGCCTTCGAAGTTTGCTGAAGGGTCCATGAACGATAGATCCGCTGGGGTTTCCTCGACTTGGAACGATCATGGCTCACTTGCCAGCATTTCCGGTACTGATGAGTCTGACAACGACACGACACCTCGCCCCTCACCACGACGCTCCTCGATCGACGTCAATGAGTTCAATCCGCAGCCGGTGGCTGCTCCGACCTTTACTCAACGCCTATTCAAGTTGGGTACTAAAGCCAAGCCAAAAGATGTCTCCAAGGCGGTGGTGAGTAAGACTGAGCAAGATTTACAGACTGTGAGAAAGAAGAAAGGACTTCGGAAAAGCATGTCTTTGTGGAATCTCCACGGTGACAAGAGGAAGGCAGCTGCGAGTCAACCCGATCTCAACAACCCCAGCCCCGAGAAGAGCAATGTTGATGTGCTTAATGATCGCAAGAGACGAGCTGAGGAGGCATATTTTCAACAGTTTGGCATGAAGCGGAGAAAGTCCAATGTTGCGCTCGCCACTTCAGATGACGAGTCCGCCGAGAAGCCTCCAGCTGCAACCCGAGGCCGCACCCCTTCACGGAGGATTCCGAGTAGCGCCAAACGACGTCTGAGTTGGTCCTCATCTACCATTGTCACGGCCGAGTCTACGACGTTTGACGGTGTTAACGACGTCGACCTCCAGAAGCGGCCAAGTCGCCGAGAATTGGAGAAGGAAAACCAACAGCTTCGAGCCATGTTGAAACAAGAACGAGAAGGTGCTCGCGTGGCCACTGTAACCATTGAGCCGATTACGCCATCTTCGAGAGTCCTATCCCTAAAACTTCCAAGTTCTCACGAAGCAGATAAGACACCTCTGCACGAGTCCTCCAACAAGAAGTCAAGCCGGGAGAATCTGGGAGTGTCGCCGCCACCTGTCCCGCCACTACCTACGATCGAGCGGGCGGCGCTGCAGCCTCTGAATAACACTAGAAATGTGCCTCGGAAGACAACAAGCCAGGATGACCTCAAGACCATTCCGGAAGACACTTTCGAGCGTGGTCGGCCTCGAAACGCACAGCCCAGAAAAGCAACGGCAAAGCATAGCAGGCGGGCGTCACTCGCTAGAGGCGCGGAGCTCCCACGTGCGGTATCCATGATTTTGGAACAAGACGAAGGCTCAGAGGCGGAGAAGCAGCCGACAAAGGAGAATTTGCATCCAATGAAGCACATACCCAAATTGATTCCAACTCCGATTGGAAGCCCAAAGAGGGTTGCTACGGCTAAGGGAGTCAAGATCCACGAAGATGCTGCTGTGCAGGCCAAAGCTGTTGAACGCGAGAACTGGGAATGGCCGGATGATGTATTCTGACTGATTGGCGCACGCTACGGAAGCACATTTATCTGAAGAGCGGACGACGAAATGGAAAACCATCATCAACCGGAGTGGTTGAACGCACGATGTGTCATGGAGTATTGATGAAGGACAAACGAAAGATATTATGAGGTCCACGATGAATGCGAGATGAAGTCTCTGGATCATGGCGGCTGGCTGTTTTGGGCATTCTTTCTTGTTGCATGTTTCCTGCCTCTTTGTTTGCATGGCGGGAGAAGCGTTTCAAGGTCGGGTTTTGGCATACGGCGATGAGCAACAATCAAGACAGCTATCACACGAGGGAACAAGCCGGCGGAGGTGTGGCTTGGACATCGGGACTTCGACCAGACCGATAAATTCGACTTGATCTACAGCCTCGAGGAGTGGTTGAGCCCAGTTCAACGACGACAATGCCGGAAACCAGAACCAGGCACCCGGTCTACCGGATTACATATGTGTGCTGCATTCTTCATTTGAGCGTACAAACAGAGAGATCCTTTGCAAATCAAGGTCGTCACAACCAGAGCATATTGTGGCGGCCATACTTTTCCCTCGGTCCTTTCCTGTAAATTCTTACCCCCTCCACGACTGTTTACGTACATGAAGCATAGACCAATCTGAAGCTTGTCTCACCGAGAATCCAGCTTAGAGACCAAGAGGCTTTCGAACTGAGCAATAGCGCCCCTACTATCAATTACTGTACTAGACCTGTTTTTGAATACAGAGCACCCGTCGTCCGCTATTGGTCCACTTCCCTGCGCGCCGTTTCAAATGGGGCCGTCATTCCGTCGGCGTATCTAGATACATGTACACACAGTGCCCGTCTGTCTATCGCGTCAACTCAATCATTCATGATACGAATACGAATACAGTGTCTGCGAATTAGGTATTTCGAGATCAACAGGCCACGGGAAGCCAACCTAATCACACTGCGATACATATCGGTAGGTTTGGGCGCAGGCTGCAGTCTGGTAGGATGAAGTCGCGGTCATGGATTCTGGACAAGCTATAGTCCGGTAGGATGAAGTCGTGATCATATGCTCAGAATGCAAATTATATAAAAGCAACGCAACGCTACCACATAGATTCGTAGAAGACATGAATGAGAAGAGATTATCAAACGTCGGATCCTTCAATCCTGCCCCGTCTCGTCCTGTCCCGTATCCCGCTTTGCTGTGTTCCTTCGATCCCTAGTTGCGCATATACATCCAGAGAGACAGGGATGCCCCACGAAGCAGAGAATGTCATGGAGGTGAGAAGTCATACTCGTAGACACACATGTATGGCATGGCATGGTACCTCACACCACAAATTTAATTCCAGAACCACCCGCTTCCTCTCCGTTTGGTGGCGGTGCCTTGTTGCTGAGTCTGCGTCTCAGCTTCGGTTTTGCTCTCTTGAGGCGTCTGTGGCGGTTGGACTTCGGCCGTAGGCACATCCCCATTCCCGTTCTCATCCTCGTTGATGATGGGGATTCTCCGGGGATATTGTCTTCGCGATTGCCTCGGTTCCTCGAGATGTCGCGGTTGCGGACGAGCGTCTTCGAGCATTTCTTGCTGCCAACCCCCAGGTTGCATCTGAGTTTGGGTCTCTTTGTCCTTTGTCTGTGTCGCATTTGCGATGGGCCAAGCACTTCTGATCTCTGCGTTGGTATCGGCCTCTTTCCCCGAGGGAGCATTCCTGACCTCCACTCTCTCGTCACATTCTTCCGATCCATCGGCAAAGCGGCGTTTCAAAACGCGTTTAGTCTCCACTGAGCCGTCAGGGAGGGTGCGTGTCGTGGTGGTTGTCAAGGTGGAGATAATGGAGTTTGCAGGAGATGGAACTGAGGAGTCGTATACATACGAAGTTGTCGATGCTGAGTGGGTTGAGGAAGTGCTTTCGCTTTGCTCCCGGGTAGCGGCAATGGACTGGTGTTGGGAAGTCGACGCGTCGTTCGAGGACATAGCTTGTGCGTGTGTTTTTGTGCGCCCTTGGGACGCTTGATCAACGGCTGAAACGATTGCATCAGCGGCAGAGATGATGCTCCCGAAGAGTGGGAATGGTGCTAGTGCTTCGGTAACCTTGTCGACAAGGGCATTTCCGTCGCCTGCTGGCAACTGTGCAGGAGCAGGGGTAGATTCGGAGGACTTATTGCGGCGACAGTCGCGGTTTTTGCGCCATCTGGCACATCGATCCTCTTTGCTTTCAGGTGCAGTTTCTAGGTTCGCTTTGGTTGGGTCATTTCGCTTGACCAACAGCCCTTGTTCATTGAATCCCCATCGGTTTCCGAGACTGCCGCGGTTGACCATGTCATGAATCCAAGTGCTTGGTGTGCGCCACGTGTTCCAGTTGTCCCTGTCCACCATCTTCCCAGTCTGCTGGAGACTCAGCAAATCCTCAAAGGCATCAGCCCACGGCTTCCGGGTCGCCATCTTCTCGTCGACATCTGTATACCATCTCTCAAAGAACCTGGCGCTGGAGATCTGTAAAGGAGCACCTTCCGAATCTTGAACTTTGACTTTGAACAGCCGTGACTGGGCTGGGTTACAAAGATAGATGGGTGAGTATGGACTCAACATAAGCCAAGGAATGGTTTCATCGGCGTTATCGAATGGCTGCATACGCCGGGCCGCCCACAGCGAATAGGTTGTCGGCCGACCTAGGGGTTTCTCGCTCTCAACCATTGCGTCTTCGGTAGAGGCGGCGTCGCTGTGCGACGATCTCTCCTTCTGTTGCCCATCCCAGCCGAGGGCAGAGAACCACGATCTGGACGGCTTCTTTGGTGACTCTGGAGCGGATGCCTGGAAGACTTGGACCTGCTTGTCACTGCCTGTCTGTAAAGCGTTGTAGGCATCCAACTCGGTCCTGGGTTGTCCCTTTTCATCGTACAGAGCAGGACACTTTCCCGCATTGTTCTGTGGCCGTTGCTCGTTCAACGCGGGACACTGTGCAGCCTTGCCTTTTGTCCACCAAGGCGTGGGCGCACCTTCGTCCTTCTTCTCGCCCTGCTTAGAATGCTGCTTCCACGCATCCTCCATACTCATCCAAGCCTCGGTTTTCGACTTCTCCAACTGCTGCCTCATCTCCTCCATCTCCTGCTCGAATTTCTTGCGGAATCCCTCTTCCCATTCTTGTCTCTGGCGCATGATGTCTTCGACTTCTCTCTTCCAATGGTCACTCCCACCCGACGACAACCCGAAGAATTGTGGGAAGCCTGAGAAGAGTGACGAGACTTGTTCGTCGGCGAAACGGCGGAATTGAATGAACGGGTTCTGCTCGTCGTCCTTGCTCGAGCGAGGGAAGGGCGTTTGATAGGTGGGGAAGGGGTCCATGGGAGGAGGGGGATAGGTTCGGTCTTTGGGAGCTTTGTCGTCTGGCATGTTGGAAGGCGGCTAGTGATGCATCAAGCAGGCATCAACAGGTGAAAACAAGTTAAGTGATAAGACAGAACGAAGGGGAAGATGATGGCGTGGTGGCCAACGTTGATGCCTGGAGTGACTCGACGACAATGCTCGAGATGCTTCGACGCGGGGTCGGCGTCGGTCTCATCCACGCGCCGAGGTCGCCAGGTGATTGGATGAGGGGCAGGGGCAAGCCACAGAAGGCGGATAGGCCAGCACGGCGACGAGGATACATTTACGACAAGAAATCCACATATTACATCCTCATTCCTGAGTATAGGTACAGCGATCGTCTCACAGTTTCGCTCGCGCCGGCACCTTCTCCCATGCTTCATCGAAGCCTGCTGATCGCACCCAGTGGGGGTCGCTGGCCTCCACCGAGTCGATGGCCATGTGCCCGAGCTTCAAGAACATATCCCCCTTGATCGCGAAAACATCATCTGGCTGGCTTTCATACTGCTTGCACACTTGCTCGCTGTTCGCCAACGCCCTCACAAGCTTACTTGCATGTCCGTCATCAGGAAACTGATCCACCCGCCGAATGATCTCTGACCATCCATCGTTGGGATTCTTTGGGTGGTAGTTCTTGATCTCGTCGACCAACAGTTCCGGACATCCTCTCGATACGTACAATGCGAGGTCGATCCGGCCCTTCCATTCCAACAGCCTGGCCTTATCTTCCACCTTCAGCCAGGGTTCTTTGATGAATGCCGAGAAGAAGATGGAGCAATTGACGCAGTGCATGTAGAAGAAGTCGAATTTGACTTGTTTGTCTGGTTTCTGTGCTGCACCTGTGAAATACACGGCGGCATTGATCATCTCTGCGGTCTTTTGCTCGAGCTCGTCGGGTTTGACATGCCATTGGGATGCCAGAGCGATCATCTCGTTGGGAGCACGAACGAACACGCCATCACGAAGCTTGTTGCCATCTCCCCAGTGCGCTGATTCGCGAAGCTTGTCATTCGCACGAGCTTCGTTGATGAGTTGAACTAGACTTTTCGAGGACTTTGTGCTTTTCGCGGCATCTTCAGCAGAATGGAGGAAGGTCCCTGTCCAGCCGTCGTGTATGCATGCTTGAGCCAAGGCTTCAACAATGATAGCCGGCTGTTTGAACTCCACCCCGAAGCCCAAATGAATCAAAGGATGCAAGAAACCTGGCATGGGTCAGCATTGATTGATAGTCGGGTCGATGATGCGTACCAGCGAACATCCTGTCCAATATCCGCTCAGCGTGCTCCGTTTTGGCGAAGACTTGCTCGTTCAAGACTTGCTCCCAGCCCTTCTCCTCGATCTGCTTGCGGAAGAAAGCCTCGAAATCATGAAAGTATTGTTCCTTGCCCAAGAACTTCTTGAATTCTTCTGGGTCGTCCATGGACTGGACATTTCGTTCCTTGATGGGGAACTGCGGGCGCTGGTAGGATTGGTTGAGGTCAAAGGCCTTCTGGATCTCTTCTGGACCAGCGCCCAGAGCATAGATCGTCAACAGATGGTGGGCAATGTGGTTGTGGAAGCCGCCGTTGTTGAAATAGATGTGGAATTTGTCATGGTTCTCCTGCAGTAGTTGGCTTCCAATCTTACCAGCCTGGGCTGATATGTCCGGGACATGATAAACGCCAGCTGCGGCTGGATCAAGTTCAATATGTGAGGCGGTAGCCATACTGCGCCGACTTGGTGGTGCTGTAAGACGCTGCTGAAACCGGTGGAAAGCGGACTTTGTGCTCAAGCGACCTGACTTGGTCAAGGACGAAACAGATGCTGTCAAGGCCCAAGGAGATCTTGTTGCAAACATTGATTCCGCTGGTCTTTCATCGCCCAATGCCAGATTCTTATACTTCGGCGGGCAGTTTCTCCGTGGATTGACTCTTCACGTATCCCAAAGTCGTATTGCAACCTGAAAGGAGCGATGAGGTCAGCGGTCATATTTGCTGGCCAATAGCGCGGCTCGGTCACCGACGAGAGAAGCAATTGACAGCGAAAGTCCGGGGTAAGGCGTCACGAGCCGAGAGGAGAGGATGGTCTCGATCATCGCTTGGGTAAGCAGCTAGGGAAATCGGCTGCATTTGTTCCGAGTCAGAATCAATCTAGGAGGCGATGCTTTGTTTGCTGCCGCTGAATCTATGGAACTACTGTCCTTATGCTTACCAAGGTGGAGGATCTAGGTCTGCTTTGTTTCAGCACCCACCTATGAACACACGCGAACATCACCCTCCGCGAAGTCCCTTTCCATGGCAGCTTGCCCCGGATTCCACTAAGCCTTCCCCTTCACCTTACTGACACCACCGTCGACAACGAGATTCTGGCCAGTAACAAACCCGGCTCCCATCAAGTACTCGCAGGCTTCAGTGATATCCTCCGGCAATCCCGCGCGATTGGCAGGATGAGTTTCGATGTCGTCTTCTTCTGCCTTCCACTCCGTCCCGCTCTCGTCTGCTTCTTGATTCTCGTGCGTGACTTTGATACGACCTGGAGAGACCATGTTGACACGGACTCCGAAGCTCTGGAGCGAAACTGCCATGCTCTGGGTGAGACCTAGTAAAGCAGCTATCGACGCCGTCAGCCATTTGCTCGCTGTCACGATCTCGCTGTGCAAGTTTATCGCCGAACATACCCTTGGTCGAAGCATAACCCTCCTGGTTGGGATCTGAGATCATGGCACGGAAGCTGCTCATATGGAGGATGCACGGTCCAGCAGTACCAACTGTGGATTCCGGAAGCTTCTGCTTGTCCTCCTGCTTCTTGACTTTCATGTAGGGAAGACAAGCCTGTGACATGACGAAGGGGCCGGTGAGGTTGGTTTCGACGTAGGCATTCCACTTGTCCAGGACTGAGGGATCTTCCATCGTCTTGCCGTCAGGCCAATCTGCATACACGTTAACCTTGTCCAGATACAATACGGAAGGCGAATGCAAATGGTCAGGGAAAGACATGGAAGTCTAGGACAGAATCACAGTAGGGCAGACATCTGGTGATAAGGATACGAGGCTTGAGGCGAGGGATAACATACACGGGTACGAAATACCGGCGTTGTTGATAAGGTAGTCGATGCGGTTGTCCAGGAACTTCACGGCTTTCTGGATGGTTGAGCGAATCTCGTCGACATCGCGCAGATTGCAGGCGGACCAGCCAACGCGGTCGGCATGCTCCTTCAGATGCACCTCGGCGGTATGTCGAACATTGTCTTTGTCGAGATCGAGGATAAAGATCTTATGGCCACCCGAGGCGAAGTGACGGGCAAGGGCTCGTCCGATGCCTAAGAGAGAGGTTAGGGTTTCAGAACAACGTGGCTGAAGTCAATTTGGTTCACCTTGTCCAGCGCCGCTTATGACAATCCTTGACTCGCCTTGCAAGACCATGTTGTTCCAAAGATGCTACAGCGTTAGTGAAGAAGATGGGCTCTAAAGAGTGTTATCCTTGATAAACGTCAATTGTCGAGCTGGTATCTTGGTAAGCCCTTGCTGCACGTCTTGACCGCAGTCTGACAAAGTGGAATGGCAAAGGAACTGTGTCACTTTTATAAGTCGCATCATCTTTCGCTGTTGACAGGGACTCTCTTCACTACAAGTAGGACCGTTTCATTGGTCGCGGTCCAGCACTCCGTATCAAAGAGGGTGACGACAGTCTGTGAATCCCGACGATGCCAAGAGAACAATCTTAAGACCAAAGATCGGAAATCTTCTCCGAGTACTTTGGGTTGCCGACTGTAAAGTTGCTGCTCTACTGGCTCTGCGGTCTCCCGTAGGAGCTTGGGCCCTGACATCGACCTTGAGTGAATCAAACCCAACTACGATCACCAAGAGCAGGTAGGTGATATGGTTGCTTTATTGTTGAGTCGTCTCAGCCGCTTGTTGCATGGCGCAATGCAATACCAAGCCCACATAGGCCATTGACCTGGCCCCTTCGGTCCCGCTCCGAGTTTGCCACAGAGGATCTGTCGACACAAGCTCGGTCTCGTACCTCTCAAAAAGCTCGGATTCGGCTTCCGAACTCCACCTATCGGTGGCTAGTGGTCACCAACCCTAACGCGACAGCTATTGACGCATGGATGTTATCAAGACCGTCTTTTGCGGAAGCGGTGCATCATCACAGAGAGCTGCGACAGACTCCGCTGGCGACTGAAGGCGTGGTATAAGGACTGCGCCGTCGTCTAAAGCCATGGCTATGCAGGAGCTCGCCGTGAAAGTCCGCGCCCCTTTACCCATAGTGGCTCGGACACACTACAGCATGTCACAGGTAAGATCGAACGCGACAGTGTGTGATGGGACAGTCCGGCAGACTGGGCACTCTCTTTGGTGAACCGGCAAGGCTTCGACCCATTGGCAAATCCAAGGTGGATGACCGGAGCAGGCAAACTCGAAAGATCAATGGCACGGATCTCGAGTGCACTTCGATTAACCAATGGTCCTCATTGGATTCGAGAGTGGCGTGCTCAATCGGAAAATGTGATGCTGGAAGTGGATCCTTGTGGTGCGAAGGTGGAGGGACTGACCATGGCAGCGCGTCGCCCACCAACCGCAATACATTCCGGCCTCAACATATGAGCGCATCCAAGACGATTATCATCGTGATTATTTCGTTGCCTCCCAGCCTCGTCAGAACTAGAGGTAGGGGTTCTTGCCTGTTGCCTGCCTGGGCAGAAAAGTTTTCTTCTTGCCCTTTTCCCTTCTTCTTTCTTCTTCTTCTCTTCATATCACTCAAACCACCCATCCTGTAAGCTTTGTGCTCCCAGACACCAGCGAACAGGATCCTAACAACGTACTCCAGAGCAGCAGCGACAGCAACAGCAACAGCAGCACTTGTAAGTGAAGCTACGCCATTAACAGTGACAAGATCCTAAAGAAGTACTCTAGAGCAGCAACGGCATCAGCAGCAACTGCAGCAACAATAACAGCAGCAACAGTATTTCTTGTAAGTCCAGCACTTCCCATTTCCATTGAACGATGGCTTTGGTGCTAACAGCAACTTCTAGCATCACATCAAACACAATGGGTTCCGTTGTGTCTAAATTCTCCTCCTGCATCAAGCAGGCTTTTGCCCGGTTGGCGAAGGCGTTCCCCCAGCGGCGGGCAGCGCCTAAGCTAGAGGCAGCGGTGGCCCCGGAGCCAATTCTCCGGGAGCCGATCAACAGCTTCTGCCGCAAGATGCGGGCAATAAAGGCACGCCAGTACGTGTCGTGGGAGGAGGATCTGCCCAGGGCAGACGCCCCCCAATTCTACAAGGTGCGGAAGCAGGACAAAAACCTGCTCATGCTGCATGGCAACAAAAGCATGATCTGGTAGAGGTCGTCCCCCCTCTTACCATACACCAGAACAAACCCACTGCTTCATCGGCAAGCTTCAATACAGGTGCCCGAGTACTAGTAGTGTCATTTCGAACGGCTCGGGTGTCCTTGAGGGCCCAACGGCAAGTACGGTTTCGTTCTTGGTTCTTTCAAATGCATTCCCCAGAAAAGCATAAAGAGAAGATGAGACACTGTCTCCGAAAAAAGAAAAGACAAGATGCCGAAAGGCCAAAAAAAGCAAAAGAAAAGAGGGAAAAAATCCTCATATCATGGGGTGTGGTCAGTCCGCTTCTTCGCTGGCAAGCTTCAATACAGGTGCCCGAGTGCTAGTAGTGTCATTTCGAAAGGCTCGTGGTATCCTTGAGGGCCCAACAGCAAGTATGACTGCACCATTTGTTTCCGAGGAGCGCAAAAGTCAAGGCGTTCTGGTGTTTTGGCGTTGGCATTTGGGACTTTGGGAGTTTAGGCGTTTAGGCGTCGGGCGTTATGGCGTTGGCGTTCAGGAGTACGGTGTTCGGAGTTTGGGGCACTGGACAAACAGAGCTTTTAGGCGTGGCGACCGCCTGGAAGCCATCAGCTTAGGCTGTCTGTCCTTGGAGTTGGGGGCAGCACCGGGCAAGAACACCTACAGGCACACATTTTTATGACCATCATTACAACTCCAGCAACCGCCATCCCTACCTATGCCGCCCAGTATACGAAGGGTGTCCTACAAACCGCCCTTATTACCAACCTTGTCATTATCACCGGGAGCCTCACAAGGTCTTATTATCATTACTACTATTATGATACCAGGTGGACATTATTACCACTATCATTATACTGGGCGGACATCATTACTCTTGAGAACTACAAACATTATTGTTACCACCCTGGCGGGCATCATTATCAGCACTCAAGCAACACCTCAACACCTAAGACGCCTCCCCTACACTCAAATATCATTACACACCTTTGCTGCGAATGACCTCCTGCTGCTCCAACGCCCTCAATATCATTATACAACATTCTTATTGCTGCCGACATCCTCCTGCTGCTGCTCGAATCCTCCTCAATATCAATACACACATATCATTATGCTGTTGATACCCTCCTGCTGCTCAACATCATTACCAAACGAACAAACAAACAAACATAACTGCTGCATCATTAGATACTGCTCCTGGTATCGTTCATTCTTTTTTTTTCATCATGCATCTGGCCTTGTGCCGGGACTTGGAGAAGAAAAGCAGAAAAGAACATCCCTGTCAACTGCGTCTACTACTGTACATTCCTGGCGCGCATCCATATGAAAGAGAAGATATTGCAATTGTGAAAGACGTGGCATTCTTGTATGGTATTTCCAGCTATTTATCCTGTCTTGTGCCCTCCGACACATGCAATCCGGTGAAGACAACTCGTGTAGGAGGTCAAGATAGACTCGTCGCGAACGCCACGGGTACACAACCCGGAGATTGCCCACTTGAACAAATACTCCCCGATGTAGATTGGCGTCAGAGGATATCGTCAACGTCATCCATCTCTTGAACGATGTGAGCCGTTGGCGTTGTAGACGACGTGATTCCTCGCCCTCAAATGCAGAGAGGCAAGGGCCCTCCTTCTCATGTGTCCGTCCATATTTAGCAGTATTCAATGTCTCGGGTGCTGACGCGCACATCGTTGAGATCGATTTCCTTCTTATCCGGAGTATTCGCGGGCGTAACGAAGATGGATTCAACACCGCTGCCCCCGAGGAGTTATATGCCCAAGAACCCAGATGGCCCATTCCCGTACACGCAGGCGGATCTTACGCCCACAGAACCCGGCAATGACACTGCCTTTTATTCGTCGCCGCGCTTCGTGACACACATTGATGACAACGCCATCAACAACCTCCGACGGCATTATGACGACGTCTTGCCTCGAAGGGGCAGAATCTTGGACTTCTGTTCCAGCTGGATTTCGCACTACCCGCGCGAGGTGGCAGAGGCGGCCACGTCGGGGGAGCTAGAGGTGCTGGGCACGGGGATGAATGCTCTGGAATTAAGCAAGAACAGGGTGCTCAAGCATTGGTCCGTGCAGGATCTCAATGACGATCCGGATGTGCGGTTACCGGGAGCGTCGGCGAAGGAGGAGCCGGAGCCAGAGCAGAAGCTCGACGCATCGACGTGTGTGGTCTCGATCGACTATTTGACCAGGCCTGTGGAAGTGCTGAAGAGCATTCGACGGCAGACAAAGGACGGTGGCAAGGTACATCTGATCGTCTCGAACCGCTGTTTTCCTACAAAGGTAGTCAGCAGGTGGCTGCAGGTCGATGAAGAGGACCGGCTGGCCATGGTCGGCGACTATTTGTGGTGGTCCGGGTGGCGACACATTGAGATCCAGACTTTGGTCCAAGGATCGTTCATGACTGATCCGTTGTGGGTGGTCAGGGGGGAGAATACGGGCGAAGTCACGCAGTCGGTTGAGAATTGAGTCTGCGCGGGATGCTATGAGGCATGGAAAACTGCGCTTGAAGGGCGACGCGTGCAGTGCAGTCCCAAATGACGCCGCCTCAGGGTGAAGGACATGCCTATGACGAGGCAATCGTGGGCCGAGAAATGGATGCATTCACAGGCACACTGATCCCTAAGTGCTGTTTCGGTGCAGCCAAAAGGCGCAGTACACTGCTCATAGCTTTCGAGTCCCTAGACGCATATTGACCATGCACGCTTCCTCCTGCTCTGCCTCTCGACTCCTCGCGATCATCCAATACCTTCGTCCGGCCAGCCAGTCTTCAGAGTCAATGATACTGCTCGACAAGTTATCTGCCTTCATTATGATCTCTAAGCCGTACCTTTCCTCAAGACCCTATCCGTCCTCCTGCTTGTCTTGCCCGGCCTCATGAAGCCTGCTGCTTGCAAGCTCACCTATCTCCCACTCCTGTCCTACTCTCTCCACCTCACAGATCGACTGCTCCGTACGTCATCGTGGTAAACGTCTCGAACGCCAGACTGGATCCCTACACACGTGGGACTCGTGCAACGGAGCGGCTACAGGAAGTCATAGCTCAAACGCATCCGGAACACCCCTATCAGACCCGCCTGTCACTGTACGAAGCTCACAGCAACCCGCGAGTTCGGCTGTCCTGTCGTGACGGAAGATATCGTGAGATATTCCAGGTACTGCACACAGAGAAAAAGCCTCCAACACCGCTGGAATAGAGACAGCTGGGTATTTCTATGGAGACGTACACGGTCTGCAAAGCTCCCGTCTCGAGATCTTCTATGCAATCAGCAACATCTTCAAGTTGGATCCCAGTTTCGTTGATGAGTTTTCTCACGACGCTTCGGCAACGTCATTGATAATCCTTTCTGTTGTTGCCGAGCTGAGGACTTTGTGCACCAACCTCCTCCTATCACCAGACCAAATCCCTCTAAGCTACTGGCAATCGATCCGTTTCCTTCTTGGTCGGCTTGACCGCACGACCAAGTTCTCGTCCTCGATAAGTCGATGACAAAACAGTGTTCATTTCTGTGCTGGACACCCTCATCAATGATCTACATCGGCATCAGGAGGGCCTCCAAAGCGAGCACAGCTCTCAAGGTTGGGGGCTGCGTCGATCTTCGATCTAGATAGTGACAGTGGAACATAGGAATTGACATTGGTAGGTGGAAGGGCACTCGACGTTCCCGAGCGTGTGGCGATCATATATCGGAAACAATGCGAGACACGACAAGGATGGCGTAACGCCTTTACAGCATAAGTGTTCATTACTGTCTGTTTGCTGTCTCGCCGTCGCTTGCACTTGTATTTCCGAAAAGGCTCCATTGGACCACTTGAGAGCTATCGATGGGTGGTCTGATCATACAGAGCTATATTATAATTGGTCATGTGGCTGGTTCATTCCGCGTCACTCCTTTTGCTACTCGACCGTTCACTGTTCGCTATGGACCTGCCTGTCGAACCACGTCAAAGCTCACTCTGCAGTAACCCCGAAGTCATGCCTATACCACCTTCGGGGTCTCTCCTACCTCTGACTTCTCTGACCAAGCCCTTTGCCTCCTCAACCTCATACCCGTCCATGCATAGCTCCTCCGCCAACCGCTCTGCGCGTTCAAGGTCACCAATCCTGACAGAGTATCTCGCAAGCCACAATCTCGCCTTTGAGGTCGTGGCCGTGGTACCTGTCCCAAAGCCATCTTCTGGCCCAGCACTTTCATCTTCGTTGTCAGAACCTTGTGACCCAGAGTCGTCTGGAGAGGGAGACGATGATAGCACCTCAGTATCGTCATCTCCTCCAGCATCACCTTCACCTTCTCCAGCATCAACATCCATGTTCGCAGCATCCCCGGCACGCATTTCTGAAAGTCTCGCTCTTCGTTCCTCGGCAGCAGCATTACGCCTTTCTTCCTTCCTCTGTCGCTTCTTGAGCGCTTTCTCTGCCTTCAAGACCGACTTGTGACTCCCACCTGTCTCCTGCGCAACGCATAGCTCCATGTATCGAACGGCTTCAGCCTCGCCCTCGGGGCCAAGTCGCTCATACAGACTAGCAATCTGATATAGCGTCTCAGGATCGAGAAGTTTCCGACCAGCCTGCTGCTGCTGCTGCTGTTGTGATTTCGTCCCTGGCGCGGATTTTCCGCGTGAGGCACTGGGAGCCACATTGCTGCTCACACTAGCATTTGCATTGAAGCTCGACTGCACGGAGCTGGACTCTTCGAAATACGTGCCGGCAACCAGAGCCCGTTTCAACGCCTTGATCGCTTGATCGAGTCTCTCCATCTTTGCATAGCAGGTTCCTACGGCCTGCCACATCTTCGGGTCGTACGGTCGCAGCCCTGCAGCACGCTGGTAGTAGTACAGTGCATAGAAACCCATGTCGAGGACCTCGTACGCCTGGCCCAGGCCGTACCAAGCGCGATAATCCTTCCGGTTGACATCCACGGCGCGTCGATAGCTCTCGATCGCGGCGTGCGTGTTTTTCAGCTCGATGTACTCATGACCCATCAGTGTCCATGCGGAGAGAAAGCTCCTGTCCAAGGTGAGGGCGCGGCGGAAGTACATGACTGCTTTTTCGTGCTGCGAGCACAGGGAGTAATAGTTGCCCACCACGCAGCATGTTTCTGGGCGGAACTTGTCGACTGACGTGGCGAGATGGGCGAGGAAAGCGAGGCGAGGGCGGTCGGCCATGACGTAGAGAATATTAGAGTAGTGATCTAGGCCGTCGAGGCGATGGGGATGGGTAACTAGGAGTTCTTGAAATATCGCGGCGGAGGACTCGTATTCTTTGGCGTGGTAGTGGCTTAGAGCGAGCTGGGTGAGCAGGAATGTCGACTTGGGGAAATAGTTGAGCAGGGTGCGGAGGTAGTTCAAGGTGGTGTATTGGTCGCTGGTGGAAAAGAGGTCAACGCTCGCGTATGCCTGGTACATGATACTCATCAGGTTTTGAGGGAGGACGGACGGAGAAAGTTGGGCGTTCAGGTCATCGATGGAGGAGAGGAGGGAGGCTAGCTCTTCCCATGCGCCCCAGTGGTAGGGATTGACTCGGACGGAGCGGAGGAGCCATTGCTGGGCGAGTTGTTCTTGTCTTGACTTGGACAGGATGATGCCGTAGAGGTATTCCAGCCAGCCTTGAGAGCGTTTGAGTTGTGGATCGGCTGCGTCTCGCGCACCAAAGTACGCTTCCAGTCCTCTTGCCAGGGCGGCCAGTTCTCGATTAACTGTCTGTCCGTTGTCCGCAGGGCCCAAGACCATCTCGCTCTCTTCATCCTTGCGCTTCTCTCCAGCGAGATAGCGCGCATAGAGAGCGAGGAAGAGCGACTTCTGGCTGATGTTGGGGAATGGATTCACTGCGGCTTTATCATTGTGTTTCGACTTGCCTTTTGCTTTTGAAGGCGTGGAAGTAGGTGTTCGTCCTTTCGGTTTGTCGAAGATGGCCAATCCTCCAGCTGGTATGGCCGGGGGCAGGAATACGGCGGCACATCTATCAAACTCTTTGGTGTCAAAGAACGCTTTGGCAAGCAGGTATTTGGGTGCTTCTTTAGCCTCCAGCGCCGCCTCTTCCGGGTCATCGTAACCGGTTGTCAGACTGCGGTATAAGGATTGTGCACTGGGCATGTCGTGCATTTGAGAATCGCCATCTGTATAGCCAGTTTCAGGGAGAGCATCCAGTAGTTCGGCTGCCCTGGAATATCAGTCAATGTCTGTCCGGTCCTTTAGGAAATTACGCACCATTTCGAGGACTGGTATAGGCATCTCTCTGAGCACCTGATGGCCGCCTCAGTTAACCTGTCCCTTAGCTCAGACACAACCTCGGTGTCGAGCTCGCCTACAGAGCCAAAACTCTCCTGCTGCCGAGGGGCCATGATGACAGCGTGGGAATGTCCCCAGCAAGAGATGACATGAATGGGCGTTACTCGTATATTCGCCCTTTTCTCAGAGTGAAAGTCCCATGTCAACAGCGCGTCTGCGGGGAAATTCGCGGGACTCCGCAGTTATGCAAGGCTGGCGACTAGCCTTGCCCTCGTTGTCAGAGGGCGCCTCGAGTTCATTCTCGTGATATAATTCAGTTCTCACCTTAGGCTTCCTGATTTGCCTGCCAGGAAATAGACTCGTACTCCATTACGGAAGAGATTCACTATGGATATCGCACGGGAACTCTCGCGGCCGGAGTATAAGCCCATCTTCTGTATTGAGATGCATACTTGTGGAGAGCCCACCAGGATCGTTATCGATGGATACCCGAATGTCACAGGTACGCTTCTAGAGCAGAGAACTCAGGCCCGCCAGACGCATGACCACATCCGAAAACGACTCATGCTCGAACCTCGGGGACACTACGATATGTATGGTGCTGTCCTCCGTCCCGACACGGAGCTGACCCAACTCGGCCAAGCCCATATGGGCGTGCTCTTCATGACAAACGACGGTTATTCAACCATGTGTGGCCATGCCACTATTGCGCTCGGAAGGTTCCTGCTTGATACCCATGACCTCAACATCTTCCCTCGAAGGAATGATATCATTTGGGACCGCAAGTCGCTGATTGCCGATCTCAATATCCACGCTCCTTGTGGCCTTCTCCGACTAAGTGTCCCTGTCAGTCCCGATGGAAGGGCTTCAGACCCCAGTAAACCGGTATCTTTCGTGTCGGTGCCCTCCTTTGCAACCGGCCTCCAGGTTCCTCTGGCCATCGCGCATCCGTGGCCGCAGTTGGAAAGGAAAGGTGCCCCTAAAACACCAATATCAGTGGACTTTGCCTACGGCGGAGCCTTCTATGCCGTTGTTGATGCCAGTAGCCTTGGCTTCAAGGAGCACTTGCAGGATATCGATATGCGAGAGCTAAGCAGGGCTACAGAATCTCTCCTCCTGAGTATACGTGAACAACCCAAGCTGACAAGCTACTACCAACATCCCGAGGAGTCCGACTTGTCGTTTCTGTATGGCGTCATTGTGACAGACAGCGTCCTCCGGGAAGGTAAGCCTGTTCCGAACGCAGAGCTGGGCGTCTGTTTCTTTGCAGACCAGCAGATCGACCGATCACCTACCGGCAGCGGCGTAGCTGCTCGAGAAGCCCTGGCATATTGCAAAGGAGAGCGAAGTATCGGAACAGCATGGTCTTACCATTCGTTGGTGTCAAACCGCGACCTAGGACCCCCCTTCGTTGGTACGATTGAGATGGCTGACGGCAGTCCAAAGCAAGTCAAGACGGCCCAAGTACACGTCAGGGTGAGTGGGCAGGCATTTTATAGCGGCTCCAGCACCTTCTCTGTGGAGCAAGAGGATCCATTGGGCGACTCAGGCTTCGTCTTCACGAAGCTAACGCTGGGGTAGATAGAGGTGCGGTTCAGAGAAGTCTTGTTACGAGAATCCCTGGCTACCGCTTCTTTGGTCATCGTGGTCATTCGATGCACGTGCAAGACCCAACGACGGCTCCTGTAGCATATGGACAAGCACTGACTGTGCTCATATGGTTTGAGAAGCGGTCAAACTCTTGCCGTCCAAGAACAATCTTCAATACGGCGAAGCTCATAAACCATCACACGCAACCCCTTCAGACGGCCGTTTGCGCCGCTGACGCTGTCCTCGACCTCAAACACCTGAGAAACCGTCCAAACCGACGAGTAATTTGAACGGCTCAGGCCTCAAGGCAAACATCCAGCAGATCACAGTGGACACGGTGTCGCAGGTTCTCAATCAAGACGCCGCGCAACAATGAATACTCTCTGAACACCCAGTCTACATCCGACATCCGCCATGCACCAAAGACAACTCTCCTTTCCTTCATGAAGACGTCTTCTCAATAATTCACAATGTCAAAGTACGTCGCTTCAGCCTGGAAATCCGACCAGCAAATGTAAGACTAACGTATCAACGCAGCAACCGATATTCCTCTCTCAATCGCCGCGCTGCTCCGGCCTCCTCCCTCTTCCAAGACTACCCCGGCTCACGACCGTCATCCTCATCCTCCACACAGCGACCGTCCAGTTATGCGTACTCCCAGCCCTCCGCATCCTCCTCGTCTCCCTACCTGAACCCACTCCCGAACTCAACCCCGTACAGCCACTCGAACGGCTCAACGACGCCCTCGGGCGGTGGTTTCCGCCCCGCAACACCGAATTCAAAGGGCCAATACTCCGCCTCCGTGCTCGAAGAACTCGAGTCCCAAAATGAAATCACCCAGACCACCCTCCTCAGCCAGAAGGTTTCGCAACTGAAATCTCTCACCGTGGCTATCGGCGATGAAATCAGAGACTCCAGCGCTCTGGCCAGCCAGATTAACGACTCTTTCGAGAACACGGGTGTGAGGCTACGCGGCACGATGCGACGGATGCTGAGGATGGCGGAACGGACAGGCGTAGGCTGGAGAGTCTGGCTACTGTTCTTCGTGGCCGTCTGGGCGCTCTTTGCGTGGGTTTGGCTGTTCTGAGAGAGGAACCAAATAAACCAGAAACCGATGCAAAGAAAAAGAATGAGAGGAGAGCAGAGCAGAGCTCAAATCAGAATGGGAATCCCATCAGTGGAAGATAAGGACTCGGGCAACCAGGTTTTTACTTCCCGAGGTTCCACATTACGCCCCGGCCTCGAGGATGCGAAACGTGCCGAAGCAGGAGGAAAGGAATGAGTGCCATCAATGCTCTCCTCGCCGCATAGCACCGCAGCAAGAACAATCACGACCGCGATTCTCGACCCATAGCGGTAAAGTTGACCATGGCGCGCTTCGAGGGCGAACCTCAAGTCGAGCCTTCCCACGGCGTGGCACTGTCTATCCATCTATCCCGTCTCCCGCTTCTCGAAAGCACCTCTCGCAGACGGTAGACAACCCCTCGATTGTGTATAAAAGTATTACACGCCACGTGTATCATTGCATTCAGGAACAACGGCCGGAAAGGAGGGACCTCACGCTACAGTAATTCAATCGGCTTGGAGCACCAGCATGGCGTTATTGGAGTTTTTGGATCCTATTCGTACTCGCAAGCATTGGTGGGTACCGTGCGAGCGGGTTGGATGGACTTCAGGGCAAGAGGGACGAACGCACGCACAGAGTTTGTCGTGACAAATATTATTGGTTTCCCGACGTGAGGACGAGTTTGAGCAAATGCGAATGGACCTGGGACTTGCTCGACCGACATAGTAGGCTCCAGACAGCCCAGGCCACAACTCTGACACGAATGATTGGTCTCTCTATTTGATCGTTGGTCCTACTTACATGTCCGCTGCGTGCGCTTGTGCTCGTGCGGGCGTGGGCATGGTTTGTGCGTGTACACTATCTGTACTGGAATGGTACTGGTGTTGGTACGTGTAGAGTACGTGCGTGCGAGTATCGATATCTGCCTACCTACCTGTTAGGTAGGTAAGGTATTCAACGGACGAATGGGTGACGAAGGCTACTCGTTGATACATTCGCAAACGCGCAGTAGATATACGTATTGTAGTACAACCTCTTCCATCCGCTGATCCCTGAGCGAAACGTTCCTCCCATACCGCCACGCCAGTCGGGTCTTAGACGCTTTACTCGGCCGCCCGGCTTCTGCCGGCCAAGAATCGCCCACTCCGTCGTCTGCCGACTCTTCTGCCTTGGTCTTGAGTCTGTCCCGGAGGTGCACTCGTGCTCGCACTTTCCGGGGTGTCCCACTCTCCTCCACCCGCTCCGCCTCCGCCTCCGCCAGCGCCTCCACTGTCTCCGTCGCCGCCGTTGGAGGCTACGTTGGGCGAAGAAAACAAGCCACCGCTGGACGTCGCCGGTCCTCCAGTCTGCAGCTCGGCCGCAACATCGGCATCTGTCCCGGCGCCAGCATTGCGTCGACGGGTAGCCCGCTGGAATAACGTCCTCCTCGCCCCGACGTTCGTACTCGTCCTCGCACTCGCACTCCCATCCCTGGAGCCACCAACGCCCAGAGTGGCGGCCGCGCCGTCGAGCCAATTCCGCGCCGCAGCGGCGCGGCTTGGACTGGTATTGCCGGCGCCAGTCGCACCGCCTCTGCCTCCCTGTCCTCGCGCACGAGGTACTCCTATAGCTGGCGCACGGAGCTGTCTTCCTTGATCTCCGGTTCCCGCCTGCGCAGGGGCACGTGCATGCTCGGGGGCGGCAAACGGGTCCGGTGTGTTGATATCAACGCCGGCATCTTCGCCTTCAAGATCAGTATCAACTTCCTCGTCATCCACATCCGGATCGAGGTCGACGTCGATATCAACCCCAGCCTCAGCGGCGAGGGGAGGTGTATCGAGCAGTTCTGGAGTATGAGTCTGCTGTAATTGATGGCGCGTGGTTGGACGAGCAAGATCGGGACGATAAGGTCGCTGTCTGTTTCCGGAGACGATTCGAGCGGCCCGCGTGGATACGGAGCGCTGTGCCGGGGTGAAACGCGCATTGCTTGTGATGGCCATTTCTGGTGTTATGGCTTGGGCTCCTCTTTGACGAGCCATTATCTGAGGTTGTGCCTGGTGAGGCCGATGGTCTGGTGACGGGAGAGGCGAGGGGCCTGTAATCCATGGTCCCGAAGAGCGTGGCGCTGCCGCACGAGCTGAGCTCCGCGGCAGGAATTGAGGATGAAGTTGAGGGCTCTCTTGTCCTCCCCCACTGAGACGACCGTGTCCTGGCTGGGCTGCTTGGGGTAGAATGGAGATGTCCATCTCGCTCTCCTCCAGTTCCGTGTCCGTGTGTTCCCATGCTTGATCATCATCTGCGTCGGGCACCTCGTCGTCGAGATCACGGTCTCCCGACAGCGTACTACGGCCAGGTCCATGGAGGTCGGCTTCGTACATGTCATCTCCATCGAGCATTGCGTTGGCGAGATCTTCAGCGTCGCGCTCGTCGTAGTCGTATTCGCTTCCCGACAAGGGGACTCGTACCCCAGCAACGGTCGTGTGTCTTGCGTGTCCTCGATCTCGGTGCCTCGGCGGCGGCAACGGCTGAGGGAGTTGGTCTTCGTCGTCGGTATCTGGCTCTCGTCGCGTATCGTACACCCAACCTCCATCCGCGCCCACAGGAGAAAGAGGCTCGTCGTCGTCTTCGGCCTCTTGATCGTCTGCGTCGGGGATCTCGTCGTCAAGATCTGCTGCCATGCCCATCTCCATGCCATCTTCATCTTCTCCCTCCTCTGCCGCGCCGTCTTCTTCTTCACTCTCATAGTCGGCATCAGGATCAGGGTCATCCGCGTCCGGGATATCCTCATCCAGGTCCCTTCCTTCTTCCACCTCGCCCAGCTCCTGCGCCCTCGCCATCCTTTCTTGCTCCTCAGTCTCCAGCGCCAGCCGCTCCTGCAACTCCACTTCGCGTAGCTGTCGTTCAACCTCCTCACGTTCCACTTCCTCCTCGCGACGACCGAGCATCGTTTTCGCACATCCAGCGGGCTTTAGCCAGCTGTAGCCGTACATGGCGATGGCCATTTTTCGCTGCGAGACGGTGCGTTCGTCGGTCGAAAGCGCGAGGAGCGTGTTGTTGCGGGCGTTGTAGACGGCATTGTGCTTTTGACGGCGATGGTGGTGATGGTGATGCGCGGCAGGAGTGGATGTAGGTGCGTCAGACGCCGGGGCAGTTATTGGGGGGAAAAGAGATGATGGCGGTGGAGGCAGAAGGGGGAGGGATGTGGATAGGAACATCATGCTGATCAAGGACCCACGGGTTGTACCGGCCTGGGCTGTTGTTACAAACGTCGAGGTCCCAGAGTTTCACTGGTTGTCTCGATCGCTCGATGGAGCCGGCAATTGACACGCCGGAGACGCGGTCGCAAATTGTGGTCGCCTCAGGCAATAATGATACTGTTGTGGTCGAGAATCAAACCCGGGACGACACTTCAGGGTGGTGGGAAGCGGCTTGTAATGCCTCCGAGAGTGCATGTGCAGAAGCGAGTCCGGGCTTGTTGTAGACTGGGTCTCAAGCCTCACAATCGAGCCGTACGGCACAGCGATATGGTTGCCTGGTCAGGGTTTTGTGGTGTCGCGAAGCTGGGAACACGCCACGGTTCGACGGCAGTGGAGGACGGAGTACAATTCGACCAGTTCACATCATCCACAAATCTCACTATCAGATCTCCATACCACCAATAAGATTTCAGGCTGTCAATGGCAGAGAGTTGAGGCGCTCCACCCGTGTTAGATTGATAAACCACCTAATTGTGATTTGACGTGTGTGTGAAGTGAACGACGACGTTGAGCTCTGCCAAGAATCCGGAAAGGGAAAACATCAACACTCAACACCAAGGCAACTTCAGCTTCAGGTCAACCTCAAGTTAACACAAGAGTAATGAACACCAACAATGTTCTCTGCCGTAGTAGTTGCGCTCCATCCGTCACGTCTAGTTATTGTCTATCCGGCTTGATATCTTGTTTCGATCTCTCATGCCATGGACCCAAATCGACGACCTGAAACTTGTTCTCTCCTTTACATTTGGACTCGAGTATCTCGCACATCACGGGAAACATTCTCGAACCCTACAACCGAGGCACCGTCTACGCCGCCGGGAGAATGTGGCTATAGCTAGATAGATGCGGCCTCCTCCGCGGATATTCTGAGATTCAAGTCAGTCTGTTTCTACCTTCTCGAGGCGACCTCTTGATGAGCCGCAATCGCGTCGGGGTCGACCCTAAGATTTACGCTTCCAACCGCGACGTTAAAGACCGCAACTAAACAAATTGAATAATATCATTGAACCTGCTATCTACCGCTGACGTGTATTGATACATTTCCATCGGCAGTGTGCAGCGCTCCCTACTTTGATTCTTCTCAGTTCCGATCGTCTCCATCGCAGGTTCTTTCCAATAACGCAATTGAATGATAACAGACTGTGACCTTTTCGAGAACCCATGCTGAACCAAATATCCGTGCTCATAAAACGATCGTAGGTGTCGGAAATCATCGTCCGTGGCAGGTCCCACGTACATTAACCTCGCTTGTCGACATTCATAATGCGCTCGTCAGGGTATCGTTGACACAGACTGATGCGCTCATCATGCCAAACCGTGAAACAAAAGATTGATGAAAAGCCACCACAGTACTTTTTGGGGTTGCATTCCGTTTTTCCATGCAAGAATTAATCTTCCACAGGTGCCAATACTCAAGCACCGACCTTGATCTCGGTGCCACGTTTGAAGTCCTCGGCTGCGTGCGCCATGTCACCACCCTTGTGCGCCTTCGACTCTTTGGGCCTCGGTACAGCATCATGTTGAGCACGTTGGATGATGCCGCCCGTCACTGGGAGGATAGAGCCTTCGCCCACAAGGAAGCTGTCCACCTGTCGGGCGCATTGGCGACCTTCGTTGATACCCCAGACGATAAGGGACTGACCACGCCGGCAATCACCCGCAGCAAAGACGCCCGGAAGGTTGGTGTTGTACATGTTCTTTGGTGTCTTGATGTTCTTCCGCGGGTCGAGCTCAACTTGGCCTTCAAAGAGACGGTCATCGGGACCCAAGAAACCCATGGACAGAAGCACGAGATCTGCCGGGAAATATTCCTCGCTACCCTCTCTGGGCTTCATGTCCCAACCACCAGTGGCGCTCTTGGTCCAGTCCACCCGGTTTGTGTTGATGCCAACAATGCGTCCGTCCTTGACATCGAAGTCCTTCGTCATGACACAATACTCGCGGGGGTCTTTGCCGTAGTGTTGCTTGACTTCGGTGTGGCCGTAATCGACACGGTAGATTCTCGGCCATTGAGGCCAGGGATTGTCGCGAGCACGCTCTGGCGGTGGCTGAGGCAGGAGCTCGAAGTTGGTGATGGACTTGGCTCCGTGTCGCAGAGAAGTGCCGATGCAGTCGTTGCCGGTATCACCACCTCCAATAACAATGACATGCTTGTCCTTGGCGGAAATGTAGTGGCCGTCGCCCAGCTCAGAGTCAAGGAGTGACTTGGTATTGGCGTGCAAAAACTCCATGGCAAAGTGTATACCCTCGGCTTCCCGATTCTTGATTTTAAGGTCACGAGGAACTTGAGCCCCAGTAGAGATGACCACTGCGTCGTACTCCTGACGTAGTGAGTCGAGGCTGACCTCCTCACCCGGGCCGACCATGACACCTGTCTTGAACTGAACACCTTCCGCCGCCATGAAGTCAATTCTGCGTTGGACGATCCTCTTGTCGAGCTTCATGTTGGGAATGCCATACATGAGCAAACCACCGGCACGATCGGACTTCTCGTAGACGGTGACGGTATGTCCCACGCGATTGAGCTGATCCGCCGCAGAAAGGCCTGCTGGACCAGAGCCAATGATAGCGACCGTCTTGCCAGTACGCTCCTGCGGTGGGTCGGGCACCATCCAGCCCATCTCAAACCCTTTGTCGATGATGGCGCATTCAATAGACTTGATGCCAACCGGATCATCGGTGATGCCCAAAACACAAGCACCCTCGCAGGGAGCGGGGCAGACGCGGCCGGTGAACTCGGGGAAGTTGTTGGTCATCAACAAACGGTTGAGAGCATCCTTCCACTGATCTTGAAAGACCAATTCGTTCCACTTCGGAATGATATTGGAGATTGGGCAACCGGTATCAGACTGGCAGAAAGGCACACCACAGTCCATGCATCTGGCCGACTGGTACTTCAACTCATCTTCGTTGAGTCGGGAATTAAGCTCAGCCCAGTCCTTGACTCGGGTCTTCGGATTGCGATACTTCTCGGCGCGGCGAGCATATTTCATGAAGCCCCGTGTCTTGTCGAGCACGAGGGCGGCCTTGTGTTTGGCTTGATCAGCATCTCCATTGACTCCTTCCTCGATGTCCAGCATGCTGGCCTTCTGCTGCTTCGCCTCTTTATCATGGCGGATTTCGCGCTGTTCCTGGTGGAGATTGCGGACAGGATTCCCCGGCAGGATTGGCAGAGGATATTCTGCCTTCTTAGCCTCTTCAGCTTGCTTCGCCTGCTCTGCCAACACCCTCTTGTAGTCGGTAGGTAGGACTTTGACGAAGCGCGGAAGGGCTCTGTTGAATTCGAGCAGGATGCGGGCCGCCAGTTCTGAACCAGTGTAGTGATGGTGGTCTTCAATCATTCCTCGCAAGAATGCAATCTCCTCGGGTGTCTCAACGCCGGAAACTTCTACCATTTCCATGTTGATCTTTGAATGGAAGTCTTGGTTCATGTCCAGGACGTAGGCGATACCACCTGACATACCAGCAGCGAAGTTGCGACCTGTGCTTCCCAGCACAACGACTCTACCACCTGTCATGTATTCGCAGCCGTGATCACCAACACCTTCAACGACTGCGTTAGCACCTGAATTGCGGACAGCGAATCGTTCGGCAGCGACTCCTCTGAAGTAGCAGGTACCACTTGTCGCGCCGTAAAGACAGACGTTGCCAACAAGGATATTCTCCTCCGCTTTGAAAACAGCACTGCGGGGAGGGTAGATGATCAAGCGACCGCCCGACAGTCCTTTACCGACATAATCATTGGAATCACCTTCCAGCTCCAAGGTGACGCCGGGCGCAAGGTATGCGCCGAAAGATTGGCCAGCAGATCCTCTGATATTGACGTGAATAGTGTCCTGAGGGAGACCTGCCTCGCCGTATCGCTTGCTGATCTGGTAGGACAGGGTCGCGCCCAATGCACGGTCGGTGTTGACAATGTCAGTCTCAATTCGACAGGGCAATCCCTTCTCCAAGGCAAGCTCAGATTCGGAAATGAGTTTGTTGTCCAGCCGAGTGTGCAGTTTGTGGTCTTGCTTGCGGACATTGTACGTCGCCACACCGGGACGGATAGAGTGGGCGGGTGTCAAGATCAGGGACAGGTCGATGTTTTGTGTCTTGCCTGTGCGAAGGTCTTCGCGGACTTTTAAGAGTTCGGCGCGACCCACCATTTCGTTCACTGTTCTCAAACCAAGCTGAGCCATAATGGCGCGGAGTTCATTGGCCACATAGTAGAAGAAGTTGATGACATGCTCGGGAGTGCCTTGAAATTTTTCTCTGAGAACAGGGTCTTGAGTAGCGATGCCGACTGGGCAAGTGTTCAGGCTGCGAGTATGTGTTAGCAAAAACAGCTGAAGGCAAAGGGGAGGAGAGGGGACCATGCGTACTGGCACTTGCGCATCATAATGCAGCCCATGGCTATCAAAGGCGTCGTAGCGAAGCCCCATTCTTCAGCGCCAAGTAAGCAGGCAATTGCAACATCGCGACCGGTACGAATCTGGCCATCAGTTTGCACGATGACACGACCTCGGAGATCATTCAACACAAGAGTCTGGTGGGTTTCAGCAAGACCAAGCTCCCACGGGAGGCCGGCATATTTGATGCCAGTCCACCTCGAAGCACCGGTGCCACCGTCATGACCAGATATCAAGATATGGTCAGATTTGGCCTTTGCGACACCGGCAGCAACGATACCGACACCCACTTCAGAAACCAGTTTGACAGAGACTCTCGCTCTTGGGTTGGAGCACTTCAGATCGTAAATCAACTGCTTAAGATCTTCAATAGAGTAGATGTCGTGATGCGGAGGGGGAGAGATAAGACCGACGCCAGGGGTAGAATGCCGAGTTCGCGCAATTGACTGTGACACCTTGTGGCCCGGAAGCTCACCACCCTCACCAGGCTTGGCTCCCTGAGCCATCTTAATTTGGAGTTCGTCAGAGTCGGCAAGGTAGTTCGATGTTACACCGAAACGACCAGAG